CTCCGATTTTTATCTAGTTGAAAATTGATATCCTTGTTCCTAAAATTGATTTTTCGCTCTTACTGATTATAAATTGTTTTGAAGGCACTAAATTTCTGCCATCTTTGCCAACATTTTAGAAATTCAAGGCAGTAAGAGTAGTATTTATAAGCTAGAAATTTCAGATCAGCAGATAGATAAACAAAAATTGTTTAAATTTAAACTTAAGTACTTTGCTTTACGTATGTTGGTTAATCATATCTTAGAATAAAAAGATATCTTATTGGAGGAACGCTAACACTATCTATAGAACAAAAGCATAAAAGATATTCGTTCTGATTAGCATAGAAAGTTGAGAGCAAAATATATTTACTCAAATTGTTCAGAGCCGTCGAAACTTTTATAGTTTTATCTACAAAGGCGTTTTTCTGTCTGGAAAAAGTAATAAAAATAGCTTTATAAGCTTTCTAGTTTTCATCTGCTTCTACTAAGCCTTGGAGATTTGCGATCATTTGTATGCAAAATCATCCACTGTTCACATTTCAGCCTGAATTTTTAATGCCGAGCTCATTGCATATTCTGCTCTGTAAAATCAACTGGTCACGAGGTGTTCCTGTAGTGTTCTTGCTAGGATATAAATTCCCTCGGTTGCAGGTGGATTTCACAACAGCAACCTTTGTTCGGCACGGCAAGCAGACACAAAAATCGCGAACTCAACTGGGAGAAGTGTAGAGAAATAAGCACTAAACGTATATCGAAAAAGGCTTTGACAACATCTTGCCTCGATGAAGTCGTTAAGTTAGGAGCTTCAACTTTCAGTTCCATCAAAGTAACATGGCGGTATGGTTTTAAATGCTATTTTCATTCTTGCAAATTCCTTCCTCTTTCATTAAACAAAAATTACAGAAGTAAACACTAGATCAGTAACAGAACCTAAGGTAAGTTGTGCTTTTGCAGTAGAAGTTTTAAAAGCAAAATCATTAGGATTGCTGACTTTAAATACGTGCCGAGTTCTGTGTCTTCTCTTAATGATTTGTTGCTTAGAGCTTTGATCCTTCGGAATCTTGAAATGATACAGAAAATATCAATTTTTGTTAATGCTGTTATGAGATCAGATATATTTTATTACGTAGGCTGTTTAAATCAATAAGTATATTTTAAGTCATAAAACTTTTATCCGTTGCTTTTGCGTTTATATGAATTTTAATCCAGGATAACTATTTTGTAGAAAGACCAACGTGTCTTAGTCTCGATTACACAAATCTTTATCGTAGGGAATTTGTTTCTAAGAGCCGACTTGCGACTCATCAAAGTGATTTGGTTTATTAAGAGGCAGGCTGCTTAATGTTACAGCTTACTGCTAGCTTGTGTTTATAAGCGTTTGCATAACAAGTATTGCCGCTCGATTTTTTTGTTCTTTGGAAATATTAGAGGTACGGACTTTGAGAAGTAATTAGAGGTACCCTAGAGCTAGAAATGTTATCAGAATATGATGTTTGAGTTCCCAAAGATGGAGAGCTCCTCATTTGTAGAAAAGGTTGACGGCTAAACCTTCTGTTATTCCTCGATCAGTTTGATTCAATTTTTCTTTCTTTATTCCAATACAAGTGGTAATTGTAGCTATATTAGCTTCTCTATTATACTATATCTATTATACCATAGATATTTCTTATTTGCTAAAATTATGCAAAAAAACAAAGACAATTTATTGGCTAGATTATGGCTAGAAAATTTATTGTAATCCATGTATTTTGTTTACAGATCCAGTTTTTTTTCTTGGCATCGGATAAAAATATGTTCATGATTTTGCTATTAATTTTGAAGATCGAAACTTCTTCGTTCTATAGTTGACCTGTTTCTAAAATTCAACAAAATTTGAAGTTCAGGCTGGTAAAATCTGTACCTGAAACTTTTCCTACCTTAAAAGCGGAAGGCAAAAATAGGAATATGTGAATAAAGATAGCAAAAAGTTCTGAATATACCTGTATTCTGAAAGAAAACATTTTATAAATGAGACTTCAACCGAAAATCTCTTTCTGGTGCACATGTCCTAATGTTTGACTGAAACTTGTTTGCAAGCACAATTTTTTATTGTTAATTGCGCTCAGTTTGAGATGAACACGAATCCAGCGTACGTTTAACAAAGACTTATTAGTTTTGACAGAGTTTGTTGAAAATGAGAATATTGATTTGCTTGCAAGTTTCGTAATTGTCAAATAAGTCATCATAAAAGGCTTGAAATTGTGCAAAGTGTCTTCAACAGAAAATTCAATTATTATTCACAGCCAGTCACCACAATACTTCTACTTCATTATCGAGATCCCACAAACTCTTTCACAGCGGCTATCTTCAGCAAGCACAGATAAATTGCCAATTAAGTCTTACATCCACCGCATTATTCTTTTTAAGTAACGTGTTGAAGCCACAAAGAAGAAGTCAATGAGCTTTTGGTAACATTAGGAAATATTTTTGGTGATTTCTAACTCATCTGTTCAAGTTGTCTTACATCAAGTTTACAAGAAAATTCTTTGAGCTGTCATTGATTAAGGACAGAACAACTACTTTCGTCTCAATGCCATGTCAACTTGTATAAATAATCTATAAATACTGTAGTCATGACATTCTGAAATTCATTTGCAAAGTATAAATTTTTTAAGTCATGTGGATTCTTGAGGAGATTTTGAAAGCAACTTCTAAATAAAAGAAAGCTAGAAGTTTCGTATAGAATCATACCTCGAAAACAGACCAGGCCTGACAAAACCTCATAAGGAAATATAAGGGAAAATTTCTAAATTGCTATCTTCTCAGCAAAACGTGTTCTAAGCAGCTTTTTTAAGGAAAGGGTCAAATTACTCTTAAGAGCAGATATCGTTGTGAATGAAGCAAGGTTGCATTATGGCTCCTTTGCTTTCTAATATCTGTAAAGAAGGAAGGCCGGTAAGGATGAGACTGAAAATGTCTGAGCTTCATCTAAAGTAACTGCATGAAAATGGAAAAGTGATTACATATAGTGATTTCCAAGTCAGCAGAAAGTAATTAAAACGTAAGAAATTGATTTTGGGCTGGTCAAGATGTTAAATTCTAGTGAATTTTCTGACAAAGATTCAGCCTGAAAATTTTTCTACCAATGTGACATAAATTATAGCAACTGATGCGAGTAGATATTTTAGAGAAAAATGATAGAAGCAAAACTCATCTTCGTGGAGCTGTTCCGTATCTAAGAAGCAAGTCGTGCTGTTTTATGTATGTTCACCTCAAATCTTTAGAAAATTGAAAATTTCAGCAATTTAGAATTTAACAACTTAAACCATTGATAATTTATAAACCAAGTTGCAATCCTGATCGATTTTTTTAAAGTTAGCTAAACCTTTCATGAATCCGATGCTCCTGCCGGCTTGTCCACATGTGTTTTCGCTAATGCACCTGTTATTCCACTCTCAGTTATTCTACAAACCAGTATTCAATTCTCAGCCATTTTCCAACTTCAATATTGTGGTAAACAAACGAAAATCAAGAGTTGCATCATATCTTAATTTTCACCAAATTTCGAAAAGCAACAAGTTTTATTATATCGCAATATCGCAATCTTCAAAAAAGGTACATCATATCCCATCTAATCTCATCACCACCCAACCACCCTCCCCCACCACCCCCATCCCATCACACTCTCGGAATCCACGGATATTTAAAATTTATCCTTTGAAAACTCTTTCGGTTTTCACCAAAAAGCTATACATCTTAAACTGCAATTTCTTTTTTGGAGCATAGTTTCAATTAATATTGTAGTTCCTCGCAGAATGTCCTCCTTGATCCTTAAGCATCTAGCCCACAGCAGATTTGCTATTTAACCTATATGAGTGGACAGACAATGTATTATTTGTTACTCACAATGCGTCTTGTGTGGCACAACTGTTTTTATAAACGCTGAAGTTTTTCTGCAATTACTCAGCTGAGATGCAGTTATCTCCTAAAAACTGGTTAAGGTTTCAACGCCTTGCCACCTCCCAAAAAGCCGCACATGCTCCCATGTTCACACTTCAACCACGATTACCAACCACAACAGCTACTTCCACATAAAGACACATTTCACATGCACATTTTCCTGGCTTATTTACTGTATCAGCTGCACCAAATGCGATCTTCACTACATTGGGGAGCCACAGTCTCCATTCATTTCAACAAAGATGGCCATACACCAGCCAACATGAAAATTACTGGACTTTGCTACAGGTCTTGATAAACAGTTTTCGTTCCTTTCCTATTCCAGCTATTATTTATTTTCACCTTATCTCGTCTATACGCTTTCAACCCCTACACATATTTCCATCTCGTCTTGCGTTCTACGTCGTATGCCTACTACGTCCCATATAGTTTATCTTTCGATTCTACTGTTCTGTTCTCTTCTTAACCCTTTTTCCTTCCATTCTTTATTTACCTAATGAAGGGTTAAGCTCGAAACGTTGTACCAAATATTCATTTCTTGTACAAAGTCGTTATTTCATTGAAAGGAGCTGCCTTGCCATTCTAGTTTCTTATTCAATTCCTTATGCTAATTTATGCACTAATTTATCACACCTTTCTGCATTTATACACTTATATATATCCTTTATAATATTTAATTCCTTGACCTTCCAAGATATCTCAATATTGAAGAGGAATTCGCTTCAAATGGTACCCAGAATTAAATTACAGTGAATTCCCGATAACTCGAACCATCGATAACTCAAACATTCGCCACCTCGAACCATTTTATTGGTCCCTTGGATCCTCGAGTTATCAGGAATTTACTGTATTTGTAAATAAGACCCTAAGAGTGATTGGGATCTTTCAGCTTTGGCCTCAGCGTGCATCACAAATAACCTTCTGTTTAAAAAAGCCCTATTCTACTTTTAAAACGAAAAAAATCCGATTTCACTGCAAAATCAGGCAAACGAGGTGAGATATTTTTATCAAGAAGTGATCATCATTATCATCCAGGCCTAAGCAGAGGATTTTATAAGTGCTTTTGGTTGCAATTGATTGTTTGATGCTGGTAAACCCAGTTGACTCGGTCAGAGCTATTTACTCACAGTTGGTGAATATGAAGTGAATCAACGAAGAGGTGTATCGCCAGTTCGTATTAAGATTCAATAGTGGTGTATTTTGTCTTATGTCATTGTTGTTTCGAAGAGATGAAGATCAAATTTTACAAACACCTGAAATTTATCAGCATTTCAAAAGTAAGTGACCCTAACTTGTGATAACATCTTTGAATTAAAATGGCGGGCAAGCAATCAATTTCTTTCTGACCAACAGAATCTGCCATGCAATTTTTACCAGGCGGTTGCTCTGAAGGGCCAATGCAGTAAGCCCAAATTCAACTAATTGCTGATTTAATGTCTCAATAGATAAAGCATAAAATTTAAAAACAACCCGAACTTCAAGGGTCTGTTCTACGCTTTGCTTTGCAGAACGCAATGCTAGCCGTTAAACGCCTTTAAATACTCGCAACTTCAATAAACGTCCATATTACCACTTCAACAAGCGGCAATTTGGTCGTTTTTTGTACCAGCTGTGCTCTTTTTATCGTTGTGGTTAAATGGAATTCAGTTCAGTTCAGTTCAGTTCGATGCGGTTAATCGGGTTTCTGACACTCCTACCAAAACAGGCCGATTTGATTTTTCATATGTAAATTTTGCTATCTGTGAGAATTGTGAGAGGTTTGGAATGGAATCGTTCTAGATATCCCATTACTTCCAAATTCAATATACTGCAAGTCGCGGTCACAGTAAAATGGCTGCTGGACGTCACAGTAGATGCCCAAATAAAATATCATATGGCTTTCAATCTCAACCATTGCTACTAAGTATATAGAAATTCCTTTCTTGTTTCATGATCCATACTATTCAAAAGCTTTATCTTTATTGCAAATTTGAAAGTACCACCTACAGCTGAAAAATATTTGTTAAACAAAAAAGCGCAGCCATTGACAGCTTCCATCTGGCGATTTGTTTTCAATTCTGTAGGAGCCTAGTGATGGCAGGCATACATGTGGCTGTATAGAATAAGTCAAATTTATGATGAAAGTAAATTTTATCGAAAACTGCAGGTTGTAAATTTGTGCTGCAAATTCAAATTGAAAGCATGTAAGAAGGAGTTTGAAAATCATCTATTTTGTTTCAGGAAAAGATGCAACTTAGCGACGAACAGCTCAAGGGTAGGTAATTCTCCTTCGTCAGGAGCGCTTTCCCTTTTGGCAATGTTTTCAATACACTGTGATAGTGTTTACTTGCTTGCAGCATAAAAAGGCCAAAGTTAAAGAGGTTTTATAGTTTGCTTTCACTATAAGGGTGTACAGTGATTGTTGCACTCAGTTTTGAATGCATTAAGACTGCTAAAGAATTGAATGCTAAACATTTTAAAGTTAAATTAATGAAGCAGCGAGAGCAAGATTTTCTTTTAAGCATGTCAATGGAAAGGTTACTGTTGATTTGCAAAGCGCAACAGCGCAAAGCGCAACAGCGCAAAGCGCAAGTCAATTAGTAAAATTCAAATAATATTTTCATTTCTCAACCAAGAAATTATGGCCCCCATCTTGCGCAGTAACATAGGCACGTTCTGGGTTGGATTTTGTACTTCACATTGCATACTGCTTGCTTGAGACACAGAGATTCAGAAATTATAAATAACTTTACGTGTCATACTTGGTTTGAAGCATATCTTTGCTGACTTGTCATCAGCTTTATTAGTGATTTGAAAATGGCTTTAAAAAAGCAAACATTTTACGACATACTAAACGCTTTTTCGTCTGACACTCCTCAGAGCATAAAACGTCAGAATGAAGGTCCGAGAAAACACGATGAAAAATATATATACTTAGTTGTGGATCGAAATAGGCCAATCAGAAAAACGCAAGCACAAGACCAGTATGGTTGACCAATTAGTGCCGCGAGCCTAAAGATGATTATGAATGATTATTAGTCTTTTTTATGTTATTCACGGAACATATACTTTGAGAAATCACTTGGAGAGAGACTATGAACTACTTGAAGCCTGATTTATTCCATTTCGATTTGAAGAGGATATTAATGAAACAGAATAGACTCTAATGGCAGTAAAAACTGTTGCATGTCTTAACTCTTTTTTTCTTTGGTATCACCAATATTTATATATTCAGAAATACTTAGTGGTTGAACAGGTACGATATAACTGGGAATATTATATATTATGAGATATAATTGAGACTAGATGTAAAATACAAGAAGATTCATAATTGATTTCGTACAGACAAAATCCCTGATGAATTTTAAAGATATTAAGTGAAAATGGCACGTAGATTCATGTAGAATAACTGATTTTCACCTTAAAGGTTTATTTTCAAATCATTAAGAAGCATTTAAAAGACAAATGAAAGATAAAAATTTCAAGACAAATGCGAAACTCAATCGAAGATAAAGTCCTCAGGATGGCTTGTGTAAATATGCCAGATCATTTTCACCTATGAACCTCTATTCTCACTAATCAAAGCTTGAGAATATGATGTCATGCTCAGTTACACAACTGATTGCCTGCTGCTTGTTAACATGTGCTTAAATTGAACAGCGACTGCAAAGTCAAGTTGATGTTCCACAAGGATCGATTTTCGTTCAATTCTTTTTAGCAATGGTGTCATGATTGATATGCATGCAATGCAATGCTGTATGTTTCTGTCGTGACAAAAACTCTCTAAATACGTGTAGAGATTGGTGCGCAAAGCTTTTGTTAGCATTAAGTAACAGAAATAATTCAAAGTGAACAAATTGAAAAGGGATTGATAAAAACTGAACCAAGACGTGATTCATTAATGACAGTTTAATTCATTATATGCATGCGATTTTATATTTAGGAGGTGTAATTGACAGATTGGAATTAGAGGGGGATTTTGTCTCGGATGCTAAGAAGAAGAACAAATTTAATGTGGTCAAAATTCAGAAAAACAGGATTTACAGATGTTTCAAGTATGTTTGTGAACAAAGTTGTCTATGTCTTGTAAAATCAAGACTGCGTATTAGGTATTGTGAATAAACTATAGTCCTTATTGCCCCTTTTAGAATTCAAAGAGGCATTCTCTTTGTTTGATGCCAAAGGCAATGGATCAATTTCAGAACAAGATCTCGGCGTTGTTATGAGAAGTCTAGGACAGAACCCAACGGAAAAAGAAATTGAAACGATGATCAAGGAAGTAGATGTGGACGGTAAGTACATAGAGTCTAAAAAAATAAGTACACGAGTGCTTAAGGTAAAACTCTTGACAATTCTGCTTCACATGGAAAATGGAAGTAAAAAGGGCAAAACCTGTGAAACGATACCCTTTGTTTCTTCCTTGTATAGTGCTTATTGGATGCTTAAGATACCGAATAAACAGCACGTGGAACGTGGAACTTTATACTTACCCGGTAATATGAGACGTTGTAAGGGCTGCAGAGTGGGGAGCGATGTTAAGTGACAAGAAAAGCAAAATAAACGCCTCTTGTAATTTATACAATCTATTATTGTCATGGCAGCAAGATTCCTGTAATCTGCAAAGGAATCTGGGCTGATTGGATGGAAAGCGTACATTAGTTTTGTTGTTTAAGTTAGCAATGGAATATATATTTATAGTTTAAAGGTTGCTATAAGATTAAGAAAGCTTTTTTTAACAAGTAGAATTTAACAATTTAATTTTAGTATAAGTTGACAGACACTTCAGCCCTATCAATGCAAAACAGACTAAGTAAATCCTATTTTTGCAATAAAAAACCACCCTCTACAAACTCCTTTCAAACTAAGCCCAGCTGCCGTTCATATTGAAATCCTTTGCATTGAATTCTTTTAACGGGTAGCAAAGTAAATTTACAGAACTCAATGCAAATTTATATAATATATCCTATCCGTGAGTTGGGTGTGAATCACAACATAAAAATGCTCTCATAGCATTAATTAGAGGGGAGAGATTAGAATTCCATTATACCATGAACTCCCCACTAGATGAGTAGAAAAACGAAAGCTTCAGTTTTTCGTTAGCAAAACACTTCCAGTATTTTAGTGCAGATCGTTACATTTTATAGCTTCCTCGTTGGCCAATTTTCCCTATTAAGTGATATGATGAGAATAAATATATAAGCTAGCATCACTTTTTTCTTTCTTTATTTAAAGTTGGTACAATCTCTAGTCATACTCAATCTAATTAAAACCAACTAATTTAAATTACCAACGTTAATTATAATGTAAGTCAAATATAGCCGATGTTTCAAAGGTCTCAAGTACATTTGAACAATGAAAATTCTAAGATATTTTTCTTGAAAATTTGTAAAATTGGGGAGTATTTTGTTTCGTTTTGGATTGAGTTCAATATTTGGCTACATCTATATGATACGTTATCAAATTTACATGTTTGTGATATGGCTCGTGCCTCCGCTGTATTAGATTCGAGGTGGGGATGAAGTTTGCTTTTATTGTCTAAAACTATTTTCATTGGAGACATTGCTGTGCCTAGAAGGTGTCTCAAAAACCTTTGTCTAGTTTCCATCTCACTGAAATTGTTGTTCTTCAATACGGGAAGGAAAATGTCACAGAATCGTTAATTTTTCTAGAAAATAAGGGCTAATTAATGAATTATCATAACTATTATTTCTTTTAGGAAATGGCGAAGTAGATTTTTCAGAATTCGTTCAAATGATGAAAACCCAAATGAAAAATAGAGACGCTAATAGAGAACTAATGGAGGCCTTCCAAGTTTTTGATTGCAACAGAAATGGCAGAATAAGGTAATCATTACATGTTTTGCCTTGAAACTACTTCAATGCTTTTGTTGTTCAATAACAACAGTAAAAAGGTGCAGGGCTGTCGCCACGGGGGTTGTGGGGTGTGTGTGACAATTTCAAGAAAAATTTCATCGTAAAAGCGGATAGTTTCGGCATTTAGGGATTGGAGTACCCTCTTTCAAAAAAGGCAGCGATAGCCCTAAAAACTGGAATCCATGCAACTTCTTATTTGCTTTAACCTAGAAACGCTTTTGCTCCGATTTTGAGAATGAGGATGCATGCATTGTATCAGTTTGATGGGAATAGTTGCAGTTAAGGCTCTTGCAAGGTTTCAATAAATATTTGACAACCATTTTTAATTGATTTATCATTGCTCACTCTTTTATTCTGTTCACAGTTGTGCTGGTATTTTTACTACTAAATACCTCTTGCCCTACTTGCTACTTAACGTAGTTTTTTGCCCAAAAGTATTTTCTTTCCCTTGAATTTTATGAAAGAAAAAAAGCTTTATTTAAGCTTAATCTTTGCAAAATGACTTGGTTACGTAAAATGATTTATTTAAGACTTATCTTGACTATTGCGATTTTGTTGTGAACTAGATATTAAAAAAGCAACAAACTTTAGGCCAACAAAAATTAAATTTTATTGAATTGTTATCATTTACCGGATTTTATGATTTTGCATATTAAAACAAATTAACTTTCAATAACTGAAATTTTAGACCAGTGAGATTACTACACTAGATACAGTTAATTCTCTTTTTAGCCCCCCGGGGGGGGGGGCTTGTTGTTTTTTAGCACTTTAAAGAGGGGCTTATAAGAGAGGGGCTAAATTGAGAGAGGGGGCTTAGTAAATATTTTGTAATATAAGCCCCTTTATAGTGGTAAACTAATTTTTTGTTATTTGCGAAAAAAAATATCAAATCAGCCTTCTATATCAATAATATTGTCATCGTCATCGTTATCAATTATATTAATACTAAAGTATCTTCTTTGGCCATGTCGCCTTCTTAAATTGAGCATTCGAAAAGGTCGACTTCATCCCTCGGAGTACCAACGGCCTGTAAATTTGGTAAAAGGCTCTCACATGGACTGGGCTTAATGCACACTAAATCTTTGTCTACCAATCTGTTGTGACTTGAAGAGACATAGATACGCAGGTGTGAATTTTGATTTAATTCGGAGTACTGAACGACCAATGAATAAAAAGAGAATCTGTTTTTTATCAAGTTTACTTATTTCTAGTGAAAATTAAGAGAGGCTAAATTGAGAGGGGGGGCTAATTAAGTTTTCCCTTCTGATAAGGGGGGCTAATATAAAAGTGGGCTTAATTGAGAGGGGGCTTAATTGAGAGAGGGGCTTAATTGAGAGGGGGCTTAATTGAGAGGGGGGCTTAATTGAGAGGGGGGCTTAATTGAGAGGGGGGCTTAATTGAGAGGGGGCTTGATCGAGAGGGGGCTTGATTGAGAGGGGGGCTCAAAGGAGAATTTACGGTACAGCTGTCTTGCATCATCCATTACCTCTTCTGCCTAGGACTCCATTATTATATCAAACATCGAAAAAGATTTCAAAGAAATGACTAGCCTGTGCTCCAGACCCTTAACCTGTGCTTCAGGTTAAGGGTCTGGAGCACAGGCTAAGAAAGGACGCAAGCTGCTAGATCCTTTCGAAGAGGTCGAAACGATTTAAAGATAAAATACCCAGTTTGATTGACTTTAACTCTATTTGAAATTCTTTAGCTTAGTTAGACAGAACAGTTTTGAGTGAAGATTTCACTTGATAGCGATCGCTCAACTTAGACAGCCTGCCTTAGTTTTTCATTAGAAAGTTCTGTGCCGCATGTTATTACTGAATTCTTTTTTCATTGCAAGTTATATCTAAAAATATCATGCTTAATCTGGTTTGTTGAATTTCAGGATCGTGTTGAATGTTCAGGTGCGGCACTTTCAGTCGTGTTTTAATCAAGTTACCTTCCTTAAAAATGTCTAGGACAGCAGTTTAAGAAATTTCAAAGAGAAAATCCGTTTTGAAGATGGCATTGACTTCAAAGAGCATAAAGAATTAATTGATCCTATTAAACTGATCTTAAAAATGACTTCAAAGAAAAGAACTTTAAATCAAAACGATTGCATCATATCATTTTAAAAGACCAGTGACGAGAAAACCCGTTATTTTGCAAACATCGTGTTATTTAAGTAACTTTGGTAGAAAAGGATTTCTTAAAGAGCTGCCTTAATTAACAGCGAAGCCCATAACACTAACGGTCATGTTTCCCAAAATCCTTTGCGGGCATTCGCAAATTTGGCAACCTTTGATATTTCAGTCAGCGTTGAAGTTTAATTCTTAGTTAGTCCTGCTACTTAAATCACTTCTGCAGAGTAAAAAGAAGGATATTTTGAACTGATTTTTTCAATTCAAATTTTCAATTATAAGCATTTTATCTGTTTATAATTTTTCAGTCCAACAGAGTTGAAAGATACAATGAAGAATTTAGGACAAGAACTAACAGAAGAGCAATTGAAACTAATGATTCTAGAAGCTGACTACAATGGAGATGGCGTGATAGATTTTGAAGGTTTGCGTCCTTATCAATATTTCTGTTTTGCTCAAAAGCTGATTTATCTATTTGATAACGCCATATCGCTGTCGTCTATCAAAGACCATTCTTTGCTTTCTTTGAATCGACTATCTCACTAGACAGCTAATCGTATCCATGTTTCCAATGCACTAGCAACAGTTGTGTAGTTCTATTGAAATAATAAAGAAAGGGGCCTTGCACAAAATGTTGCTGAAACAATAGCAAAAGTAGAAATTGACTATTTTTTGGCATTAACAAAGGGGGCTCAGCCCCCAGCCCTATACCCCTGACTAGTAGCTCTAGCTGCACGCATATCGCCGAGTATTGGGAATTTTTCTAGAGGTTTGGGTTTACTTAATTCCTAGAAATAAAATAATCTCACCTCTTTCAGGGGGTAAATTGCAAAACAATAACTGGCACGTCTGGTAGGTCCAGCATGGTCCAAATTTCAGCGTATTGTATCCCAAGTGAAGATGTTTGAGATTACATCATGTTTTCTTCGTAGAAACTGTCTCTCGTGTACAACATCACCGTACACATGCAATTGCTCATTCAAAATTATTGGACAATTATGTCCACCAATGCTCAGAAATTTATTGTCCATGTTTTTAAAAACGAGGAGGTGTAATTTCCCCCATCCCTCTGTCTCTACTAGTGTTATCAGTTACAAGAGAGTATTTTGAAATTCCATTTGTACCATAATTAGCTGAATTCATTCTTAATATTCGATTTTTATAATCACACACTCTCTTAATATTTGCTTGTTCATTTATTCACCATAAGGACATTCTGTTTCAGAATTCAAGAAGCTCGTCACCACCCTTGATAAAGCCATAGATGCTCCTGCACGAGTTTTGGTAAACAACAATTGATCAACAGGCACATATATGTACAATTCATAAATCTAATGTTTTGAGATGCGCTATTGTTCAACAAACTACTGTGCAGTTGTCAAAGAGAATTTTGCAACAAATAATTTGAAGAGGACACTATTGTAGCTTTAAAGAGCACCGTTTCATAATACGGCGACCAACCTCCGAGGCAAAAATTTATTTTACATATTTGCAGACAATATGAATTGTTTTGCCAACAGTTCAAACGATGAAAAATGTAAAAGATGGCCTTTAATTGTTTTAAAAATATATTTAAAGAAGTACGGATTAAAGTTTTTAGCAGCCGCAGGATAAATTTATTTAATAAATTTGTAACCCCTCCAAATAACAAAGATTAGTAATATTATGATGTAATCACTGTAATGTTATGTTAGAAATACCAGTACTTTGTTTTGATAAAATTGGTTGGCCTTACTTTAGTTTTATGATCACCTGGACAGATTCAAACTTCTTTTAACTAAAGACCAATACTGAAGCTAGATTTGGTCAATTTTAAACGCTGTCCTTTTTACAGCAAAGGCAATACGTGGCTTTCTGTTTACTAGATGTATCTTTTTCTCGTTTAATATTTATTTCATGCCCAAAAGTAGATTTTCTGACATCCAAGTGAAAGGAAATTGATGTCCCGATAAAAACTTGTTCATGCTAGGGTCAACTATTGTAGGTGAGTGAAGATGTATCTGTAAATAGGACAGGCAACATAATTTGTAGATAAGGATTTGACAACAAAGTTGTAAAAATGTTATGAAATAAGATCATGGTTAATAGAGTGTTTTCTTTATCACTCATAATTCTGTCATTCTTTATAAAGGGGGCTGTACTTTCTTGCTACAACCCATAGAGTTAGGATTCCTAACTCTATGCTACAACCACAACTTTGAAAATTCGAGACAGTCGAAAAAGGTAATTCCCGCTGGAATGACTGGAAACGAGGCCTGAAGATTTCGTGATTTCACGCCGTTGTCTGATGTTTCATTACCTGCGGCAAACTAAAGGTCGATTGGATCAATCTTTGTTTCAAATCATTGACGTGTTGCAAGCAGGTACGAATGTATTCATTTGAAAGTGTATACAACGTGGTGATGCATTTCGCTAGACTTTTGTTTTGACGTTGCTTTTATTCTTGCCAGTTACGCTGAATACCTGCTTTTCCTTAGGCCTAAGTAGGTCACTGCCTGCCTTGAACGTTTTTGAACGTTGTGTGGTACTTTGGAAAACCTTATTTACAATGGCTGGTGGTCGCGAGGAACTGATGGAGTTTCTGAAGAAGCTTGATATCACTCCAGAAATTATAGATCACCCTGAAGTATTTACTGTTGAAGCAATGATGCCATACCTTGAAAATTGTAAAGGGGTGGTTAGCAAAAATTTGTTTTTAAAAGACAAGAAAAAACGTCTTTGGCTGGTTGCAACTGAAGCTAACAAAGCCATAAATCTCTCAGATATTGGAAAGAAAGTAGGAGCTAGTGGTGGGCTGCGTTTTGCAGATGAATCCATAATGATAGAGAAGCTTGGTGTAAAGCAAGGCTGTTGTACTGCACTAGCAATATTCAATGACCAAGAAGGGAGTATCAAACTTGTTCTTGACTCCCAGTTTTTTAATGGAGATCACGAAAATGTCTACTTTCATCCAATGGTAAACACACAGACAGTTGGGTTGAAGAAAGAGGATTTTAAGAAGTTCGTATCAGAAACTGGACACAAGCCCATTTTGATAGAACTCTGATTACGGAGTGAGACTCTTTTTACCTGCAGAGCTCTGTCACATATTGATATGACAGTATTTTGTATTGTTGGTGAATATATATTTTGTAGTTTTAGAATTGATACTGTAAAGGCAGTTTACTATTTAACAATGAACAACAAGCATTTGAAAGTGAACACTTTGTCAAGTTATTTTAACTTTTGAATCTTCACAGTTTGCTTTAAGTGTAGAGGTTTTCCCTATAACTGAATTGTAGTCATATTCTGATTTTTTGCCTTTGTAGTTTTTATTAAGAACAAGATAAAATAAGAGAACTAAAAGATAGCCTGACTAAAACGCCTCCATTTACCTCCTTTTTTGCATCCCGATTCCCAGTAGAGCGGGCTCTGTTGTCCGAAACAAAACCACCTTTGACAAGAGCAAGCCTTGACGAGGCAAATGAGCCATTGCTCTTACATTTCTATCATGTTTTAGTCATGTTTTGTTTCAAAGTGTCAGTTTTTTTCAAAGCCATTCCTAATTTTTGAACCTCAAAAAATTTTGAGCCAAGAATTTATTTAAGCTAATGTAAGATACAACTGAAATGTAATGTTGCAAATACATCTACATTTTGTGGGATATTTTGTGGCATTTTGTGGCGTTTTTCAACCCTCCAAGCCTATCAAAATATTTTGAAAGTATCATACATTCTTGAAATCAAATCCAAATCTTTAGAATAAATCATCTATTGTAAATCCTAACTGAAAATTATTTTGCTAATGTGTTCTAAGCTCATCTACATTTATATGGAAATGATGTATATTTTTAGAGAGCAGACAGGAAATGATCACATCTCCCATCTTCAGCCACTGTGTGTGTCATACATACAAGCACTCAGTTAATGGTTTTATCTCCATTTTATTAATAATAAAAGGCAAAAAAAGTACTGTCAAAAGTAATAAAATTGAGAAAATAGAAATAGGGCTGGAAGAAGAAGTGTTGGTGTTTTCAATGCTAGTTGCTGACAAATAGTACCTTTCCATCTCTATGGTATATTGTATATCCTTTGTTCAAACAATGGACCAGTTTTTCATTGCAATTTACATTCATTACTTAATTTAAATATTCAAAGTTCTCTAAAATGTCATAAGCATTAAAAATTCTAAGCTTGTTACCTCTTACAAGTTTCCTGGTTAAATTAGTTCTAAGTTAGTTCTCTGATGATCTTCAATCAAGATAAAATAAAATAACTTATTAACTTTGGGTTCTATTATTTTATCTTGGTTCAATTTAACCATCATCATACTGGGAAGCATTTGGTAAAACTCTTGAATGTTAAAGTTGTTGGTAAAAATAAAAGACAATTAGCATGAATTTTTTGAGTCATTGCACGGAATTGAGTTGATCTGGAATGGTTTCTGAGAAAACAAATGGTATTCAAAACAGCTGAAACCGTCAAACATAGAAAAGACAGAAAGGCAGTTGATGCCATTGAGTTTACCATCATACCTTCATCAAGGATTTAGGAGTAATTGTGCTTAAACATAATTTTGAATTTCTCTCAGTGAGTCTACCTTACACTTTCTCCAAAGATGTATTCACACCTCGAGAAAATGCGTTTGTCATTCCTAGCTTGAAGACTGCAAAATTTACTTGTAGCAGAGCTTTTGAAAATGGGCTTTCGACTATTACTTGCATTATTTGCTTGTTACAAATCTGGATTAATATTGCTTTGATGAAACGCACTTGCCTTCATTTATTTATTCCTATTTAAAAAGGCACACACAGGCAGCTCAATTTAATGATGTTTACAGCACTATTCAATATGTTTTATCAGTGGTACCCAGAAGATAAATATTAAATATTGTAAAATAAAGACTTTTATATAAGAATACCCAATTTTTCGCTGAACCTCAATATTCTTTATTGCTTTTTATTTTGAGCCTAGATTAATCTTAAATTATTTTTAAGCAAGACAAGGTGTAACTGAGTCGCATTATAGTGTTGATCATGGGGGAAGTAAGGATTTTGAAATTGGGGGGGGGGGGCTGGAGGGCTTGTAAAATCATTTTTATAAACATATAGAAATGACTTTATTAAATATAGTATACAGAGGTAATGTACAAACATGCTAATACCAATACAGTCTTGGGGGGAGATGGTAAAAAGGCAAAATTTGCTCATTTTCGAACTCAGTACATCTGCACATTGCAGTTTACACACTACGAGTACTCGTTCCTCGATCTGCAGATTGTGCAAGCGTTTTTGTTTGGGGACCCTGGAGAATATTGGGGCCAGGCCCCCCTGCCCCCTCATGGTGTTCATGACTCCAAGGCCGGATACATCTACATATAACGTTAAATTCATTTTATTTTGCTTTCCTAAAAACTCACATAAATAAAAATTTAATTCTTAAATTATTCTTAAATTTCATATATAAAAAAGTGTGTGCGCATGCAGATGCCACCTAGACATTTCAAGGAGCGTCTAAGTTTCCTTTTTCGAAAGTTTTGGGACTGGACTCTAACATATGACTAGAGGAGATGATGGCGGCTGACTCTGGCGGCCTATTCGCAAGAAAAAAGGATACCTGTTTACAGTTTGCTTCAAAGCCAACTGCTATCGTTTATTTGCCATCTTTAAACTCTCTTGTAGGAACTCTGTCAAATGGCAGTATCGAAGTTTTCGACATTCATAGTGGATGTATGCTAAAACAAGTTGACTTCACAGGTAAGAACGACCAAACACCTCATCAACTATGTGGCTGGACATGGCACACTTTTGAAGTCCTGCAAACATTCCTTCTCGCAAACATATCCATGATATCTGTACTTTGATATCAATCTATAAGGCCTATTGTATTTTATTTTCCACGAAACAAGTTTATCACATTTTCAGAAGGGTTTGGTTTTGATGAAACGAACATTTTCTCTTCCTTGTATGTAAGCCTGCAGAAGTATGGAAGGATGCCAAAAAGGCAGCTCACAATTGCTATTTAAGACTTTCAATACAAAATGTTAGAGCCAAGGGGCTTTAATAACCAGAACTTTGAACAGGAAATATATTCACAATTTTGCTGGCTTTTGAGTAAAATGAAAACCAATGGAGTATTTTACTGTTTGAGGAAGAAATTTGGCCAACATGACAAACTATTGCTTCAGAAAGGTTCTGGAAGGACTAAAAAATAATGATGAAAGAAAGACGTTTTTGCAAAAGGAAAATATTCTTAATTGCATAGGAATTGAATCTAAACCTTCTGATGACAAGATTACTACTAAAAAGAAAACACATTTTTTTAGCTGAAATTGTATTTTTTCAAATTAAAAGTGCAAAAGCAACTACTGGGACAAGACATTATAGAGTACTCGTGTTTAAAGCTTTTTTGTCTTTTGAAAACTTCAAAAGTTACAGCTACATGATTTGTAGACTGTATTGCTTCATAGTTTGAGAGTACCAAGATAAGTTTAATGATTTCCAATAGAAATGAGCTACTCTGTTGTTAGCTCATTAGGCAAACATTTCAGGTCCTTTCAAATTGAAGGGATATGAAAAAGGCAATTCAGTAACATATGCCAAAAATGCCAAAATAATAAATGAAACTCCTATTTGAAAAATAGCAAAGATATCATACCTAATTGCATTGTTTTAACACAACAAAATCATGAAATAGCTGCTTATTGGACTAATAACAACCACAGCCAAACTTTAAAAGATGCTAGATTACCGTAAGGTTATCAATAGTTGAATGTCATCCAACAAAATATAATATTGCCAACCAGAAACCTTTCCGTTCGGAAGATAGAGATGGAGTTTTTATTGTGGTAACTACATGGGTATATGGTACTCAGCAAACATCATCTTGCTGTGGCTATCTCTATGATGGACTTGTAATGCATGGGTGCATAAACTTCTAATACATGGGTGCATAAATATCATAAAGCATGGGTTAATAAATCTATCTCAGCAGCCATTCATATCCAATTTTGACTGTCATACTTGCTAAACAAATATTGGGATGCTTTGATATTTGCAACATCAGAACAACTTTTTGTGAGTTGTTTTCAGCAGAAGAACTCCTGTTCAAATTCTTCTTCTTTCAAGACATACTTCATCTTTATTGCATTAGAAGCATAAGCTGTTGATAACATCTTGTTCCAGGTATTGTTCTAGCCAAGGAGAACCTACAGGCCAATGATCTTCTGACATTCTCAATGTCGCTTGATGGGGTGTAAACAAATTTTATACTTTTGTCTTAGGTATTAGACTGTAAACAATCTTTTTGTGGTACAAAAGTTGAAAATGAGGATCAAATCTTTTGAGGTCCAAATTAAAAGAGCCTGGTTTATCTACCATGGATCCATAACATTTCCTTGTGATTTGAAAGTCAGATCAAACAGGCCATTACAAAATAATTCTTTGCTGTTAATTCAAGTATTGTTAACAGTACCAAAAAGGCCCTTCTATCCATTCAAAAGGATTGCCTTCCTACCACTGTTATCTATGGGTTTATGTGCCAGTGTGAGTCTGGCTACGTAGGAGGCACAACCCAAAGATTGGGGGATAGAATAGAACAACATGTCCCTTCTGGCATTAGAAACAAAACTCTCTCCCTAAGAGAACAACCACCTCGGACTTGCAGACATAAAACTACAACTAAAACATAGATTCTGCTATCAGGCTACATTTACTGGAAAACCCAGATTGTGCAAATGGCTATAATGGTGACATGTTTCAGTTTATCGGTGGAGCCTGATCGTCGTTTCACCTAACAATTATCGAATCCATCTACATAAACATGAAAAAACTGCTATTGTTTAGAGGGAGTTTGCTTTCACCTTAGGACTCCATTGGAAACATTTTTAATAGGCAAGCAACACTAATTGGGCAACCTCAACATCCATGTGCTCACATATTCTAACTGGCCTATTTCTATCCACAACTGGGTATATATACTTTTAATGAGCAAAAGTATTGCACAGGCTAAAACGGAAATGGTGGCACTGCAACAAAAATTTTTAGCAAACCAAAATTCAAATGACCATAGCAAGTTTCATAAAAGTTATAAGATGACATTTTAACTAGAATATATTAGAAAATATATCAAGGTTTGATGCTGAAGATAGTAAATGCAAACTATTCTAATATTCTTGATTTTTGCCTATTTCCAAACAATATCGACATTTGCAAAAACACAAAAATTGGGCCATGATTATTGAAGTACCTCTGAAACATTTGCAATAAAAAGTTCATCTTTGCACAAGTTTGTGGTATCTTATTACAGTGAACTGGGTGGTGCTTACTTTATGCTTGGATGTTTAGAACTGCTCATTTTCCTCACTTTTGTTGGAGAATATGCTAAACGCTTTGGTCGGAAATTTTTGGAGCTGCAAAGGGCCTAAAAGCTGCGGCTGCTAAATGTTATATTGAATTCTGTTGCTATAATGTTTTTAAAAAGTAACTTTTTTCAATCTTGAAATTAAAAGTGTTGCCAACAGTTTGAAGATTGTTTGATTGGTTTTTGCTATGAAAAGACACCTACGCTAGTGTCTCTAATAGACAGGCCCCCTGTGAATTAATTTCAGAAGAAATTGTCCTCCCCCATCACTTATTAGCACCCCCTTCTATTAAATTTTACAAATCTGTCATGACCCTTGTAATGTTATGTAGTTAATTATTTAATTGTCATAATTCCCCTTCTTATGTTTGTCTATCTTAATTTCTAACCATCTATCTATTATCAAGTAACCAGTGTCATCATCCTACTAATTTGATTGCCTTTTAATTAAAATATTTACCAACATCCACTCCTTCTATTAGCTCCCCTTTGCTAGTGAAATTTGCTGACATTTCATTGAAAATTGGCCAACCTGAACACCACCTTCTATTAGCAATCCCCTTCTATTGAAAAGTGGCCGACATGAACACCCTCTTCTATAAGAACCCCCCTTCAATATAAAATGGGTCAACATGAACACCCCCTTCTATTAGCACCCTCCCTTCTATTGAATATTGGTGGGAATAGACACCCCCTTCTATTACCTCCCCTCTTCTATTAGAGAAATTAGAGTAATGGGTTCACAAAAGTGGTTTAAATGTTGATCGCCTTGTTGTTTACAACCCAGTTGCCAATTCTCATTTGTCAAACCTGTGCAATACTTTGCTCACGAAGTGTATTTCCTAGCAAAGTGTTTTGACCTATGTTCTGATGTTTTTATGCTCTGAAGAGTGTCAGACCAAAATCTTAAGTTTGTTGTTTCCTGAAAGGTTCTGCCAGCTGGACCAATATTATAGATTAAAGATGCTGGCAATTTTCCTAAATCTGTGAATGAAATTAATGTCTGACACTGCAGTTTATTGTCCCAGGGACTTTTGTCAGATGTTTTAAGGCCTAATGCATTCTAATTGTATTATGTTTTTGTTATATCATTCCTTGAATGTGAACAGGAGTGCATTGAGGCTTGCTAAAAACTTTATTGAAGAATTGTTTTGGAGAGAGTATGATATACGAATGGTTGACAAGAGCTGACAAGAAGAAGGAAAATGGCTTGAAATAAGTAAATAGGGAAAGGGCTTAAAATGGGTAAAAAGAAAAGGGCTTTCAGTGGGTTAAGTGTTTTGTTGTGAGCTCTCCCTTGTGACATTGATAGAAGATGTCTAAAACTAGTACCTTTTTGGCCGAAAATCAGTATTCTACAACCCATATTCTGCTACTCATTTTTTAAATTTTTTTTTAAACTGATTTTAGTATTATTTGGTAGATTTTTTGCGACAGAAACATGCTCACATAAGATTTTTCAAATGTTTGTAGATTTCTTTTTTAACTTGCATCTTTAGCTCTTTCTAAAGGGAAACAGCCAACAGCTGTTTGGCATTCATGTTTCTAGACCAAACAAAACTGGCAATTGCTTGTATTTACTAATAGCAATTGTTCATAGAATATTCTTTAAAGCTTTTCGTAAATGAAACCGTTTTGTTTCCCTTCGTTTTGTTGCCGTTTTGTAGAGAGAAGACCTTAAAAAAGCAACCTTGCTTTGGTAATTGCTGGTCCATTGTGAAGGAAGCAGGAATATAGTCTACTTGGCCTGTCCATTTAATAGAGTATTAATTTTTTTTGTAGTCTAGTTCAAATAATATTAAAATTGTATTAAGTGTCTGTTTAATCCAATCCTAGATGAAAATGGCAATAATTCTGGAGAGCTCCTTTGTGCACTTGTGGAAGGCAGTGAAAAACTATGCATCACAAAAGGGAATGTTATTGGCTGTAGAGGTGTGCATGGAGAGAAGATATTACTGGACAGCATTCTACAACATGACAACAAAGAACAGGACAAACTCAAGATTGAGCTTGATATTGTGCAGGTGTGTGACCTTTGATTTTATTCCCCTTGAAGTTCCTCAACATGAAAGTTTGTTGTAAACTTTTGTTAAAAGTCTCTTGAAAAATCCTGGAAAATACTATTCCAATTTGAAATCATATTTCCATTTTTCAATTTTGCAAATTATTGAGGACACGTGCCTATGTATTCCAGTGACCTATTTTGTGAAACATACACATCTTTATGTGTAAAACTTCATATGCACAAAGTCTGAAAGGTTTCTGTAAGAGAATTTTTTCAACCATGTTAATTACTGCTTATATAGACACTTCAGTTACCAGTCATATAAATCAAAGGTATTCAGTTTGTTGTGCTTTGTTCTAAAGCCAAGTAACCAGGCGTGGCGGTTGGAGGCGAGCGATAGCCTTCACGCTGCGACTGACTCTTTCAAGGGCAAAGACAAAATGTCAAGATTTTTACATGTATTTGTGTTATTTTACAGGCTGGAATTTTGTTGAATGGCCTTCAGGCCTGTCAACAGCATTTCTCTTCTCCAAAGCAATTTGTAACTGATTCTGTAAAGGCTGAAGAAGATGTCAAAAATGTCACAGAAGAGCTACAAAGACAATATGAAAAGAGTTTTCATGCTGTGAAAAATTTTGCCAGCAAATCTGTCAAGGTAAGTTTTCATAGTTGGTTTTTTATTAATTGTGTTATTTTATATTGTTTGATGTTTTATTATATTGATATTTTATTTATGATGATAAGATATTATATTATAGTACATTATATGATATGAAATATTGTATTATATTATATTATGTTATGTGTTATATTATATCCTATGGTACGTTATGCTTTGCTATGCTATGCTATGCTATGCTATGCTATGCTATGCTATGCTATGCTATGCTATGCTATGCTATGCTATGCTATGCTATGCTATGCTATGCTATGCTATGCTATGCTATGCTATGCTATGCTATGCTATGCTATGCTATGCTTTGCTATGCTATGCTATGCTATGCTATTATTATTATATTATCATATCATTTAATAGTTATTTGAAAACTAATAAGGCCCCATTTGTCTTTTTTAGTGGATGACTGTTTGTTTGAATATGGAAAAGTCACTGCTGAATGATGCCTTTGTTTATGTTTATGCTCTAATGTCAAGGCAAACTCAAGACCCCTCGCTGCCAATTATTGGTGATGTGGTTAGGCGGATATCACTATGTAGTCCACCAAAAAAGAAGACTGACCCCGGAAGGATTGACAGGATAATGATGCTGGGAGAGGTGGAGCGACTAGACACATTTAAAACTTGGCCACACAAAAATTATGAGTAAGCAGGATTGCAAATAGTATTTGATTGTATTTGCTAGTTGTTTTGTTAGAAAGTTTTTTATCATTGCAAAATGAATCCCATCTTTGGTTCTATTGCAATAATGTTATGTTACTTGAATCGAGTGCCTTTTATTGTTTAAGTCACACCCATTTTCCCACGATCAATGACTACTAGACTTTGCAAGCAGGTGTTACTGCAAGTTCTTCATTCAGTTTATTAGATTGATAGCAATCGAAAAAGAGACCTGTCTATGAATTGCTACACAGCTGTTTGTTGTAAAGATATTCTTTTCTATAAAGATAATATTTGTCAAAAATGATAATGTTTCTAATGACCATGTTTGATAAGAGAAGGAAAGAGCATCATGATCTAGGTATTTTCATTATATCCAAGTTTTTTCATGCTGCAGCTAACACTGAGATGTCAAGGATATCCCCTATTGAAACTTGAAAGTGTTTGAAATAAATTATACAAATTTGATAAAAAAATGAATTTTGCAAGTTTTTAATCGAATATCCGAAATTAAATAATAGCTGTTTGAATTATTGAGGTAAGTTGTAGCTGTATTTTGTCAATAAATTATGTACTGGCTGTTTTAGGTACGCTTTACCAGGTCCAATGGCAGAGGCAGGGTTTTACCACCCGGTTAGTATTTTTCAAACATCTATTTTTGTTAATTGAAATTTTGAATCTTTTAGATTTTGGGGCTGCTAAATTGTCCATTGGCATGTATAACTCTATTCCATGACATGTACTGCTCGTTTCATTCCTTGAAGTTACTGCTTCTCCTATGCAAATAAAAGAATCACAAATGTATTTGTAAACTCGGCATAACATTCATCCATTTCTCTTTTTTAAAGGCGTATTCAACAGCATCAGAAGACAGGGCAATTTGCTTCAAATGTGACATTTGTCTAGTTTATTGGGAACCATCAGACCAGCCATGGTTAGCCTTCAGCCTTCTGTGTTACAATTTCTTTTAATCATTTTTATAGTGTTGAGATACTTTGCCTTTTGAGTTGGTATTTGTGATCATAATATTTCCGATTTTAAAATCAGGTTGAAGGACTCTTCTAAGCGGAATGGTCATATCACACTCAAATTTAGGAATAAATATAGCCTCTAAATCCAAAATCTACATCTTGTACAAATAACTCTAGATTAAGTGATGTCTTTCATTTGAAATTTGCAACATTTTTCCGAACTCAGCCAACAGAAAACAAAGACTTGTTTATTGAATAAGGATTATTAAACATCATGTTTTTTTGGAAAGGACGTTTTTCGGAAATTTCCCAAAATCATCTATCCTAAATATTGTCATAGGTCTGAGCACGAAAGACATTCAAGCAGCTGTCCTTTTGTGAAAGGCGAATATACAGCGAATGTTCCATTATCAAGTAAGATATGTTTGTGCTTTTTCTTCTTACAGTAGAACTTTTTATTACTAATTCTTTTCTTTATTAGTGGCTGTTAATCGTATTTATTGAAAATATCTGTAACTTTTCATCTGAAAATTCTCCTTATGTTTTCTAGCGTTTTATTTATTCGTATATATTATTTGTTTTTATTGTTTCTTTACCTATTATTGACTTTTCTATGTATGTAAATATGCCTTAAATGATTGTCAATTCTCATTGCTGGGTATGTTATTACCTGTGTGACCAAAATACCCCTTTACGTTCATTATTCTTTTTTAAAAATTTTTATTTTTTGCTACTTTGTTTTGGCTTTTATACTCTGTTCCAGTCTTTGTTATTTTTTGTATTCGAACGTCTGTTCATTGAACGATATCTTCCCAGAATTAATTACTTTTGTAGTATTACAATATGTTAAACTCTATTTAGTTTTGACATTTCGTGTTTAATAATATTTTTCTTGAATTTGTATGTATTGTGAAATTTTGCTATTCTTAATTTCATGTCCATTTTGTTTTTCTTCCTTGCAGTATATTGCATATTCAGCTTTTAGTTATTATCTTTTTGCAATTTTTTTATATTTGACATGATGGGCATAAGATGGGATTTTATCAAAAAGTCTTTTTATTTTTGATCCACTTTTTGTTGATAGAAGTCTTTTTAAATATCTACTAACGGAATCTGGTTGTCTTCTTGTATCTCTGTCATAGGCGTTTAGCTGATCTACCACATATGTTTTATGATTTTTCTATTGCCTCAGTATCAATCCAATTTTTCGCCTGGTTTCAGTTCAGAAAACAGTTCTCTTTTTTCCAAGACCTGAAGTTCGGACTTAATAGACTTAGATGCACAACGTTTGTTGCTGCTACCAATTTTTATCCAGTCTGCCCTATGGTCACTGTTACGTCGACCTTCTTGTCCTATGATTATCGACAGACACATCTCTCCTCTCCTATAATAGCTATTTCTCCCCCTTTTCTTTAATTGCTTTTTTGGGCAGTAGTTGATTTTCTTGCTCATATTTTCAGTTTGTGCTGCTGTCTGTCATGGTCAGAACTTGAAGGACCCAAATGAAAAAGTAAGCAAACAAAACAGATTTGTTCATGTTTTTATTTAGAAAACATTGGAAGAAAGCAAAGCACAGACGACAGTTTTTAGATAACTGTGAGGCCAAAAAGGAAAACGTTTTCTTTTTGATAGAAATTTTCTATGACATCGTTATTTATGATTCTCTTTTAAAGGCTGGATGCTTCTCAGCTTTTCACCTTTTAAAGACGATTGACGTATTGCATCGCCATGCTAGATTAATGACCTAATCCCTTAATGGATGCATTTTCTAACCCCTTCAACACCAAACCGTTTTAAACTAACACCAATACTTCAAATGAATCATAAAATGCTATATAAACTCAATACAAGGTCCAGCGATGGGATACCAAATTCAGTTGCTTTGCTGTTAATAAGTCTGAGCGTTTCTTCTATGATGCATATCCATTAAAATGTTCACGATTACTAGATATGTTTGGTTTTTAATTGCCGATACGATAGTTTATTTTCTTTGACTATCGATTAAAAGAACAAAAAATAATCGAAAGGCAAAATACACAGTACCTAACGCCTAGCAGTTATTAAACACGAAATAATAATGAAAAAGATAAAACCAGTCGAAAACCCTGACTGCTGAACAAGGGATTTCTTGTGCTGTTTGTTAAACGGCTGACCAGCAACCCACCCGTCTCTTGAATTAGAGTGTAAGAAACATATTGACTCTATTTATCAAGACAGACATGACTGGTCAGCTAGACCAGCCACTCAATTGATGAATTTCATAAACAAGGAAATGCGCTCCGGATCAGATGGACGATCGATCAACCAGACGGACGATCGATCAACCACCCTGTAAACAGGCCCTACTTTTTAAATCATTAGGGGGTAAACAATATATTGGATGGTTGCCCCGATTAACATCTTATTGCCTACAAGCTTCATATATCCGAAGTCCCTATTATGGTATTGACGAAAATAGGTTTTTCTTTCAATAGACATCGGTGCTAGTTGTAAATAATGACACACGATCCTCTTTCCAACCAAAGGTCACTCGAATTGGCAATCAAAGTTGTGAAGGTTTAGTTGTGGTTGGAACAAATCAAGGAAATGTGTATTTATTGGGAAGCTTTCCAATTCTGAAGGTAAAACCAAATTGCTTATCTTGAATGAAAATTTAATCTTTTATCAGCCCATTTTAGTTTATTGTTCATTCAAGTAACCGTTTAAGATATATTAATATTTTAATGGATTTATAGTTATACTAAGAACTAACCACAAGTATTAATTATTGAAAACTAAAGTCAAAACATTTATTTTATGCTTTTGAAGATCTTTGATTTGATAAGATTATATGCTTAAGGCAATGGTAGTTTTCATTTCTCTAATATTTTCTCCTTTTTTTATTCATACTTCCATCGGTTAAAATATTGCTTTGCTAACAGAATTAGTTGTTTTTTGTGCTTTTGCGAGTTCAGTGAATAAAACGCATTACTTTGTAAATGGTAGACCTAATTAAACAGAATTTTCCTGCGAGCATAAGGCGAACAACTTTTTGTGTAAGAGACCAGCCATGCAGCGTTAATAAAAAAAACAAAATGCCAAAATAATAGTTAATTCGGCCACAGTTAATGCCGGCTGCATAAAAACATGCAGTGACGATGACTTTAAAAAATGACGTTTTAGAATTCGGTATATATAAAAAAATATCCATGATATGCGTAGACACCAAAGTCCTGACTGTCTTTTTCAATAACTGAAATTTTCAATAACGTTAACGGCCACTGATCGTTAGAAAACAAGGAAAGAATCTCAACCGCCATTTTTGCCAAACACTTTTAGTATTTACATAATTATACTCTCGTTGGGATGTCTGACGAAAAAATACTTTCCTATATTCATTATTTTTCTTCTTTTATATTTTTTGAAGTTTTTTGTCCAAATATAGTTAAAGTATTTTCTAGACAGTCGCATTGATCCTCCTTGAAAACACATTGAAATCTTAACTTCCTAAGCAAATGCCGAACCTCCCCCCCTCCCCCTCCCCCCCTCTAAAACGATCTCGTTCGACCGTTTCTATATACCCATCGTTTAATCAAACTGCAGTGATTGAAGAAGGTTATGATTTTGAAATAATTTCTGATTTGACAAACTTAGACATCAAATAGCACGTTTCACCTTCCTTGTGGTTATCTATTTTTTATTGAGAGTTTTGATGAATTGCTTTTGGAAACAAGTGTGGATTTGAATTGAACTATTGACATGCAAGATGGTTGTTTGTCTCTCTAGTTTTGCATACACAGATATCCCCCTGATGTGTCCTTTTTTCTTGATTTAGCTAAAACGCAAGTTGAAAAGATGCCTATCACGCTCAGTATCTGACGATTTGAAACTTAAAGGTATTGCTGGTGACGATGCCGGGAAGTCTTCCTCCGCATCTTCCTTAACCAACGATCAAGAAGATCCGATGGTAGATATGGCCAACAAAGTCGAAACTGCAACCCAAGTTTCCGGATCTCCCGAGACCCAAGATGAAGAGTTTATAGACAGTTCCTTAAAAGTCGAAGAGGAAATTGTTGAGGACGGTGATACAAGTGCCTGTAAAGAAACAGTGTCAACCCAAATAACGGTTCATATTCCAAGTAAAGTTACAAAACGAAGACCGTATTCTATCGAAATTCAAGCCCTGACCATTTCTAAGCATCGTGTCGTTGCTGAGAGTGGACAAAAGAAGTCAAGTAATTATATTATAGTTGGGCGAAAATGCACTGTTGAGTCAAAGAGAGGAGGAGGCGAGGCTTGCAAAAGGTCTTGTTTGAGTGTTTTAGTAGTCAATGAACGAGACATGAAAAAGGTTGAAGTGAAGAAAGTAGATACAAAATCTAAGAAGGTTAGTAATGGAGTTAATGCTTATATTCCCAATTTGATCCAAGATCCGTTATTCCAGCACGAATTTGACTCATATGTAGGCGCAGATACTGGAGAACTTTCAGTTATCAACGAATACTTGCGGGCAAGTAAGCAAATAGAGAAGACGGAAGGAGCAAAGAAGAAGACTTCAAAGGAGAGTCGTTCAAGCGAGGCAAGAAAATTCCAGGAATTTATCTTGCCTAGTTTCGTTGATGCGTCCACGCATGAAATATCGCATTTGTATGCAACAGCCACGAGTCTTTTTGTTGTTGTGAAATGCAGGAGTTTAATAAGTAAATTCGACGATGAAAGTAATGGCCATGCTGATTCACTTGAAGATTCCAGCTCCATTGATTCTGATACAGAGGTTATCGAGATGCCAAACGGAACGCAGAAGGAAACGAACCGCTCTTCGTATATCCTCGAGTATCGCTGGCTGTTTCAAAGCGGTGGTGTAGCTATTCATGATTCTATTGTATCTTTGCGTGAGTTCACCCAGGAGGAATATTTACACGATGTTCTGATGATTCCAAGCAAAAACCTAGGGTTTAGGCAACAACGCTTTGACTTCGTTGGAGACGAATGCATAGATTCGAATGGCGCAGAGTTACTTTTAGCTGTTTCTGGAATGGATCAAAAGCGTCTTCTGTTAATCAGTACGCTAGATCTAACAGACGTAAACGTGCTAACATTAGATGGTATCGATGGTAGCTGCATGGTAGAGAAAATCGTTTACTGTTTAGGGATCAGTGTCATTGCCTGTTGTTTGGATGATGGTAAAGTGGTACTTTGTGACCTGGAGGGCCGTGCGAAGAAACCTGCCGAGGAACCGAGTAGAGAGCTAGCTACCGGAAGCGGTAAGTACAATGCCGTTCAGTGTTATGCTATTGATTGCTGCTTCTTTAATTGGCCAGTGAAGCAAATGTATTGAAGTGACACTAGAGGCCTTGGTACGTGAAAGAGTTTTTTAAAGAGTCTATTCGCAACTCCTGTTTTCCAAGTCGCCTCCTGTTAATAATTTCATGGCAGCTGGAAACTTCTAGAACCGAGCATGATCCTTTATAATTTAACATACAAATTTATGTTTAACATTGAAATCCACTTATTTTTTTCAATTTGGGGGGGGGGGAGAAAAAATGAATGTAGGTGTGGCAGCCCATTATTCTGTATCGTCTGTCTCTTTAATTTAAATTATGAATAAAGCATTAATGACAATTTTCTTTAATTTCTTATTATAGTATAGCATTTCCCCCTGTTTTTGACATTTGCAGCTATATTTCTAACTTTCTAATTGTTTATAATTGTTCCTCCTCTTTCCCCCCGTTACTCAAGAATTCATTCAAGTGAAAGAAGTTAACTTAAATCCCAGTCATCAGGATTGATGCTATATCCAATTTTTTCTTGGATGATTTTGTTAAACAATCATTTATTCGCTGAAATGTCTCAAGTGAGGTCAGCGTTTGGCAGCCAGATGCTACTCAGAACATCTCTTCATTTGTCATTATCTGCATTTCAATTATGCCCGGATCTATTGCTCCAATTTTCTGTCAGTATGCTTTGCTTTGCACTTGAAAGGTTTTCCTGAACTGTTAAGATTATCATAAAGTTCTGCTACTTTCAGGTCATATATTGGATGTCCCGTTAAACGACGCTAAACTATCGGAACTCCTGCACCTGACCCGTTTCGAACCAATTACCAATGGCGTGCACATGTTCCTACCAATGGACTGGGTTGTTGGCAGGGCTTCATTGAGCGCCAATGCACCGTTGCAAAGCAAAAGGCGGCTTCAGCCACATGTCCAAGATATTTATCCTATAAGCAGTCCATCGCTTCTCAAGGGCGTGAATGGAATTTCTGATCAAAAGCTACAAGAACAAAGGTTCGTGCCAGTTGCGTCTTCATCTTTTGTCATTCATCTGATCAAATCGTAACTTCTACTTGCCATCTAGTATGTAGCTAAAAAAGGAACATAATAAGAAAATTTAAATCTTAAACGTAAATATCAACTGTTTATGAAATACCAAGAAAGGATTAAGTAAAGTTGCAGCTTTTGCTTTATGATTAGCAGGTTAAATCCTATTAGAGTAGCTGTATGTATTTCTGTATAAATGCAGTGAAAATAACTGTTTACCGGTCTGTCATTTAGCGCTCGATGCCGTATAGGCAGGGCTGTACACGCTTTTCTGTTGCCTGATGATCGCAATAAGCGTGAAACTCGGAGTAGAAACTTTGAACCGTCCTGTTCTTTACACGAAATAGCATATATATAAATGTATTGTAATTGTATTGACTCGGCCGTAAAAAGCTGTTTGCAGTACATGTGTTTATTTCCCTGGTTTCCCGCCCCTATTTAATCTTTGCTAATCTTCATTGTTTGGATTTTGATTGTTTTGTCTTTAATTGGCCTATTTCGAGATGTTTCTGTTTGTGGGAAACTGTTGCTTTCCTTGTTTTTTCCATAACCGCGAAATGTCTGACCACAGAGCGTTGCAGCGAGTTAATCTCTCTTGCAACGAACAGAGGCTACTCCATTCTCATTAATGTTTAAAAGCAGTTCTTTCCTTGATCTTAATTGCAGCCTAACAAAGGGGCTTTTGATTGTCCAATAACACGCTCCAATGGTCATTATGTTTTCAGGCTTCGTCCGAAAGAACAGAACGTGACATTCAAGATAGTTGTCAGCTCTGAAACATCAATAGGATACATCGATCTGGCCTTTGAGTGTAACACAGCAATTTCTGAAGAATCAAATCTGTTTGTTTCCCTGTATTTGATAGAACAGAATAAGAACACTGCCGGCAAAGCAGACGATTTCAGCGACAGGGAATTGATTTGCGGACCAGTTTCACTGTCAGAGTACCGATCAAATGAGGATTGCAAAGCATCGTTGATGCTAACTTCACCAAGGCTGGCATCTGTAAAAAGCAGTTATTTAGCACTAGATCTGGATTATCGTCCCAGGGATGGCTCGGCTAATCAGTCAGAAGCCGGGCTCAACGGCGAGGTGGATAGAAGACCCAGTAAACTCGCGGTTGCTGACTTTATATCAAACATACAAATAGTCATATACCAGTTTCTGCCTGCCATGCCAGACTCATCGTTGCTTCCATCTTTTCGTCTGCATTTGATAGAAGAAAGAGAAATGCAAAGGAAGCTTCTTCATCAACTGGTGATCGATGTCTACAATGGCAAGTGTCTTGGTGAAGATTCAGAAGGAAGAAAATGCTTGGAAATATTTCTGTGGATATGGCACATGTTGACATTTGCCGAAGACAGTTTAAGGTAAACCAATTGCTAGATTTTATATTTTTAGTTTTATTAAGTTCATATATGTGTTACTTCTATCAGGAAATGCCTTTTTCACTCCTGTCCTGAGTACTTTTAAAAGAAAAGGGGGCACTTTTAGGTAATGTAGGGAGCTGTTATTGCGTTGGAAAGATGTGCAAATTTGCGTGAGACGCACAAATTTAAGGTTTTTTCTAATCAGATGCAACGACGAATAGAAACATGTTTAAATCATTAATATATGATTTTGATAGAAGTTAACGCATCCCATAATTTAATTAGATAATGAAAATAAAATAAACATATGAATGACATTCTAAAAATTCAAGTTTTATAGGAATTTGATTATTCCATCGTTTGACCTAGAGCTGCTTGTGTTTCGTACGTAGAAACACGGTACAGCCTCCTTTTCAATGCACGATTTGCATATGGTTTTCCTATCCTTCTTTTCGTTTAAGGTACGAGGTTTGTTTTCATCGCATCATTGTCAGGGTTGCCAATAACAGCATATGGCACAAAAACCTTTATTCCAAGAACGAATTAACGATGTTGGTTTTTTTAGAAGAAGAGTGTTTGGCTGAACTGTGTATACTGAAATGTCGTGTGCTTAAATATACCATCTTTATGACGTAGTATAGTGTTATGGAAAGGAATTGAAGAGATTCGAGATTTTTTTAAGCAGTTGCAGGGTTTTAGGCATTGACAGTTTTTAAACTTAACTTTTAACTTGTTACAAGAGTATTTGCTTATTTGTCTATGTGCTGCAGTAGCTATATTATTGGTGTTTACTCAAAATGTTAAATATAAAACTATTTGTAACCGTTGGTGCTGAGTAGACAGTGAATCCTAATAAATACTCTTGCCTAAAATCTTGACTATAAATACCTTTATTTTTTGTTGTTGGTTTGCCCGCAGGAGCCAAATTGTAGAAGTAGTTGCAGAAAACGTCTCAGACCTCATCAAGGCTTGCTTCGTAAATGGCGATAGAACACTGGCCCATAGAGTTTATCAACTGCTTGTCAGCATTTGCAGGTATGATGCAAACTGACTGTGACTGTATTTTTTGATTGTATATGTTGATGAAATCGAATTTTCTTTTCATGCTTGGTATTTCATTATAGAGCAAGAGTCGTTTGCATGTTGATAGTTTTTGAAACAGGTAACAGATTCTTGTAGACTACACTAACCTTAGCAAAGGACAAGATCTGCAGTTACTGGATGATAATAGAGCCCTTTAGTTTGACGTCGCCAAAATATGTTTTTGCAGTTTTTGACTTTTAATATAATCTTTAAAAAACCCCACGAATATACCTCTAATAGTTGAAAATCAGCTACATTTGTTGGAAATTAGGTGGAGTATGGTCAAACAAGATTATTTTTTAATCTTTTTAAGGATCATAAACTTATGAATAACGACCAAATTACAGCGATTTAATGGCGAAAGAGCATACACTCATGTGGCCATATCTCAGCCAATTTGTAAACGGTTTAACTGAATTTCACACATTCAAAAGTATTTTTGATGCTTTTTCAGGTTATGTGATCCAATTTAAAAGGTTCTGCAAATAGTTTTGTGACGTCATCTCATACAAACTCTATCTAAACTCCTTTGGCTAATCAAGCAAGCAGTACTAACTTGCTGCTTTGTTTTGATATCCGTCAACAAGTTATGCATTATATTATGACGGAATGACGCAACCCTCATGCTGTGGCATAAATAGTGGGTTACAATCCTTAGAACTCATTATCCGTATTTTGTAATCGCTTATACGAACTCATTTATTAATAAAATCATTCTCACCTTTTCAAATTTGTTTCTAATCGTTAATCTAGTGATGATTGTCACTGATTTGAGCTAAAAAAAATTTTACTGTTGATTAGTATCAGCGACTGAAAAGTCAATTCGAAACTTAATAACCAAAAAGAATTAAGTTAAAATGACAAAGAGGTATGGTCTTGCATGTGTAAAAACTCCATTGCATTGTTTCCAAGGCTGACCATTCAAAGCAGTTTTATAATAATGTTGCTGAATCGTAGATTGACATATATTTCATCATATTATCAAACAATTTTCCGCTGATCTAACTGTTCACTGTTAACGGCTAACAACTGTGGATTTCAAGTCCTTATTTTATCAATAACGCAGCTCCGTAGTAGTTTTAAGCAGATAAATTCAATTTTTTTCCATTTGCGGCATGCATTGTGTGTTAATATGTTTGTCGTAGTCTCGTTGTCTTTTGGCTGGACTGAAGTAGTCTTTGTTTGGTCATGCTAACAGTCGAGATCTGAAGACAATTTTCCGATTTTTCTCAGTTACTGATTGATGCTTGGTTGTAGATATTTTTGTCGCATTTGAATGTTGACCATTGCTTTTGTTTTATTTCCTCTTGAGACTCCAATGTATCCTTTGTATAGATAAACGCCCTGTCTGGTCACACGAAGTCCATAAAGACAGGCCTAACAGCTAAAGCGGCTTATGAGATTTATCTCAAATTATACACAATGTTCTCAAACTATCTCAAATTATCTAGATTTGGGCATTTTCTATAATTTTTAAATATCCCATGATTTTTCTCTTAGGTATTCTGACAAACTAGGACATTCAAGTTTTGCCAAGCAGCTTCTGTTGGCGCTCACGAGTGTCGTTGAGGAGGTAGCGAATTTCTCATCGGTTGGGGCATTACGTTGGTTTTTCCGACTGTGCAATGCCGCTATCAAATATGCCGATCCGGTTGACTTGGAAGGGCTCTTTGCATCTGTTTTGATATCTTTGGTGGAAGTAACAAGATGCCACCAGGACAGCATTACAAGCAAGCAGCTGATGCTCCAGACAAGGTAGTGAAGGAATTGTTACTGTTCTTCTCCCCTAAAGTAATCATAACACATACATGCGTCTTTTTAATTATTGGATATGAATTTGCAAATGATGCTTTCTTTACTTCTCTAAACACACGAGGTAGCTTGGGATTTAGAATTGGGTTCTTTTGTGCAATGAGAAGTTGGGTTCTTTTCATGTTAATTCCTGCTGAAATCGTTAACGGAGCGTGTTAACTTTTTTTGTAGATTTGACTTGGTCGGGTCGCCATTGGAACCAATTATCGCTGAGCCCGTTTGCATTAACTTGGTTATGGGTGAGAACGTGAAAACGAAACCGGAGCCTCAGAATGGCAGCGAGGCAGCCGCAGATGGCAAAAAGACCATGTCTGTTGCAGCCTCTGAAGTACCAGGTGAGTTCAGAAGGTAGTTGATTTCTCTCTTGTTAAAAGGCTGTATGTGACTTGCCATCCTATTAGAATTGATCAGGAAGTATTTTCACAAATGTCAGCTCAAAAACTGACCTATGTTGGTCGTAACATGCAGGTGTTTTCTGAGACCAAGAAGACTGTTCTGCTTGTCAATCATTAACAATTTCCATATTCCATTTTTACCTTTGATCTATCGTTCGTCATATATCTATATCTTACATAAATTTTCCTGGTTTATACCCAACGGTTGTCTCAACCTTCCTTTGCGTTTGGCGCTCCGAGAAAACTACTAACAAATTATTTGGTGTCATTGCTTTTAAAGACCCCTTCGGGCGTATCCCATGGGTTTGATATTATCATTTATATTTAAAAAACTTTTCGTACTATTTCAGGTATTTTGGAGGTGCACCAACTCGGTTTTACTTGCGTAATGACGAGCGAAGGCTCAAAGTGTGAGGCAGTGACGAAATCTAGTAACCCCCAAAGCCAGTCTCTGAAGGTTAGCATGGAACACGCTAAAAGTCAGTTTCAAGAGCCAGCTGGCACCTCACCTCCGTATCCATACAAAGATGAAGACCTGCCATTTTTCGTAAGATATTTTCAAAACAATGTTTCTAAATCATGTTATGTTTTTCGGCTTTATTATAGAGCCTCAAGATTGTCTAGGGTGTATGCGTAGTATTTCAGCAGCACAATTTTCGCTGAAAGAAAGCTTCTATTCTTCTAGTGGTTAATTTTCATTTTGTTTTGGGATATGTATTTCAAAAAACAGTGAAAGGTACTGTTTCGACTTCTTTCTACCTCGGTCTCGTTACTAAAGCCTCTCCAACCCAGCTCCTAGCAATTATTTCATGATCATTTGACCTTAGATGATTGAGATAATAATATAAAGCCATTAATTTGATAAAAATAAACTTAACAAATGGTATAAAACGCAATTTATGACAACATTCCATCCAACTCACCAAAATCTGGTGACTTGAAGAACAACTCTGTTTTGATCAGATTACACCTGTTCTTCAATGCTACCTGTTCAAAAAACTTATAACATTTCCTTGTTTTCTTTTTGTGATACCAAGTTTTGTTAATCACGAGACAGCAAAAATAGTAACCAATCAAGAACTCTATTTGTGGCATAAACAGTAAAACCTCTCTTCCTTGAATTTGTTTGGCAGCTGTCTAAATTGTATTGGCTTTTATTTAATTTAGGGAATTTTCTATTTAAGATTATTTTCAGCACTTCTGTCAATTTCAATGGTATGTTGATAGATTTTTACGTTTGTATAGCTGCTTATGCATTTATTAAGTATTATGTTTTCCATCATATATTTGACAATCCTCTGTTCGCTACAGCCATTTTATGATGATTTGAATAACATCGAGTCGGAAATGCCAGATGAAGATTACATCGAGGTTGATCAAAGTGTATACGAGGTTCTTGATAAAGAGGGCTTTGATATGTGGAATTCCGACCTCAACCAACGAAAGGCGAAAGTTGTAAAGAAAAGAGGGAGATCTGCTAGACAGGAACAGCCGCCTGATATTGATAACGAATTCATTGTAAGTTTCCAACTAGTTCAATGACATTTAAAAAACTATTAACTGCCATTTTATTAAATTATAACTTACATGCAGCGACCATGTTATTACAAATTAATATTCTTTGTCTGCAAAGTGCAATCAGCTTCTTTGTACGAAATTATTGACCATTTCACCTTATCTTTTATAAACTTCATGTTGTGATCATATTCTTACCAAACGTTTTAATGTAGAACATTTTTTATTAATATTTTAGTTCCACTTTACGGATTCAACCATTTACTGTTTTTTGGTCTCTATCCTGCCTTTTTATTTTTGTGGCAATTATATTTTTGTTCGAATAAATATAATCAATTAAACTAAAAATAATTTCAAACTGATTCTTAAAATTGTAAAGAAAAATTTCAACACACTTAAAGATCTTGGGATAAAAACCCAAGTATGGCAACACTGCTAGGTTTTCTAAGAGCCAATTGTTTTTTCACAGCTAGTATTCTATAGAGAGTTATTTAGTAACACCAGTAATCAATTTACTTTTCAGAAACCAAGCTCTCAAATTTACTGCCAAAACTTCTAAATTTGATTCATTTCCAGGTGCCCGAATCGATGCTACTAGTTGTTGAAAGAATGCATGCCGCCGCACAACATTTTGCAATTATCGACTTTCAGCGACCTATATACTTGACGGATGTGCTCATCCCGCCCTGTTCATCTTTAGCAAGCCTGTCAGTGTATGCCTGGAAGGAGAATCAGACTGAAAAAGAGGCCGTGCACGTTGTTACTTCGAATGAAATCGGGCGGAAGGCCTTAATCTTGACCGACATGATACCATCTGTGAAATGCAAATACCTCAAGGTAATACCCGCTCTGTTTGCATTAAATCATTCTGCTGTTTAATGGTTCTTTTTTTACCGTGAGGTTTCCTATTCGCTTATTCAAAAATCGTTTGGGAACTTGGTTTTCCTAACAATTTTTCAAATTCAAACCGAGAGTAATCTGAAAGTTTGTTATCCCAGTGTCCGCAATTTTTGTTTCCATATGTATTTTTAACGTGTTGATATTTAAAAAACGGATAGTAAACTCTAAATGTATAATATGGAATCCTAATATTTTGGTGTTTGTTGAAAATCAGTGCATCTAAACAAGATTCTGCTAGTTGTCATTAATCTAGAAATCTAGTGGCTGACGGAAGAGCGTAATTACACTATATCAACTATTATTATACCAAATTGCTTTTATTCTTAATCAAAGACGTTTTTTCTTTATATACCAAGAATATTGTGTCATAGGTCATTGCGAATGGGAGCCGAAAATTGAACTCCACCAAAATCTCAATATCCCTTGGGAACTTTTATGGTAGGCCCGTGGATGGAACCTACAAAGCCGATCAGCTGAAATCGAGGCTGCAGCAAGAGTATGACAGAGCGTTCTGTCGTTACGCCCTTGCCTGTGATAGACTGTCCAATGCGATTGAAGACATCACAGAGGCTTCTGCTGAAGTCACTGATCGTGTATCAGGGGATTTGCAAAATATGTTGATGAAAGCTTACAGTGATTGTGCAGAAACACAGCTCAATCTTAATCATGTTTTTCATTCATTGAAGTTCTACCAGACGAAGTCAAAGCAGGGAATACCTGGTTTCGTAAACAGGCAGAATGGTCACATGCCAAGTGATTTCATGAGAGTTCTCATAGAGTGCTTCCTCGAGACTCTTCTCTTGTCACTTCAAAATATTGCAAAATCCAGTGAAATTACAGGAACTTTTGAGATGGAAGTCGTGAATTTCGACAACTTTTTGGAATTGTTTAAGAATCTGTGTATATTTGGTCCCCTTAAGATAAGACAGCTCGGATGTACACTTGTACAATGCCTTTGCGAGATTCAGCCTTGGTGGGACGAATTCCTGATCAATTCCTTTAAATACTGCTTTGAAAGCAGCTCTGTCCACGGAGTTCCAAAGAACAGGTGAAAATTAAGAATTTCACTCTTTCATTTTGTGACACTTTTTGTATCAACTTCTCCTTTATTTTTGACGAACGCTGGAAGAGAAAAGCTTTCTAACATGCTTTTTGATATTTTCACTTTTCACTTTAATTTATGTGATATGCAGTGTTGTATGTATAAATTCGATAATAACTTTTTAGTGCTAGATCAGTAAAAAGGCATTCTTCATTCGACCATAAAATTGTATCTAGGCCATCAGGACGTATGATAAACATCAGAGCATCATGGCGATATCAGAATTTCGCTCCACCATGCAACTGACCAAGCGCATCTTTATCTGGTATTGTGCCTGCAGCAAGCTCAGACCTATAACACACAAGTTTAATCTACAAATCGTTTCTTTTTTCAAAAACGCACAAAATCGTCACCGTAATTTTCCATCAACTGCATCGAATAGTGCTGTTTTCAAATGACTTTGGATGGCATTTTGCACGGTCATAGTTAACTAAGTTTCTCCAAGGTTTGCTCTTAGTATCAAGTCCTCTTTCTTTCCTTTTGGCAGGCTGTTCATTCTTTTCATGCGAATCCTAAAGACTGCCTCAGATAGGAACAGAGTTATTCAAAGTCTTACTGATCTACTGAATGATACGCTAGCACCGCTTTGCAAAGGAAGAGCATCTCGAGGGCAGCTCGACTTGGAACTCGTTGATTTGCTTTTACTGGTCTTCAACGAGCTGTTGCAGCATTTTGGTGAGTCTTATTCCCGAGGCCTCTCTTCCTCTTTACTTCTATAATATTAGACATTTTAGTAATCTCTTAGTAAATTTACTGATATTACTTCATGTAAATGAATTCGAAAACTTGTTTACATTATTGTGTACAGCAAAACAGAAGCCTTAATTCGTCCGTCGCCATGCCTTCTCGACGTTGTCGCCCAGTGCCGGTAGGCCTAGAGAGGCACTAGTTATTTCGAAAATTGTTCACATATTTTGTACACCTAAACATTTGAATTTCCGAAAAAGCCCATTCTCTTCGTTGAGAAAATGCTCACTTGCATAAATTCAAGTAGAATAGTCGTATTCAAGAAGTTGCAGAGCAGGTTCTTTAACACTCGCTCCTGAATCTCTGAACAAAGGACAGCAAAGTTGCTCGTGACTCTGCGGGCATTCTTGCACACGCGGGAAGAAACGAGTTGAGATCTTAACTGGGACTGAAAAGAAGCCTATCGTAGAAGGGTTGTCATATACAAGCATTCATTCAGCCAAGAATTACATTTGAAAGATTGCAGAAACAGTCTTACAAATAAGATAAAAGAGATTGAACCAAACAGCTATTCTTTTAATTTGTTAAGCTTGTTAAGCTATATGTTTTCGGCTGTTTTGGATGTAAGGCCTGGTTCAAACGTCGCACTTCTCATGTGCCGAACCTAACTCGAGAATTAAGTACATGAGGGACGCGACGTTGAATCAATTTGGTACGGCAGATTTAGTTAGGAGCGGCAAACTAGTTTGGATCGCCAGAACTTGCCCAGGTGCACGACTCCAGCACGGCTCGGTTTCAAGCGTTGAACTTGTCATGTACCGAACTCAATGCAAAATCATATTTAATTTAATTTATTTGGAAAATTTATCTCATAACATTGGATTCTCGTCACCGTTTTGCTTTGTTTCTTAATTTTAAACCAAGATACTTTATGTAAAAATCCTAAAATCCATTTGGCGCGACAAAATTGAGTTCGACGTTTGAAACGGGAGTCGCGTTAAAAATGTTCAAGTGTCGCTCCAAACAGAGTTTGGTTCGGCACACGAGAAGTGCGACGTTTGAACCAGGCCTAAAACTAGGGTGGTATTTGAGCCTCTTTAAAATCTTTGCACTAATGGTGTAATTAAAGTTGATATTTAAGATTTTTTTGAAATTTCGGAAATCGCAGCTTAATAATGAAATTAATAACCAGTACGACGACAAAGAAAGTGTTAATGCATTCGATAACTTCTTGCTACATCGTAGAAAATTCCAATTTAGACAGATCCATTAAGACATACCTAAAGTTCATAAAACTGACTGTCCCGCTAAAACTTTTCTTTCTGCCATAGGAACATATAACTATAACCTTGCTAAATTTCTTGTTCCTATTCTCCAACCGCATACTTATAATCAATACACTACTAAAGATTCTTTTTCTTTTGTTAATTAAATTACATCTTTTCCTAACCGCTCATTATATATGGCCAGTTTTGATGTCTCTTGCTTACTAAAAACCCTCTTGATGAATGCATTGAACTCTGTATTAATTGCATCTTTAATAACCTTGACTCCTTCCGCAATTTAGATTGCAGGTTTGATCGTGAAAATTTTCGCAAACTTCTCCGCGCTGCTGTTAAAAACAACCATTTTATTTTTAATGGTAAACTCTTTGATCAAATTGACGGTGTAGCTATGAGATCTCCCCTTGACCCCTCTCTAGCCAACATATTTATGTGTGCTCTCGAAACCCGTTTTTTAAATGAATGCCCCCGGAATTTAAACCTGTCTTTTATCGACGTTATGTTGATGATACTTTCTGCCTATTTGAGAACCCTGGACACGTTAGTCTTTTCCTTCAACATATCAACAAATTTCACCCTAATATCAACTTCATTGTTGAAGTTGATAATAACGGTTCCTTACCATTTCTTGAAGTCTTGATATCCAAAACTCCTGATAAATTTTCTACTTGTCTCTACCGCAAAGAAATATTTACGGGGCTTTACACTGATTTTGCTAGTTTGTCTCCTATTAGATACAAACTTAATCTTGGTAACGTTCTGATCTACCGCGCTTTTCATATTTGCTTTTCGTATGAGAATTTTCATATTGTCTGTAAGATTAAAACCATCCTTAGTAATAACTGTTTTCCTAAATCCTTGGTTGATAAGTTAATCCGTGTCTTTCTTGGCAAACAGTTTAAACATGCTACTAAAACCTCTTAACCTCGACAGTAATAAACAGCTTCTCTTTTTTTATTTTACCCTTTTTGGGAAACTATAGCCTCGGCATTAAGAAAAACATTATTAAGGTCATGAAGAAATGCTACCGTGATGTTCAGCTGAAATTCGTGTTCAGATCACCTAATCCAATCTCTGATTTATTTATTTTTAAAGATCGTCACACTTTCCTTTTGTGCTCTAACGTGATTTACAAGTTTACGTGTAGTGGCTGCAGCGCCACTTATTATGGTAAAACATCTCGAAATCTTTTGATTCGATGTAGAGCGCACTTGGGAATCAACAAACATGGCCAGGGTGTTAAAACCCCTTGCCCTTCCTCCATTCACGATCATATTTCCACGTCCAACTGGACACGTGGCTTCTGTTGAAGATTTTTCTATTCTCTCCAAAACAAGCAACCCTCCCCCCCCTTCGACCCTCCCCCCTCTTTGATCTACTTATTCATGAAAGCCTCCTCATACACCGGGACAGACCTTCACTTAATTCCCAACAGTCCTCTATTCCTATGACTTTGTTCTGACTTTCTTTCCCGTATTGTTTTCTTTGGTGTGCCTTTATTCCTTGTTTGTCTCTCGCGTTGGTGCGCGGTTGTTTATTCCTTGTGTCTTCTCTCGCATCCTGATTGCTCCTTTCAAGCGTACTCCTTTATCACATGATTTACGACCCCCTTTGTTCAGCTCTTTCGTATTTAAGTTGATTTTTTTTCTCGCCTGTAATTATACTGAAGATGACTCTAGCCAGAGTCGAAACGCTTAATTCAATTAAATGGACTTGGCGTTGTAATGGATTTGCCTAAATTGGAATTGTCTTAATGGATCTGTCTAAATTGGAATTGTCTACGATGTAGCAAGAAGTTATTGAATGCATTATGTCTTTTTGCTTTGTCGTCGTACTGGTTATTAAAATTTTTTAATTATTGTTGTCTTTCGAAAGACGTCATGCTTCGTCATCGCATGAATCCTCAGCAAATTTTATTCCAGTTCGGTCAGGTTTTTCTATTACGCGCTATCTAGTTTAAGTTTTTGTACAAAAAGAAGCATTCAACTCAGAAAAAATCATTATGATCTGTTTAATTGCAGATCAAGGTGATTGGGTTTTCTTGACGCCATGGAACGCAATGGCAAAAGAGTCCAGTGGACTTGAGACCCGGACGCAAGAACAGATACGAGATTACTTGCAAGCTCAGAGGCAGAAACTGACGAGGTTCAATAAGCGACTGCAGATCCTCGCCAACCAAAAGAAGAAACACTGTGCCATGGGCTTTGCACAAGTTCCAATTGCACAAAGTTCAAGCAAGGTATGCTTTTAGATGTGCCATTATATACATAAAGTTCCAGAAAGCAGTAGCCAACCCCCTTTAAATCAGCGTTAACCCTTTTCATATACTATAGCTTTATTATCTAGTGTGTCCTTTTCTTTTCTTGAAATGCGTCTAGATATTTCACCTAATTTTCCGAAACTTTGTACTGAAACCCTTCGGCAAGCATCAAACTATTATTCGTACAGTTAACCCACCTCAAAAAGAGTTAAAAGGCAACTCTCTCTAAAAAGCCTGTTATTGTAAATGACGATTGAGAAAGTAAACCCTAGAATCTTTCCTGAAATTTTAGCCCTGTTTTTGGTCTACATATTACCTCAAATCCATAAATTCCCTTCACAAATTTTATTCCTCAGGAGTTTCTCTTTTGTGGATTTTTCTTCAGATGTCTTGTGTCTTTTGAACAAAGTATCCCTGCAAAAAACTGCCACTTCTCTATATTGCGGAAACGACTTAGGTTTGCATTTAGAGAGTAAATGTGCTCAAAAGGACTAAATCCGTTGTGGTTAAAAGAACTGCTTCATTTTTCAGGAATTAAAAGATTTGCTGTTGTTAAGAAGACATCCACTGTTTAGTAAAAGAAGAACAGACCATCATGCGATCACTGCAGATGCCCTGAGTTTGCTGGACGACGGTGAGCATGCACCTGATGCAAAGACTGGTGTTATTAAGAAGCAGAGGGTCCTGCCCACCTTGACTTTCTTGTTCAAACTGATGCTGGCTTGTCGAACCGAAGCAGATTTCGAGAGACTTTTATTAAGTTGCAAGGTGAGTAATGATTTCATTATTTTGGAAAAGCTCAATTGTTTTTGTCCCTATTGATGTGTCTTGTGTCTAACAGGCAAATTTAGTAAGATTCGATTCTTTAAAGAAATCTAAACTAGAAGTAGGCACAATTTCGAGCTAAAGAACCGTTTCAGCTGCTAGACAAGTCGTAGATGGGGCTTCTTTTATAAGCCACAGTGTTTTATTTTTGTGTTGTATTTCATTATTTTTCAATGTCGTATATCAAAAATTTGCATTCTGTTGAGTTGTATTTATATTCTGCGGGCTATCGATTGTATTTTACTTTACTTTTTCCCATATTGCATTTGTCCTATTGGAATGCATTATGCTGTGTGGCTCACGTTTGTCAAAAAGCCCACAAAATCCTTAGATGTCCAATTGATACTTATGTTGTGCTTTGCATTGATATGCCTAATTTTTAATTACCGTTCGAACGCAAGAAAATGTCGAAAGCCTACTGAAATCTCCAGATTCCATAAATTTTAATTTTGTTTTTTGAAATTTTCAATTATTAGAAATGACTGAAATTATGTAAATTTGTTATAGACAGAATTTGCAAAAAAGAAATCGGGCAAGAACAAATGTAAACATATGCCCTGTGGTGGCTAGTTTTTTAGATTCTGTGTATTTTTTTTGCAGATTGGGTCGATGTTAATACTGGCCAGTGACCTTCCAATCCATATCACTGAAATTGCAAATTTTGAAGATCTCACTGCTCTTATCCGTCTTGCCATCACATCGGATTCATACAGCTCCCCCTGGATTAATCATGCAATCCTGTGTTTTATTCGTCAAATTCTTCTTAAAAAGCAGTCTGTGCTGTCGAATCCTGTAGTTAATATGGGTGACGATACTGGTATCGAAATCCCAGTCAACTTGGATGATAAAGAACAAAGTAGTGCATCTGGCGAGTCTAGCGGTGACTCCTCTGAAACGATGTCCGGGCAGGAGGGGGAGCCTGCGGAGGAGAAATTGATGGACATCGCGTCATCAATTGCAACAAATCTGATGAAAGTGATTAAAGAAAGTGTCCATCAAAAGGAAGGTGGAAATACGAAGGACAATGCAAAATTTCCTACCAATGCAAACCGTTATGGGGCTGCATATAGTACATATCATTTAGTAGATGGATTTGACAAAGGATTTCAAATGGAAGGAAATCAAGTTTATTATGAAAATCTTGATAGAGTAAATCAAATTCTAGCGAAGGGTGTATGGGAGCATAACACCCCTGTAGGCATAGTTGATGAAGTAAAGAATGACACGCAAGGAAACAATGATGATTTAAAATTAGTTTCAAACGTATTTGCTAAGATAGCTCAAAGTGACATAGGCCTGAAGAACATAAATATACTTATATGTCAATGGATTGCAATTACTTCAACTTCTGAAAGCTTTCCAAGTAAGGCGATTATGCAATTACCCTTTCAACTTGCTAATGTGCTGTTGAAGTCCCATGAATGCAGCGAGAGCAATAGGCACCATGACTTTCTTTGCGAAAAAGCAATGCTGAGTTCTGTTATGGTAGAAAACCAGGCGAAAAATCTTGAGTCCTTACTGGACATAGTAACGTACAGTTCCAAGATAGCAGCTCATATGCAAGGCTCGTTACGAAGTTTATCACTTTTGAAAGTTCTTGCAAATGTAATGAAATCTGAATGCTCAGATGGAGACACTGCGTCAGGCGCAGAAAGGCCACAGAAAACTTTGCCACGCATAGATAAAAAAGTGACCTATCTTGCTAAAACACTTATATTGGAGATTTTAAGAAATGAAAGGTTAGTGGCAAGTTTTAGAATATCTTTGTATATCCATAAATTAAAACAGTTTTATGTCATATTTTATCTCTAAGTTTAGATACCGGCTCGAGCTTTTCAAGATACTGTGATGCCGTTATTAGAAACAGACGCAGGTTGTGACGTGCAAAAAGTCAACCTCTGACTCTGAACCAGAATTAACTATTTCCTTCTTAGAATTTCAAGAGCTTATCAGTGTAAGGGTGGTTAGTATTTCGCGTCGCAATTAAATGTTGTTTTTTATTCATTTTAAGGAATGATTCTTCTTCGTGCCAAGAAATGCTACAGCTTGTTGATGGTTTACCAATATTTGATGAAATTCCACCGGAAGAAGTTGAGATTTCCTCGCAAATTCTGAAGCTTCTCTCTACCTCTATTCGTGAATTCGTTTCAAAGAACAAGGAACTATTAATTCTCTCATTTTTGGAGTCAAATAATAAACAAAAAAGGTTGTATATTGTCGACAAAGGCAGACATTGGCAGATCGGCAAATGCATTACCGAACAGAATTATAGCCAACTTTTTAAAAGTGTAACCTTGTTAGAGAATATTGTATGCCCTGGCTTGGCTGACAGGTAGGTTTTCGTTATGTATTGTTTATTTGTTGAGAAATATATCTTATCTTCAATATCCTATTGATTTGGCGCCAATTTTTATATGAAGGAACCTTGATATGCACTCTACGTGATGTGTCATTTTTTAATACTCCTTGTTTTGTTTTTTGCCGTTCTGTTTATTCCTATTTTTTTAACTTTAAGTCTAGGTTTTTTTTGAATTTGTCCTCTAGATTTTTTCTTTGAAAAATCTTCACTTCGTATGTTTTATACTAAGGCCATGTGGATTCCGAGGGAGAGCCACTTGATCTACATAATCCAAAATAGTATTACGGCAACGTAGTTTGATTCAGCCTTCATTCAATCTTTCATCGTTTTTTTCTGGTTTTCTACTCTTTCTTTTACTTCTGTATAATTTTTCGCTACTTTATACTCCTAGTCGACCAAACGAAATTCTTTATTGCCAAGAGTCGGCCGTGTTACAAGATATATTTGAAGTTCTTTTCTTGATTGGCGAACCGCCTATACAACACGATTCAAGGTCAAATTTTCCTGCTTGCTTTCTACCTCGTTCTGAAATTTACAAAGACGCTTCAGAGTTCCACGACGTCGTCCAAAGCTTACACCGACTTCTCATCAGCCTCGCTCGCCACCCGGAAGACAGACAAAGGTTATTGGAAGAGATTTTATCGTACATTGCGAAGAAAGATGGACCGTACAGTTTTATTTCAAAGGCAGTGTGTTCTGTGCTTGCCAATCTGCTGCAGACAAAAGACGATATAGAATTCTTCATAAACAAAGGTAATTTTAGTAATCCCTTACTGGAGTAAGAAGAATTCTTTGTAGTTTGCCTAAAGAGTCCCTGTTTTTGGTTATGACACAATATGAATATGTTAAGAGGACTTTAGATTGCTAGCAAAGTATTTATGCCCTAGGTTTTTCCCCCTACCCATATCCAGCAAACTTAACAAGTGTAGACTTAGTTTGTTTCACGATAGCTACCTGCTTTGACTGTATGTTTTCAGTCATGCTGCAATGCAAAATGTCAAATGATCACTTTTTCCTTTTCAGGAGGCCTTTCTGTAATATGCGACCGTGTGATAGGCCACGCGGAAGTTCTTGAATGGAGTTCCAATCGTAGATACGGACTTCCAATCACAGAAGCGCTGACCGAAAAGGACGAACCAGAAATATCAGGAAACAAAACCCGGCCAGATATTGATGGATCGGAGTTGAAGAACCTTGCACCTTGTGGTAAGTGGGTATTTTTCTGAATTGAGAAGTAGATGTCTAGGTTGCCGTTAAATGACATTCGTTGCTTTAGTCTTTGCTTAGCGATTTTGTGCGTTTTTTTGGCCTAAAATTGTCTTTGTCAGGATTTTCTATTTTATTAATTAAGTCAGGAAGAACATTTTCACACTGTAAAATTATTTCATAGTCGTGACGACCATTTATGCAATCTGCTGCTTTTCGGTTGTTCAAAATTCAGTGAGCTAGCCAACTATTTTAGCCATATTTGTTGGAATTTAATAGTTAGCAGCCGTTTTTACGATTCGCACAAGCCTGTTCAAAGAAAGCAGTCGTCACTTTACGGACCCACCGATAAAACTGATTGTTCGGCCTTGAGCATTGTTTTTTTCTAAACTTTAATTGTATTTTTAGTTTTGTTAATCTATCCATTGAAATTACAAATCTATCCATTAAAACTTGGCTAAAGATGACTCTTATCCTCTATATAATATTGCAATTTGTGTTTTGTGTTCTGTTTATTGAGGAATATTTCTGGATCAATAAGGTCGTGATCAATAAAAGACTACAACATTTTTTTTTGCCATTAAATAAATTTACGTTACGTATTACTAGAAAATCGTCAAAACATATTCAGTTTTTTTAATATTATTGGTATTGCTCAATGGTGATAATTCATTCTCGATTGACTAATTAAAAGTCAAGCCAGGTCTTTAAAAAGAAGGAGACGTTGAATAGTGATTCAATTGTATGTCCTTTGCATGCATTGCATCATCATATAATCAAGTTCATTAGACAAAGTTTAATGTATGCTGCATGTCACTTAATATTAGGTCTTTAGCAGCAGTTTCATCGTTAAAATTTATATCTATAAACGTTTCGTTGTTTTTCAGGCAGGGTTATTAGTCCACCAAACAGCCCGCCCGCAGACATTCTACTCCAGTCGAAACCGAACCACAGACGCTCGCGATTTGCAGCCTGGTCTTATCAATTCAATAATCAGAATGAAGAATGGATACCATTGACCATAGAGTTGCCATTTGCTATTCTTCTCAAGCAAATCGTTCTGTATCACCACGCATCATTTCTTGGAAGTATGTATATATATACCATATGATTCTAAAAGTACTAATCTTTAAAAAGAAGCCTCATTCTGTGCCTCTCTCTAATCAACACCTCTCTCTCCCCTAAACCCCAGCATGTCAGCTTTGCCCCTTTTTTAGAAAAAATGCATACAATAAGATGTATACGAATTTATAACCTTCTTTGACACCAATGGAAGAAATTAAATTATATTTTTATTTTCTTGCTTGGGTCCATATTTTCAGTCAAGAATTTTGAGTTTTCCTATTTTATTCTGCATCTGTCCAAGACAAAGTAGCACCTCCGATTTGATTGCTGTGGAACTAAAAGCATTCAATAGTGCATGACTAATAAGATAGTTACTCTGAGAAGACTTTTATTCTTATTTTTTTGAATTTCCTACTACAACAGCACTATAGCCATAACACTAATTAAGTTTTCTAAAGAACACATGGAAGTTTTCTTGAAATACTTACACGAAATACAATAACAATTCCTCACTCCAACCCTCCATGTCTCCCGTCTGCTATCATCATATTTTTCCCTAGAAACAATTTTCTTATGCTGAACGTATTGAAATCTATTGCTTCTACAGACTGCCCTGCAGAGGTTTATGTTGAGATAAAAGGCTGTGGGGACGCGTTCGTTCCTTATTCACCGACTATGCAAACCAGTGGCCTACAAAGCGTCTATATTCAGTTTGCAAGGGGATTGCCAGCAAAGGTCAGTAGATTGCTGTTGTATCTTAGGGCGCAAGTCTTTGAAGTATGTTTTAAGGTTTGTTTTGAGGCCAGAGAACAGCTTGGTTTTTAATAACACCCGGTTGCATTATCAGTTGGAAATAAGCAGATGCCAATGTTTTCATGCAGTAAATGGAGATTATAAACAGTCCTTAGGAATATTTTTATTTGATACCATTTTTATCAAAACAAAGCTGGTGGCTGATTCACGCTCTGCCCTGCCCTTTTTTTGATTCATTATACAAGACATAACTGTTCTGTTGGAAATTATTTTATCCACAGCCTGGAAATCGATAACGGTCACGCGCTCGTAATGCGCGTAAAAGGCCAATGAAAACCACTGAAATTATGGTACTTAACCTAAGCCTCACCTTACTGCCTTATTTTGTGAGGAAGGTTTCAAAGTTTGAGGAAATTAGCCTGAGGAAGAATATACATTTTTCTATAATCTGGTTTTATCATACAGTTTTATTACATTCTTTAACAAATAAGGGCGGACAGAATGGGTAAACCCTTGAATTGAATTAGAAATCATCAATTTGTTCTTCTCTGCTGCTTATTAATTGCAAATGCTGTCGATTATTTCCAGGCTGTCAGACTGTACATGAAGCGACCGCTAGATTCAGAGGTGATAAAAGTTAACAACATCGAACTTTACGGAAAAGCAGCATTATCCTCGAGCAATAGAAAGTCGAACACGGAATTCAGCAAAAGGTCTGGAATTACTTAGACTCAATGACAATGATCATTGTCTTTGATGCGTAATACTTGCTTGCACTTTACTTCGACAAAGCTCCATGATCGTTTCATAAAGCAATACTCGTAGACAGCAAAGAAATAAATCAGTATATTTAAAGGGGCCTGTGCAACTAGCAGGCTTTTCGCGCTCGCATTTGTTTTGTTTTTCTAACTGTGTTCTTCTATGCAAGACAAAAATGGCGAGGAGAATTCGATGGGAAATTTCTGGAATCAATTTAGCGCTTCAGATCGTTTTTAACAGCTTCTATTTGGTTTCGTTTTGCGCGCAGCTTGTGCTAACAGCTTTTCACCATTTTCATGGACCACGAAAATGGCTGCCTTCCCAGCTTACGCCCACAAAGGCTACTGGTTGTCCACGCCCCTTTAAGATAAGATAATCGATTTTTCCTTATGGCTTTTCATCAAAGCAAACTTTTTATCTGTACACTCGACTTGTTTTTGTTCCAAAGTTTTCTATTCATGAGTAGACACTGCACAGACTTTATATACAGCAACCTTAGAAGTGTTCACCTTAGAAGTCTTAAACCTATCACTTTTTTGGATATAAGACCTGCTAGTGATATTTGGCCCTTTTCATACGGAGATACCAAGTCCTTATTTTGGGCTATAGTTGGGTTCTTCCAAGACAATATCAATATTGGAACATTCGAAAAAGAAGATTATTGTAAAAATGACGATGAAGATGAGGAAGATGATAGTCAGGAAAAGGAGGAGGAACTTTCAAACAAATGTTGCAGTGTATTCAGAGTAGACACTGCATAGAGCGAGTACCTATCCATTCAACATACCTTATCCTGGCATGACTGTTCCTAGCACTCTTAGCACTCAAATTCCTAAGTTTTTTTGTTGCTCAAGAGCGGTTTGTGTGTTTATGTTCTCAAATATCTTCTATCTATGCAACATTTGCTCTTTTTAGATTCTATTGGATTGAATTACTTAATCATGTCCTGGAGAAGAATGAGAGTTCTGTTGAGAAACTGAGCGGAAAAACGAGGGAAGAAAACTCGATAACAAAAGCCCTCTTGCAGTTCTTCATCCTAATTCCAAGGTATAATATTGAAATGTTTTCATTTTAAGCTGTTGCTTATGTTGCATGTATTTTAGATTTTTGCATTTCATTTTTTTAACGATATCCATTTCCAAGTTTTGAAAGCATTTAACAAAGACTATGGATGCATTTATCGATGTAAGTTTATAGGGGCTCTCCGTTAAATATTCCTTTGATCAGGAGCATTCTGTTGGGGCTTTTCGACAGGGCATTATCTAGATAAATTGTAGCTTAATGACGACTACTGTTACTAGCCTTTTATGAAATGATGGGTGCCCTATATGCAAAGCTGTGCTAGTATTGACATGTAGAGACGGCCTGTTTAAATTCAATGTTAAACATAAAGTTGTTACCTCTAAGTTGTTGCCCGAAGCTATTCTCAGGAAATTTAAATGAATGTAATTAAATCATTTTTTCAACTGCTATTGGATCCTGTTGAATCTGTTTTCTGATTAAAAAAATCAAATCTTGTCCAGATCTTATTTGGGATCCTGCCCCTGATAATAGAAAACCTTATAGAGAATGAAATATTGATTGGAATCGATGAAGCCAAAACAGCCTTAGTCTTGTTAGCTTCCCAGAATTTTTTGCATTTTTCTAATCTCTAGAAGCATGCTAGCATCTCTCTGGTCTGAAAATCGATAAATTTTGTTTTTCCAGTTGCAAACCTCTTGATAAAGAAATTTTACTGAGCCTTTTGGTGAAGATATTTTCAAAGAATTTCGACGAGTGGATGCATTTACTTAACAACAACCTTGTTCCAAGAGACAGCAAAAGTAAATCCGGATCGAAACGAACACTGATGCCACCTGAGTTAGCGTCTCTTCTTATCTCGGCTGTTATGAGAGGAATTGACGATCAGAGAAAAACTAGGTAGGTTTGGTAGATGTGTGTTATTTTACAGTCTTCATTGTGAAAATTAAGCAGCTATAATAAAAAAGAAGTTCCATCACTGATAAGGAGTAATAGGAGATATTGCTTTCTTCTTTTGCATCAAAGGTACACAGAATTGTTGAAACTCATCCCGAGTCTGCCAAAAAGCTTGAAATACTCGCGCCTGTTTTCAAGGTCGAGTTCAGCAACCAATAGCATATAGTGATCATAGCCTTAAACATTAACATACTTTGCCATTGGACGTAGCCACAACCTTGGACACAGCTTTTATAGTTCCAAATCTACCCCCCCCCCTCCAAGCCCCCTGATCAAAGTTGCTGAACAAACTGTCAAACCATAAAGAACAATAACTGTCAAATCATGTTGGTCCACAATTGCTTTGTTTGCAAAGGGTTATTACTTTACGAACGTGATATAGAACGTTCATGTCAGTGTAGGAATTTTCAGAAATCTCTGTATAGATAGGACTTCATTATAATAGAAAATATTTTTCACCTCTTGTTCCAGTGGCTTCTTGGCATGTATTAGTTTTTTTTCAGATGTTTGTCGGCGTTATTGGATTGGGCAACAAGGGTCCTTCACAGAGACCTTGTATCTGATCAAAGAGAATTGCACGCGACCACAATTCCATATTTCAGATGTATTACTAATATACTTGCTGAACATGTCATTCCGCGTAATCAGTTGGAGAGCTCATTGGTTTCCAGTTTGTCAGGGTATGTCTTTTAAGTGCATCTTAGATTGTCCAGGATTTCTTGTGTATATTTAACTAGGAATTTCGAATAGCAGGAACAATACCAGAACAATGAGAAGCTTTATGTTGATGACGTTTTCTGAATAGGGGTAGAAGGGACCACCCTGTGAGTTGGGGAGGACAGAAATAGATTTTGTGACGATAGTAACAGGTAGTAGCAGGTAATATTGAGAAAATGGGGCTCCAAAAGTTTGCTGCAAGAAAACTGGGGTTTTCAGCAAAAAAAGTAGCAACAGCTTTCTTACTTCTAATCAAAGTATGCCATGTATTTGCCAATTCCGTCTTTCCTAAACAGTAGAAAACTAGAGAAAGGTCAGATAGAAGCTTTCTACGAAGCAGTATCTGATTTTCTATGTACGCTCCATACGCCCCAAGCCTCTTTCGTTGCTCTATTGACTGAATGTTTTTCGAATTTCAGGGATCTATTGTCTGTTCTATCCAGAATGGACTTAAAGGACTGCAGGTTCAGGATATATTCAAAGTTTTTTACAGCTCTTGGAAACATTGATACCGTTATAGTCGAGAAAGTAATTAGTGATTGTTTCTCCGCTCTCAATATTAAAGAAGCATTTAGAATCGCCGATCAAGGAAACAATTGTTTGAGTATCGCTGCAATCTCAAGTCAAAATGATTTGAATAACGAGATAATTGTAAATTCAACACTCCCGTTGAAAATTTGCGAAGTTTTGCAAGAGGTACTGAAGGCTGTCTCTGGTCCTGTCACACAAAATCTTCTTGGATATCTATCCTCGATGTTTTTGTTGCTCAAATTTCTTATTCATGCCTTGCAAACTGACACGTTCAAAAACTGGTTTGGATCGCCTGGTAATTGTTCATTTTTAGGGCAATTGATTCATTTTCTGAGTGTTGCATATTTAGATAAAGGCCTTTTGGTCAAAGATAGCTTACAAACAGATCGTCTGCTGGGACACATCCATAGACTGCAATCAGCAACAGTTAGTCTCGTTAAACGCATGGTCTCCTTCCATCGGCAAAACCAACTGGTGTTCATCGATATACTTAAGAGTCTTCTCTCTAAGGAATGCAAGGTGGATTTGGGGCTGATGAATAACTCGTTCTTGAAAAGACTCGTATTGCAGGTGATTTTGGACGAAGAAGAGGTTGTTGTGCAACTGAAAAGGAGGGACGATAACGAAAATGTAAGCGAGTCTCCACAGCGCAAGACACTGGTGACAATGGAAAATATGGTTTCAAAGCGACTTAAGTTATCAGATAGTTTGTCATCTTTATTTCCTGTTACCAGTGAAGATAAAGCGCCTAAAGAAGAGCGGCCTAAGCAATCAGTTGCTGCAAACGAGCCTAGTACTGGGTTCCATTCCGAGGACTGGTTTGATGATGGTGATTGGAATGATGGAACAAGCTATTCAGTTCTTTTCGCCACGGCTAATTCTGCCACACAGAAACGGCAGCAGAAGCAAAATGAAGCATCAAACGAGAAAGCCGCCGGGAACGAGCTGCCTTTAGTTATAGATTTCTACCACCCATGCATAGTCAAAAAACCCTTAAGCCATGACCTGACTATCGGACAGGTTATCTATATACTTGACAGTCGTAGTGAGCCTTGTACGAATGGATCCATAACACTGTTTGCCGAAGTTAGGGAGCAAGAGAAAAACGACGTCCGTTGTTTGACTCAGTATGCGATGATCAAAGCTGCCACATACCCGTCGCTCTTGCGAGTGTTTGCAATGAACAGCGGCATCCAGCTTCTAGCCAATCATAAGCGAATGTGTTTAAGTGGTGAATTTGGCCAAACAATTTCTGTTAGCATCAGTTTTCTGTTGAAATTCGTCCAACTCTCGGGTTTTTCGGATATGCTTCTAAAGGAGCCAAGGAAGGCTGAATATCTTTTACGGCTCATGTTAGGAATCGAGCATAACAGTGATGGAGGTCAGTTGGCCATTCTTTTTGTCATAATTATTTTTTGGAATTTCAGACATACCGTCACATGTCCACCCTTAAACCAAGATTCCATTCTTTACCAAAGCTTCCACCCTTTACCAAAGTTTCCACCCTTGACCCCCCACGTTCCCACAACCACTTTCACGTTCCCGCCGTCTCCTTAATCGCCCAACTTCTTCTCAAGTGCCTACGATTTTTCAGGATTTTGTCACAGTAATTCATTTGGAAGCTTGATTTTTGCAAATTAAATCAATCTGGGTTCATTTAAGGCATTGGTGTTCTAATCTTGTTTAATTTCGCTGTGAGACCATTTGTTTACTTTGTACGTCGGTTCTGGTTGTTTTTCAGCATTCCCGCTCTCTCGGTAAATTATGATAATTTTCACATCGATCTATATCTTGCTTTTTATCAATTAAAACTCTTTGTACAGGGCTTTCCTCCCAAATAGTGTATAACGGATTTTTTTGTTTTTCATCAATTTAGACTCAATCGCATGTTCCAGTTTAGCCTCAGATTTGCCGCTGCTGCCTTTTGTCGCACTGCAGGATCTCTTCAAGTCAGTGCCACTAAACAGTGACGAGGGACGGGATCTTCGCAAAGCAGCTTTCGATAATGACGTGATAAAGCATCTTCTCAGTCATTTAGGGGGACTCTGCTACCAAGAAACTTCGAATAAAGACACAAGAAAGGCGTATGTTAATTTTGAATGATACTTCTCGGTGAATCGAATCTTACAAACGATAGAATCACCCATTTCCTGAGTCTTTTCTTCACAAATCTTCTTGAAAAATATTGTATTCTGGGAAGCTGGGAAATATTGTGTTCTCATGGCCAGTGACTTAGAGGAACATCCTTGAAAATGCAATTCACAATTTACAAAGCCTAAACCGTCAATTTTTCTTCGTATTCGTCTGGTTTATAAAGGATTATCTATGCTATTTGCACGGCACTATTGGACTTTAAGTAATATCGTAAGAATTTTCAATTGAAAAAAATCAAATTTTTCACAATGGATTGAGGATCGCGTCCCCAATTACAAAACAATTGGAAGAATAGATTTTTTCAATCACCAAGAAATAGTTTATGTACAAGGATGCTATCTTTCGCAGTTCACCAAACTTTCGAGTATGAAAATCTTTTCTTGAGAGTTCTATCATATAATTATATGATTTTCGGTCCTTATCATGACTGCGTTGTTGGTCAGGGTACCAAAGACATGTTAATTCACTCTTGGACATTCTTTATAGCTTCGCTACTAACAAATATCATAGTAGCCTTAATGGCTTTTGCATAAATCAGCTGATATTTCATGCAATGCGAACTATCCAGATTTCATTTTTAACTCAACAGCACGTTTATTTCTTATAGCAAGAAGACTGAGAAAACCGAAGTGAGGCCATCATACTGGGCACGAGGCACTGGGTTTGGTACTGGATCTACTGCTTCAACCTGGGATGTTGAGAAGGTCATCCAAGAAAAGCGAAAAGAAGAGGATCATGTTGTTTGCCTTCTGCGTGTAAGTTCCCGTTTTACGCCTTCTTGATGTTTAGAATAACGCCCTCCCCCTTCCTCTGGAAACATATTTTCGGCGATGGTCAACTTGGTATAAAAATGTTTTATATACAGCGTTTAATTTGTTGCATAAATTAATTTTGAAATTGAGATCAAATTCCGTAAGATTCATGTATAGAAATAAACTGATTTAGCCATTTTGTAGTTTTGCCTATATTCAACCAGTATTTGCCTATGTAGCCAGTATTCAGTGCTTGAATTCTTTGTGGTAGTCATCTTCGTGTTATCTTGTTACCAAAAAGCTGCAATCTTCTTTTCCATGTTGTTGAAATACGTCGTTATAAAAGAAATTGTTGCCTTTCTAGGTTCTAGCAAGTTATGTTGATCCAATGGAGGCTTCAAAATCAACTAGCCCCGAGGGTCGAGTATCTGACTTACCAGAAGGACTGGCACTGTGCTTCGAAGAATCGCCCCTGAGATCTGTTCTTTCAAGCTACCTAAGAAATGACTCAGGTGACTAGATTTCCAGTGACTATGTTGTGATCGATAATTTTCAATTCCAATGTTAAAAAGAAATATTTCAGTAAAATATTAACACGTGTTTGTGTTCTGCCATTATACTAAGTTAGGTCATTGTTATGTAAACGATTTGTTGTCAAATAAACCGATTGGTTGAGATTCACGGGGCCTGTAAAAATGACCAATATATAGGTGTCTGGAAAAATTTTCGTCTGATTTAATTATCAGATGTGAAAGCCCTAGTAGCTAGAAATATTTTTGTCTAGAATTTTTATCGTATATATAAAATAACGCCCTCAATGAACTGACAAAGGAGACGAAACTTCATGTTGATATTTTTCTACCTAACTTCCGAAGGTAGTTTTTAGGACACTGAGAAGTTGTGCTTATCGAGCAGTGTTAGGAAAGCGAAGTTGCTACCTACCTTATTAGATGTTTTCCAATTTTTAAAAGCAAAACTGTTTGAGTTTTACTAAGGACATTTCTTGTGATCACCTTGTCAGTTTTCATGATCATCAATTTTGTGTTCTTGCTTTAGTCCTGGATATGGCCCGTCACGTGCCACTTTTCATGGCCTTAATGGAAATCCTACGCGCCATTGCTTCTAAAAGTAACCTCGTTTCACTGCTGTTGCCAAAGGGTTTTGACCCAACAGATTCCTCTGCAGAGACATCAGGATCCATAAGTCAACTGTTATCAAAACTCAAGGACTGTGCTAATACGTACCTCAGTAGGCTGAAGTAAGTAGCTCATATATCGTCGAAAATGCTACGTGTCGTAGGCAGACATGAGGAATCCAGATAGTTATCATGTTATGCAAGTTGTCATATTCGTAGGAGAGCGTTCCCTGATCCTAGGCGACCTGTGACTCGTTAATGTAGTCAAAAAGCTCCTCGACGTGTGTGACACGAGTTTAATCGGATTATCCTAGCCGGATTCTTCAGTTTCGCCGGTGCCAAAGGTGTCCGTTACCATGTTTATGGGCAAGGGCAAGGTGCCCTTCCATAAAGCACGACTCTGCATCGTGTTTTTTCATGAATGTTAATTAGAACATTTCTGACAGGTTTGATATAGGTTTTACTGGAAAAGAAGTCACAGTATTTTGAGAGAATGAAGAAAGTTACAGGATCTTTTTAGAAATCAAATTCACGGATATTCCATTTATTTATTGCATATTGCATCGAAGGGAACCATATCGTGATTTTTTAAATTTCTGATTATTTGCCTCTGTGTTTTAAATCAGTTTTTCGTTCAGGGGCAGCAAGAAGAGAAAGCCTACTGACCCCAGGAAAGGGGGATCCCTTAAAAAAGCAGCACAAAAGGAGACAGCACCTTCAGAGCCGGCTGTCGACGGGTCTGTTGAACTTGCAAGTGAAGCTCTCACTGTTCTTATTGGAAACATCCGAGACACATCGATACTTGTTGAGCAGCGGATAGCGGAATACGAGAAAAGAATCAGGCTTGAAAGGAATGCGAACGACAGTTTAGAAAAAAATGGATCTGAGAAAGGAAAGAAAAACCAGCAAAGCTTAGAAGAACAGTATATTCAAGAAATGAAAACACATCAATTTGGTAAGGAGTTAACATTCATAATTTAATGAATTTGTATTTCAAAGTACGTCTTGCTGGTTTCTACTCTTCAGCACCCAGTTTGTTTATTTGCGTGTCTTCACATACAAGGGCTTAATCATGGCTTACGTCAAACGATAAGACTAACAAAAGTGATAAGGCCCCGTTCTCAGATGAGAATGCCAAAACTCTTAAGGGGCCAGATAGAATGCACAAAATACAGACTTATTTTTTTAGTATATTTGCTATTTTTTCACGAAGTTTGCCTATATCTGTATATTGGAGGATAAAGCTTCATTAATAAATTGTTGTACAGTTAAAGATTTAATGTATATAGAGAAGTCTTCGCTTACGAGAGACACCCATAGCCAAGAAACCCGCCTTTTCCCTTCGCCTTTGCATTCCCTGTTGAGGTAGTTGAACTCAGTGCATTTTCTCTCATCAGTTAAAAACGCTCATGAAAAATTTGGGGTCGTGAAAGAATGAATCTTATGAAACTAAGTTCACACAAAGAATAATTTGCGCCCTTAAGTCGTTTAGATGGACATATTCTTTTCATTAAAGAGGCAATTTGATGTTTTTGGTTTTCCTGTCTATCGTACGTTTTCAAAAAAAAACCTATTATTCTTAATCGCAAGATTGATTCTTTGCTCCTTCCTGATGAACGATACGTCAGAGGTTGAGGGATGTTTGACGTCTTTCGTATGTTAGCCAGATATGACCATTTCCTTTCTACTCTATTGCTAGTAAGTATTCAAATCTTCTTTGAATTTTAGACACGTATGAGTTCATAGCAGAAGAAGGTGACGATAGTGGAAAACTAGAATTTCTGGTTCCATTTCATTACGCGGAGACACTGCGAACGGCCGTTGCCAGTGGAGACTTCAGCTATAGCTCGCGTTCGCGCAGATTGGCTCAAGAGATTGCGTCACTGTCAACCTCACTTCCTCTATCATTCAGCTCATCTGTTTTTTTGAGATGTGACGAGAATCGCCTGGATATAATGAAGGTGCTTAACATATACTATAGCCTCATTTTATTGAAATCACTGTCTTTGCGTATTTTTCTTTTGATTTTCTTGTGGCCTTTAGACAATAAGCTTTTGCATTTTTTGTTGTGGTCTGGGGCAAAATCAGATTATGCACATTTAAATAAAGAAAATAATTCAAGAAGCAAAAGAATAAGGTTCAGCATGTGAAGCTAATAATTCTTTATTCAGGGTTTTGGTATTCTGTGGAGTGTCAGCTGGAAAGCTTCAGTATTTTCCAAGGATTCTGAAATATGATAAAGAGATTTGGCAGTTTACGATGTTTAAAATTTTAGAGTACTTCATATTTGTGTCTTTCTATATATCCCATTTAAGCATACATTCTGACCCATATCATACCATAACACACCACACCATACCATACCATACCATACCATACCATACCATATCATACCATATCATGACATACCATATCATGGCATACCATAATCATACCGTACCATAACATACTGTCCTATACCATAAAATAACACCTGCTTGAATATATACCGTCGTAAATTGATTTGCAGGTCCTCATTACCGGCCCTGAAGATACACCATATGCTAATGGTTGTTTTGAGTTCGATATTTACTTCCCACGTGACTACCCTACGTCACCAATGATGGTTAATTTGCAGACGACTGGGCAGCATTCTATCCGCTTCAATCCGAACCTTTACAATGATGGAAAAGTGAGAATTTTGTAACAATTGCTTTTTACACTTAAGAAGAGGAAGACTGCCATTTCGTAGGATATAAAACTTATTTCTTCATAACACCTCTTGCCTACCGATATCAATCGGAAGAGCCAGGATTAAATGATCCGTTTGTCGTCTGAAATTAGACTCGCGAGACACGATTAGTTTTCATCACGTTGTGAGTCTTTTGTACTTACAATTTTGAAATGGCTTTGGTACAAATCAGGGAACAATGTCAGCTAGGCACACTGTATTATTAGGTTTCATATTTTACACGTCATTATCATGATTTTTAGACTGATTTCGAAACACTTTGCATGAGTTTTATCATATTTATGATACTACCACTTTGAATTAATTTCGCTTAACCTAAAGTTTTTTACATGTATATTTTGTAAAATGAATTTGTCGTAAGAATTTTTGGGTCAATATTTCTCTCTTTTCTGTCTGCTGAACTGTCTCTTCTTAATTCAACTTGAGCCTCTTTTTTTCAAAGGTATGTCTCAGTATATTGAATACATGGCATGGGAGACCGGAAGAGAAATGGAATCCACAGACGTCTAACCTTTTACAAGTAAAAATACAGATCCATTTCTATTTGTAATTGATAATGTTTTCATTTCTGAATATCAAGGCAGTTTTGATTTTCAATTTCCCAATCATAACCTTTGTCAAGTATCCAATCATAACCTTTGTCAAGTATTTGCAGTAGTTATTTTGTTAAGCCTTTCTCTGTATTAGTGGCCATATACGTACACATTAAAATTTTGCATTGACAGTGGCGAAAATGATAAATCTGTCCAAAAATTCTTTGTAAGTATATGGGTTATGTGTGATGCTGTGTTGGTGTAGAACAAACATTGTAATAAGATCAATACTTATTAATGTTGTTTTTCTATTGCAGGTGTTAGTGTCAATTCAGTCACTTATACTCGTGCCTGATCCATATTTTAATGAACCGGGCTATGAGAGATCGCGTGGTACGCCGATAGGTCAACAGAATTCAATGGATTATAATGCTAACATCAAACAGGCCACTATCAAGTGGGCGATGTTGGAACAACTTCGCAACCCTGCTCCATGCTTCAAAAAGGTAGCTGCAATATTTGCTCCATACTCAAACGCCATTCTCGACCCTCTTTAGCGTTCGAGGTCATGCCCATGATCCTTTTCGCATTGTCTAATCTTTCGAACCCATTCCCTCTCTTTTTCTTACCTTCTTATATGTTACAGGCGTAATTGAAATGTCAACCATTTATGTTTTTCCTTAATGGTATCTCCTCGATCTGTAAAAAGCAACTGTTTTTTCACTTTAGAGCTTAGATTTAGAAAGGAATTTTCACCCAATTTCTTTAGTCAATATCTCACGCTTTGGTTTATAAACCAAGACGGTTTTAAGTTGCAACTCCAAGTTTCACGCTCAGTACGATCAAAATGCAACTGTTTTCATGCATGCGTCTATACCTTATGTATGCAGTGCCATGTGACATTGCTTGAGTGTCACATTACTTACAAAAATCTGCACTTTGTTTTCATGTTGATGTATGTAGATCATGAGGATATTTGCCCCAACAAAGTATTTTTCCTTCTACAATATTTCAGTGACTGACTTCCCTGCCCTCTGTACGCTTAATGATTTCTTTTACCGTTTGTTTTTCCTTTATTAATTTTTATTTGTTTTGCTTCTTTTGTAATCCGATTTAACACACTGCAGCAGTTCACCGCTTTCTCAGTAATATTGGACCTAATCTTGAACCAGAAACGAAACTCAAAGCCGTTAAGTAAATATACCTGTTTTCAGAATAACCTATATCTGCAAAGCTTCATCCCAAAAATGACATAAACCTTGAATAGCTTTACACAAAGGAGCAACTTTTGGCAATTGTAACTCGTACTTAACATCCGCTTTGTAATATTCCATTGCAGCTCATCCGAAGGCATTTCACGCTAAAGAAGGCTGCCATTTTGAAACAATGTGAGGCATGGGTTTCTCAAATAAAGGACCACTCTTCAAAGAAGAAAAGTGTCCAGGTTCACTACGAAGCGATGAAGCGGCATTACAACCTATTGAAAGCAGAACTTGACAAGTTAACTGATGGTAACCAACACCCGATCTCCCGAAAAGAGCTGCCACCGACTCCCGAAAGTCTGCCTGAAATAAACGAGAAAGAAAACCTGGTCTATGTTTAATTGACTATCAAAGCGGAATAATCTCCTCGTGTATCGAACAAAGAGATATTGAAACAATTAGGACTTCTATTTCCATAGCCGAATGCCCCCCCCCCCATCTTTAATACTTCATATTTAATGCCAATCACCAATTCCTTAATGTTTTGCGACGGAGTTCTTGGAGAGGTAATGGACAATTTCCCGAGGATAGACTTATTATTCTGCTTCTCTCTAATTCAACCATTTGAAATTCGAAGTCGAACAATTCAACAAAATATGTTTTGAAACATGTATTTATTTCATAGTTTGGAGTGCCCCACAATCTTTTGAATTGCCCCTAAAAAGCCAATGTTTGGATTACTAATTCCATGCATACTGCATTGAATAGAAACAATATTATCATTTTCCCCGTTTGTTTGTTACTCGGCTGTTCCCTATAGTAAATTAGCAAGGAGTTGCTTTGAATTGCAAGAATAAACAACGAACAAATATTAATTATTTTATAACGTAAAATAGTATTGATACCAGAATTGTGAATTCTGGCTAGCAGTGGAGGTTTCTAAAAAGCTGACTGATGCTCACTTATCGAACTTATTCACTTTGACTTTTTAAAATAGATAGGTGACCCATACTAGAGTCATAATTTAAACATTATCCGCAAATTTTTGGAAGCAATATTAATTTCACTTGCCCTGGAGTGGTTCAAGAGGAAATAAGGTAAAATTGAAAACTACTAAAGTATAAGGTTTTGGAAGATCTTTCCCTGGAGGAAATGGGCATCGATCCGCTATGCCCTTAAAAGCCACCACTGCAGACAAGCAAAGATAGAATTCAATTATATCATTCGAAAAGTAGAGTTTGTTTTAGATAATTGCTGTTGGAGGCGTTATAGTAACCCTTTTGTATTAATCTGATCGCAGTGTATGTGAAAATGGAATGCCCAAGTTATAGTTATGTTCTTTACTTATGGTAAAAGGCCGGTATGAGTCGCTTAATGATAGTCTCAGTCGCTTAGTCAATCAATTCATTGAAATTTGTAGATAATTTTGAAATGTTGTACAGTATTTGCTTTGAATGCCAAAAGATTTTTCTTTCAAGGCACTGTTGGTGTTTTGTTATAATAATATTAAAATAAAGTACAGCTGATGTGACTATGTTCATTGCCTTTCATTGAACCTTCCGTAAGGCAGAGCCCAGAAAACATGACGGTCAAAAGGTCAACGACAGTAAGGAAGCCTATAAAAACAAAAGAAGTTAGGGTGCCTTGCCTTTAAATTTAATCGTTATTTTATGGAAGTTTAGCTTGAAAACCTGCAACTGAGGCTAATTTCAACCCGACTAGAGGCTGGGGAAGTGGGACAGGTTCCCAGAGCATTTAACAGTTTAACCCTTTACCATTTACTTTGACAGTAGAACTGTGTATATCAAAAATCTCGTTTTGCTTTTCTCTCATATTAGACCTGCAATATACAACTGCTGTTGGTCGATGAGTTGAGTACACCATATAGTGTTGGTCGAGGGGATAAATGGGTGTATGAATAATATATAGAACATTTTGAAAACCCCTTCGACAACCACCCAGATGCTACAAGAATCATGTTCGTTATTTGTTAAGTTTTTCCGTTCAAAAAGGATCCATGCACCCCTAAAGAAAACAATCCTATTGGAAATAGAAAATTATGCTCTAGGCTGCAATGCAACACTCCTTGTTTTATAATAAGAACAACTTGCTTGAAGCATCAACCTCAAAATTTGTCTAAAATGAAGAACAAGATGAGAAAAGAAAGGCTTATGTACCATGCAATGCAAGAATACAAGAGCATTGTTTTTGAGGATACATCTTTCATGACAGGGTCTCACTTCTAACTGTCAATGAACCAATTGTAATCTTGTATCAAAGTTGTCCTAATCCTTTATTATGTAATATCGTTCTCTGATGGAAAAATTAGATTTTCAGACTTATTAAAAATATACAGCAGGGTTGGGGGTGCGACACCACTACACCCCATAGAGATAGGATATCTCTATGCTACACTCCCGATACTTACGTGCCTGGTTCTAATATAAGAAACAAGTGTGATTCTCGCCTGCGTTTAATATTTGCTTTTTTCTACCTGGCAACCGATAATTGGTCAAAATTTTGTTTATAATGTATTTGTAGTGTGATGGTCCTTTGCGAGAACTGAGAAGCGATCTAAAAAGTCTTGAGATGCTGGTACCGAGGCTTACAAAACAACACAAGAAAACACCAATGAGAGTCCACTTCATGGCGGCATTTGGGTCGACGTGGAAATTGTATGTGAACAAGTATAAACCGTTGTATCAAGGTATTTTAAAACATTTTCATATCTGTGTTTTTTTTTCTAATATTCTGCATTGAAGATGTGATAATGCGTCTTTTTTCTCAATTTTCTACTATTTTCAGCATTTATATTATTTCATTTCACACGACATCACTTCACCCACGGCCGGCCAGGCTCCAGTAAATGTGGAATATTAGATTCTCCAGTAAATTCTCAAATCAAGTCTGTCATTAAGCATGCAACAAGGCTTTTTATAAAATTCTTACAATTTTCAGCTAACTAGATGCTCAATCCTATTTGCAAAAGAGATAAATTCACAAAGAATTTAGATTAAAATTGATCACCACTCCAAAAACCACTACCTATTTATATTACCTTTTATATCAAACGACTTATCCATCCGCTTCCATTATAACCAGATACTTGAAATTCAAGAAAATTTTAAATACCCAACTAAAAATGCTGTGTCCTAGATATGTCGGTGTAGAAATCTGATTAGAAGAATACGCAAACCATGGCAAGCGAAAGTAACAAAGTTGAGAGTCAAGCATTGAAAGAACAACTGCAGAATTTCACAGAAGCAAAGTCCTTGCTTTCCAGCAAAGAAGATCTTTGTTTCAATATTGACAAATTTGTGGCCCTGGACTTCCATGTTGATCAGTTTGTTTCTGAATGCAAAGACAGAGTTTCTCTCCACACACTACGAGAAGATCTGGAAAGTCATTACAAAAACATCAGAGTGGCACTTATTGATCTCATTAATCAAGATTATGCTGACTTTGTTAGCTTGTCATCAAATTTAGTGAGTAAAAACTTTCACCAAAACCTTATCATAATAATACAACAATATTTGGTTCTAGCACAATTTCAGCAGTTGCATTTGATAGAAACTGGCAGCCATTTGAACCTGCCATTTGAAATTATGTTTTGTGGATTTTTATCATGTTTTGCGAATAATTTTATGTTTATCAAAGTCATTATGAGATTTTTATTCTAGTAGATGAAGTATTGTGTTCTTACCTATTCATTACACAGATCAGGGTTCACTTTTGTATTGAGAGAAAAAGCAAATTTACTAAAAGCAAGACTGACCAGATTATTAAAAAAATACAAATATATTATGAATTTCAGACACATTGAATGTATTTTCTACTGAGGTGTCACCATAAGAGCTTTTTGCAACTACATTTCCACCTATCAACATTTTTCAATATAAACAATTTTCAGGTTGGTATGGAAAAAAGTATTGAGCATCTGAGGCAGCCTTTGGGTCAGTTGAGAGAAGAAATCAGGGTAAGCTGTAACCTCTCTTGTTCACCTTGCTCTTAATGGTTATTATTGTGGCAAATTTTATATTAAACCTATGCATTTTTGTTCTTGTGAATTTCTGATGCTTTTTAAACTCTATCAACATAAGGAAGTGTGAGCTGCACAAACAGGGAGTGGCCTGCAAACAACTGTTTTTGTTTCATGAAGGAATTTTTTAATTGGCTAATTTTGTAAATTGTTAATTTTTTATGTTGTTTTTAGGTGAGCAGAAAAGGACTTGATGATGAACTCAGCTTGATTAACCGTAAACTTAATCATAGAAAACAAGTAAGGGAGAAAAAGGTATGATTAAAGAAGTTAGTAAATTTTTTAGACTGAAAGTAAAATTTGTATATCAACTAACAGAGCATTCATAGAAGATGTATGATGTAGCATCAAACAAGGAAAAGGGTTTTTTAAAAAGCAGACAGAACTGGATGTGGGGGAATGTAAATAGTGGTTTTTGTGAATACATAAACATCATCTATTATTATAAGTGATGTGTAGGTATTGTTGCACCAATACAATTTATCTGTACTGGTTAATATTTCATATTTGTTGAATAAAATGAAACATAAATTATTGTATTGTGGAAGTCTAGCTATCTCAATTTTTGTTATCTTGCTATTTACACATTGTTATCTTGGTCTTGTATTTCACAGGCTATTTTCTGCTTTTTTCTCCATTTCACAGCCAATTGCAGTAAATTTGATGTTTTGAACTTTTAGTTTATATTCATTATCTCATCTGAATGTTGTTATATATCTCATCGTTGGACATTTAGGGGATGGAAGGAAGTAATTACTTTTGGAAAACATCCAGACAATTTTGAAAGTGAAGAGTTTAAAAATAACGGACCTCACTAGACATCCGTGGTACATAGTCCCTAAATGAAAGTATCATGACTTGAAAGAATATTATCAGCAAGCCAAGGAAACTTCTTATCTGTATTCATATAATAGCAATGATGAAAATATCTTTTTATATTTTTATTATCCCCATACCATGTCAGTTTTTTGCAAAAATCAGACAACCTATGATGAATAAGTATCACTTTTATTTATAGACAAAGTTACAACATCTATTGAATGTTGTTAGTTCTTTGGAAAAGATAGAGAAAATTCTATTTGCTAAACCTGGCTCTTCAGAAATGGAAATCTACATGGATGGCAACAGGTAAGCAGGAAGCTTGTAGTGACTATCATCTATCTGTCATAATGTCCTCTATTGTATCGCTGTCATTTACTCCTTCCATTGTCTTCATAGTTTTGAATGCATTTTGAATGACACCCTTCAGTCATTTCTTACAATGGATGCCATCTTTTTACTGTTTTTAAGCATACTTTTGTTGCAATTGATTACTTCCATTCTTAAAATGGAATTCATGATGCCCCCTAGACTATAAGACCCAAGGGCAATTTGCCCCCTGCCCCCAATCCAGGTGGCCATGTCAAAAGCTATCAATTATGCTGCCATGCTGCTAAGCTGAGGAGGGGTTGATGTTAAGTATGACCAAATATCTACAAGGATAGACTAAGATCTTCAAATAAATATAAGGAAGGGGGAAAAAGATTTTGTAAGGAATCAGTACCAACTCACATGATTTCGTTTGTTTTAACCTGACTAACTGACTGACGGACATAAATCCCCTTTATAATGTGCTCGGCCAATCCATCTTTTGCACTTGATTTGTTTTCATGCGACGTCCTGTACTCTTATATCATTAAAAACCTCTCCCATCAGGACATTTGAAGACTCCCATGCTTTTTATCTAAACCCCCGTTTAATGTATTTTCTATTTCAACCCCCATATTAGAAGCCGCAAAAGCCAACATTTAATGTACATATTTCTGGACTGGGCCATTACCCATCCCCGTTTATACAAACCCCTGTTTATTCTCGACCTCAGGAGTTGTAATTTAACAGCTAAATACTTTCTTAGTTTAATCAGTGGTTTGTTGAAAATAAATGAATTGATGAAGAACCTTCACAGTTCAAAATAAGCTCGTGTCTATTATTTTTCCTCGTGTACTCATTGATGTATAAATTTTTTTTGTTCAGGGAGTCAATGGGCAATTTTTTAGAAAGAGTTGCCGGTGAATTCAACCAGCTCCAGTTTCATGTTAACCAAAGCAAAGGTCATAAAATCATAGATAGCATCAAATCGGTAAGCACGCAAATGTTTTCTTAGAATGAAATATTTTGTTGTGTAGAACTGCATGGCTCTGCATCTCACTGTTAATTTGCTTTTAATATTTTTTCTAACCGCAGACATTCGAGGCACCTTTTGAAATCGTAAACATCTTTTAACTTTTAATAATATTTGCCAACCTAGTGCTATAGCAATGCGTTTAATAAAATGCACTTGATTTTGACTGTAATATAAGAGATTTTATCTAGTGAACCGAAAAAGCGCTAGAATTTGGTTTTGACCTGGGTAGACCATTATCAATATTTTTCCATTTCCTATATGACAATCAACATGCAAAGTGCAAAATGTTAGGTCTAAAGATCTTTCATTGTGTGATTTGATATTCATAAGTTTTGCTCGTATTTTTGTTCATTGAAATGTGTATTTGACAATTTTGCCACACTAAAAGTTGCTATATAGGCCAACATAGAGCAAAAATGTTTGCAGCCGCTGTGCAAAGAGCTTTTGCGCCTGCAAGCTGCGGCCAAATGGCGACGCACAAAATTTTTCCCGCCAACCGACCATGTGACACTTTGATTCCGATCCAGGCCTCCTGGGAGGTGCAATGTTATAGGGTTTTGTGTCACCACAACCACAAAAGACCTGAGCATGGCGGAGTGAAGTTAAAGCCTGATCGGCTCATTTTATATACAAAATTTTACCATGTGAGTATGCCTCAAATATTGTCAGTTCCACGGAGAAAAAATCCAAAATTCAAATTTATTTTATCTCAAAAACGGCACCATGCCGCACGCTGATTTTTTTATTGATTCATCTTCATGCCCCGAAAAATAAGATTATATTGGTTGGCATATTTGGAAAATTGGGTCACGTTCATAATTTCACCGCAAAGATACCTAACTTTAGGATTGTCAATTTATGGGTGCGATTGAATGATGATTTAAAACCGCCATACTTTTTGGGATATGCGGTATATTCATGGAAGTTTTTCATTAAAATAGATTGGTCACAAATGTAAGTAGCTGTTTTTAACGCGATTTTGAAATCGCTTCGGTATTTTTCTATAAGAGTAGGAAACCAAACAAAAGCGAAATTTTGAAAGGTCAACATGGGAAGTTTTGTTCGATATTTGAATTAACGATCGTGAAAAATTTCCACCATGCCGCATCCTGAATTTTTGTATACTTGTAGTCAAAAGTTCAATTTTTTTGTATATTGTCTCCTTCAGAGGCGGAAAATTGGGTAACGCTTGAAAATTTACTTTTTAAATTGTTCATATTTCCCTTCTTGCCTAATAGTAGGCCTAGGCATAGGATACTTTAGTTTGGCAGTAAAGCATAGGCCACGAAGAGATTAATAAGGTTTTAAAGCCATAATTTAATGATATAAATGTATCTTAAGTAGATAATTTATCTATTTGACTCCATAAAAATAAAGCAGAGGTAAGGTTAAAATTCAAAGTTTGTTTTCTCATATATTTTTATATCAATCGCATCCGGGACAGAACGACACAATTTTCGCGGGCAGGTAAATCACGTCAGCATGCGCGCGCATAAAAAACATTTTTGCACTATGTTATATAGGCCAACTTTGTAGGATGAGGGCTCAAAGCCACTTCCAAAACCCAATTTTAATGACATGATGACGGTGGATGACATTTTTTCTCTTTAATGCCAAGCTTTCCAGTGTGACTCCCTATTAGTTACCTTTCTTCATGTTTTCTGTGCTTGGCTATATTTGAAGTGATAAAAATAAAGTATCGAGTTTCATTGTCAAAATACTATTAGTCCAAGAAGATTTTAGTGTAGTTTGAAGGTAGGGTTACTGGTTTCTACTTTGATTTACAGCGAGTCTCGCTGATAACTTCTAAGCTACAAGAAAGCCTAGAATCTTCTTTTCTGGACGGCCTAGCCACAGACCAGTCAGAGCTGGTTCTTCGCTGTTTACGCACGTATGCTTTGATCGATAAAACTGGACACGCTGAAGATTTGTTCCGTCACAATTTTGTCAAACCTCGGATAGAGAGGTTGATCAGTGAAGATTCCCACAAAGGGAAAGGTTTGCAAACTATTTGCGATGACGTCATCCACTTTGTCAAGTCAGACTGTCAAATGGTGATTAAACTTACCACTGAGAAGCAGCAAACATCCACCAAGGACGAAAAAGAGGATATTGTCAAGGGGTTTGATTTCCTTGTTAATACTGTCTGGCCAGAGATCGACAATGCTTTTGAAACGAGACTCTCTTTCATTTTCTCACCTGGAAACCCAGATCTGTTTTTTCAGGTGAGGTGCCATATTTAATTCAACTCAACTTATTTCATATATTCATCATCTTATCGCTTTCTGCACAATAGAAATCCTTCAGCAAAATTATTTTATACTTGATTTAAATTGTTTTGAAGTTTTGCAAAACTTTAGTATGCCATTGATAAATTGAAGTTAGTGTTATGTCCTTGAAAGTTATTATTCAAATTAAGGCCACTGTCAAAAACTTAATGTTCTGCTTTTCTGCGCCATTTTCTGCGCCATTTTCTGCGCCATTTTCTGCGCCCATCATTTTTATAGAATATGCCTTGCTTGATACTGTTGGCCATTTTGGAAAGTTGTAAATGTTTTCAAAGTTTATATGTTTTTTGCAGAGATACACAATATTGATGAAATTTGTCGATGAATTCGAAGACTGTTGCACTTCATTCGATAGTCTTCAAAGACTAAGAGCTCACTCCAGCTACCAAACGTTCATGGCAAAGTGGAGTCTCCCTGTGTATTTTCAGATAAGGTGTGAGGTTTTCAATGGTTTTTCTACCAGTCTTTTGTCAAATCTTCTACTAACAGAATTCAATTTTTCTGGCTGTAGTCTATTTTCTTTAACCATCCTTTGACTGGGGAAAACTGATAGAAAGTCTCCAAGTCATTTTGTTTGTTCAATTTTGTTCAAGTTTTCTGCCACCTACATTTTAGGGATATGCGAATATTGGAACTTTATAAATTGATTAATTTCCCGATCAGTAAATAGAATTAGATGAATTTGCTTGTTGATACGAGCGACTGGATTTGATCAGAACCTAAACTCTATGAACTTTCTTAGCTGCAATTTAAACCTCTTGACTGTGTAATCTAATTATTAACTGGCTGGAAGAAAGGTATTAATACTAATTCTTAAGTTGTTGTTCGTAGATTTCAAGAAATTGGGGGCAGTGTTGAAGCTGCTATTGACAATCCTTTTAAACGATCGCCTGAAGGTATCATCATTTTCATTGCATCGCATCATAACTGCGGTTCTGTTATATTTAATAACTGTTAAAAGTTATTATTAATAATTTTGAAAAAGATTTCGAAAAATTTTGGCTAGATCAGTGAACTTATGTTTTTTTGTGTTTAGACTGTTTTTAATTTTTTCTGTTTCATGCTGACAGGTAAAGAAAACATATATTATCTTGCAATTTTTTGAAGTTTTTCCTTGCAAATTTATCAGATCAGATCAGAATAAGGGGACATGTATTTATAATAATGCATTCGACACCACTTACGATTACTGAATCTTTCAGATTTTCTTTTTGTTGATTTAAGGATCCGAGGACTTGTTCTCCATTAATATGGTGACAGTGGTATGGAAGGCCTTAGACAGATGCTGGGATGACAAAGTGTTCATGCGACCTTTGCTAAGCCGGTTTTGGAAGCTTTTTCTTCAGGTACTAACACTGATTAAGGTTCAAATTTAATATTTTCACCAGCGTTATCTCTCGAGCGAAAAGGTATATTTATAGAAGTACTTTATTAGCTGATAAATTGTGGTTTAACAGAAAACCTTCCTAACATGAGCTTCCAGGTAAATTGATTGCAGTACTCTAAAAATCTGGTTTATTCAAGGCAGCCTTTCTTCTCGGGTTACTCTGACTGCATCATTCTTCAATACAATTTTCATTCTCAACGCAGTACAGCGTTTTAATTCACATTTAATTGTATATTGAAATTCTCATTTGCTTTTTCGGGCTGCCTTGGGGTATTATTTACAACAGGTTTTTATGGGGGAGTGGGGAAGGCTACATCAAAAGTTTTGGACTAAGAATTTTAAGGGGAAATTTGATCTAGGGTATATATCAATGAGATTCGTCTTAGTTAGCAAGAACTAGTAAATCTTGAATCTTAAACCTTCTTTTCTAGATTCTTGGAAGACTGATCGTTGCTTTAAAAGACATATCCGAGGAAGTGGTGAGTTTCCTTTCGTTAGGCTGCCATTATGAACTTGTTCATAACTTTCAAAAACAATCAATTGATGAAATTCTGTAATGAAAAGTATCACGTTTTTTCAATTTTGATAATATAATTAAACAGTATAGTTGTTTGAACGACACTTTTTTCACAGGTTTCTTGTACGGTGGATGCTTCTGAGCCAGAGGAAAAAGATGCACATGGGTCCAAACCAGTTACAAAACACAACCTGATCGATATTGGTGTATTATGTGGTGATGTCTTCAAATTGAATGCAAAGGTTTGTTTCAGTCAACTGCGCGAATCATAGGGATGTATGGGGGTGTACTTGGGACCTTCTCCTCAATAAAGGAAAATCAGTTAGAAATGATATTGTGGCTGAGAAGATTCGGCCCTGATTCCTGCCAACGGTAGAACTTTCTCTTTCGCCAGTGTTCTCCCTTTTGAAAATTTGTTCTATTGTCTGCGAGATTCGGTATCGCTTCAGGCATGAAAAAAACTTTTCTTCCTGCAACCGTACGGAAACCATGCAAACAAAGGAAAGATGAAAGCCAGATGAAAAACTGAATATTTCTATCAAGCAGGGGCTTTCAAAAACCTCTCAAGGTTCTTAGGTAGGATAACCATTTGAATGTGTCAAGGCATGGATATAACATATATCTGTTGAATGTGTAAATTGTTTTTGTTTTCATGTTTTTCTCTATGACGAAAATAAAAGAAATAAAGATATATGCTAAAAATTTCCTGCAAAACATTATGCATGAGAAATTTCCTGCGACCGCCCGGTCGCGTGGTCGGTGGCTTTTCATGCCCTGCATGAGGCCACACCCTCCCTTGTTTTTTTTCTTGCGCACTTAATCTCAGTATCCATACATGTAACAAATTATGCACTTCTATATTTGTGCAATGGCCCTCCTTCTTTTCGAGAACTCTGTAGCTTATCAAACGCTCGAAAAGTATCTGTTTTAATTTAAAAATTGTTTTATAGGTTTTGATAGCACTGTCTGTTTTGGTATATAATTTAGATCAATCCTACAGGTATCTCAGCTGTTCAATGAGAAGGTGAAGCCACTTTTAGAAACAATATGTCACAGCTCATGTGAACAACACGAAGGTATAGTGACATTTATTTCTTATAACAAATTTACACCTTACAGTTTGGAACAGGACACTTCTATGTCGCCAAGTCCAGCCTCAGTTATTGCGATCTTCAGTCAACTTTTCGGTGCTTTAACAATAGTTTCCTTGTACACTGAGCTTGATTCTTAAAACGAGTGGAAACAATGTTGTTTTTTTAATATTTACGTTTTTGTTTATGGGTCAAGTGAATAAATCGAAGCGTGTTATCATCGATTTGATCCAGGACACACTTGGGTGCTGTGATCTTTCCCTAAGCATACTTGGGTGCTGTGATCTTTCCCTAAGCATAGTTGGGTGCTTTGATCTTTCCCTAAGCATACTCGGGTGCTGTGATCTTTCCCTAAGCATAGTTGGGTGCTGTGATCTTTCCCTAAGCATACTTGGGTGCTGTGATCTTTCCCTAAGCATACTTGGGTGCTGTGATCTTTCCCTAAGCATAGTTGGGTGCTGTGATCTTTCCCTAAGCATACTTGGGTGCTGTGATCTTTCCCTAAGCATACTTGGGTGCTGTGATCTTTCCCTAAGCATAGTTGGGTGCTGTGATCTTTCCCTAAGCATACTTGGGTGCTGTGATCTTTCCCTAAGCATACTTGGGTGCTATGATTAGTACTCAATGACCAAATTCAAAAATAGTCTATATTTGCTAGATTTTCACCAAAACTAATTCGAAAAACTTTTAAAATGTTTGTCTTTGAATTTTCAATGTTGTACTTTGCGTTTTTAAATATTTGAATTGTGCTTTCAAAAGTACTTGAAAGGCTATTAGTTTACATAGTCTGCAAAGTTCAATTGAATATAAAAACAGTTCAAGAGAATAAATGGCGATTATCAGTTGAAACAAGCGCCCTTTTAATATTTGTTTTATATTCAGTCTTGGGTTTTAAAATGCAATCAACAAATAACAAAATCAGAAGAAATGAAATTGAATCTTCATTTTAAATTGTGTATTATGTTGATCTGCTAAAAGCTACAATGTTTTAAGCTTTTGAGCTAGCATACACAGTTTGTATTTTAAATGAGATAATAACCTTCTTGAATTATAGATGCATTTACAGAGACTTTACAAGGATTTAAGCATCACATGGATTCTTTTTCAAATCATTTCGTCAAATGTCTTTCGGATGAAGGATCTCAGCAACTTGAGAATACCAAGAATATTCCACGCCTTTATCGAAGGACTAATCGTGATGTAAGTATGAAGGGGCACTCATTAGATTTTAGACTGCTTAAGATGGCACTCGTTCCAAGTGGACGGCTCATTAATTTTTAATCATTTCTTCACATGCATCAAAAAGTAAAATAGATCGTCAGGAAATTTTTAATTATGAACTTCAGAAGATGAATGTAAAGTACACGCACTCTGAATTTCCATTTGAAAATACATGTACAGCAAGTGTCACATTTCTTGTTAAAGATTAGTGTTAGATTACCTTTTTAGACCTTACCATATCAATGAACCATTGTGCACTTATTAACGGATGGACATACATTCGAGGGAAAGATCTTAAGTTTTTCACTGTTTAAGGGGAGCTCTCTTTCAAGAAGGGTGCTCCTTTAAATTTCAAATGGGGTGCCTATTCATGAATTTATGGCACTCCATTTTTTCTCTACCAACTTTTCTCTACAAAGAATTTCAAGCAACTGATTTTTATAAACCTTTAAGAACTGCTGTGGCTGACATTGTTCAACTCACATAGACCCAAGATTAGTTGATAAGGAGCCATTTACAAAGGACGTCCAGCAAAAAGATGAATTTTTTAACCCCCTCTCCTCTTTTGTCCGGCATTGTCCGTATTCAGAGCCCCCCTTTCTCGGACATCCACCGATATCATACTGAAAGCCATTCAACCATGTATATGTAAATAGAATGTAAAAAGCCATTCCTTGTTCCAACCATAAACTGATTTGATGAACAATTTTTGATTTTCTAGTACGTTTTTGTATAATGTTGTATTCAAAGAAGGCATTGGATATAAGCAGCAAAATTTGTGTTTCCCTCTTCGTTTAAGTAGTCAGTTTCTGTGAATGACTGCTTTAAAAAGGTGGCAATATCCATAAGAGGAGAAATCTGCTGCTTGACTCTGACACTCTTCAGTGCCAACTACTTGTTGCCAGGTATCTTGAGATGCATTTTAGCCAGCTCTATAGAGGTGAAATTTTACAAGCATTTCACAAAACCGCACTGGTATCTACTGCAACCTTTTTCTGCATGCATTTTTGCACAGATTGACAGAACAAGTCATATGGCAAGTCAACTTGCTCGTAGCCTTCTGGTTTCAGATGTGATATTGCCATTGGTTTGCAGAAAACCCGTGTAAATTATTTTTTTTTTTGATAGGCTGTTCCCCTACACTAGCCAACTGCAGCCCAACTTCAACATTTCTTTTTATGAGAAGTATAGGCCTGGAAGACTGTCCGAATATTTGACGATAAGGTCAATGCAAACTGAGACTTGAAATGCCTCGTTCCAATATCTTGAAACCTGGACGTCTCGATTGCGTAAACACCTTCTCCCCCTATGTCCGAATTTATCCGGATTCACCAAACCCCCTCCCCCCTTCAGCTTGGACGTCCTTTGTGAATGGCCCCTGACTAATTCATATAACTAATTACTGTATTTTTTGCATTTCATTTTAGCCACCATCACAAGCATCAGCTTATGTTACTCTTGCGTTTTCACCATTGAAAAGTTTCAGTGAAGATGTAAATGCTTGCTTTGACAAAGAAAATCTCACTGACTTATTGCAGAAAACAGTCTTTGTAATGACATCCAGGTAACCAAATATTATTATGCAAATTTAATTTTGTCAGTAAAACTGGAAAGCTGTTTAATGTTTAGTGCATTTCCCAGAAGCCTGCTTTTTGTCTCTGTGGCAGCATAAAGGAACCTTATGGCAATCCCACTTGATACAAAATTAAGATCACTAAAGACCAAGCAATCGGCATAATATTTACAGTTGTTTCCTGTCATACCCATTCACTTTAAAAATATTAAAGAAGTTTTTAAATGGATTTTTAATTCATGTAGTTTCATATTTTACCTTTTTTATAACTTTTTCTCAAGTTTTGTGTAACTATGTCACCTTTTTATAACTTATAACTTTGTCTCAAGTTTTATGTAACTATGTCACCTTTTTATAACTATTATCCTTTAGATATTATGTCATCGTCGATGAACTTGTTGCCTCAATAAAGAAAACTGAAGAGAGTCTCCAGCGACTTAAGCGGCTGCGTAAAGGAGCTGATGCGGCAGTGACACAAACATCAGCTTCAAATGATATGTCTGATGAAAACAAAATTCGCAAGCAATTGCTTCTTGATGTGCAACAATTTGGAACTGAGGTACATACTGAGTATTACACCTATGAATTTCCTTGTCTTTTTCTCAAATAAATTTCAAACAGCAACATTTTAAAAAACGGACAAAATTAGAGAAATGATAACACCCCACCTAGAAAAAATATAGGGAATTGACAACAAGGAGCAGATGTCACTGATGATGTAGAGAACATTTATGCAGTTGTAGAACAAAAATTCCTTTGTAGCATTGCCAATTAACATCTTAGTTATAATAAGCAAAAGCGAGGTTAATTTATTTTTATCTTCATTTCATGACTAATTATTTGAACGGAGATTAAAAGGTTTATATTAAATTTTTTTCAGGCTTCAACAATAACAGGAATTCAGATGGATACTCATGCTGAGTATAAAAAACTTTTGGAACTTGTAGTTAATGTAAATAAGACAAATTAATGATATGAAATTCTTCACGGTTACACATATATTTTGATCATAAATACAGCAATTTAGAATTATGTTTTTTTATTCTAGTTTTTCAACAGCCCTGAAAAGCTCTTTGAGGGTTGCAACATGTTTTGAAAGTCTCTATTATATTTTGAAGACCGACTTTGATTATGTTTGATTGCAATTTGCTGCTAATGTAATTTCAAAAATCTATATTTGAAGAGCAATACACATACTTCCTACAAATTGTGTTATTGCTGCTGTTACCGCTAATCTATTTTACCATGGGTAAAACTGCTGTGTTCTATCATATTCTATCTAGTTAAGGATCATCAACTTTTAGTAACACTAAAATGTTTGAAAAACACTGAAAGTGCAAGTACTGCTCAAAAATATTTCTTGGTTGATTATAAAAAGTTTCCATTTTTTAACTACTCCTTCTCAAAGTTTTGTAAATCAACATGGGGTTCCTTCACTTTGCTCTTAAGCACCCCTACCAACAATAGCCTCATGAGCTGAAAAAACTTTCTGTTGTTAATTGGAGGAAAAAATTCAATGTGTACAATATACAATTAATAAATAATGTACAAATACACAATGGCATAAGATGATATTGCAATTGAATCCTGTTAAGTGGTACCTTCAAGGGATATAAAGAAATGGTCTGATTTAGGAAATTTCTGTCTTATCCAGGATACGATTTTTAATTTGAATAAGGTTAAAAAATCAATGGAAATTGACAATCAGTCTGACTTAGTAAAAGTCCAGGTTATCTAGGGTACAATGTAATGGAATTCAACTGTATATATGTATATATCCCACTACTACCAAATTTACTGCTCTTCTGTTATCCTTTGCACTTTCCCAGAAGCCTTGAGAATGATAATCTATTTATAACGTGTTCACTAATTTACATAAGAATAAAAACCTATTAATTGATTCAACTGTCTTTGTTTTCTTGACCGCTACAATTAAAGGGTACGTAATTTAAACAGATTAACTGCACTTGAGGTTTGGACAAATCCAAGTGAAAGTTAATCCATTGTGAATATTCTGGAGGCGATGTCAGAAGTTATCCAGTCCATTCCTTCAAGAAGATGATCTCCAGTTACAGCACTGCACCCACATATGTACCAGTGATGTGTTTTTATTTCATCTAAACTCAAGGCCTAAAAAAAGACAAGAACTAATATCTTGAAAATTTAATTAAAAACAAAAATTAATAATCATCAAAATTAATTATTATTTTCACAAAATGCTTACTATGCTATAATCTAGTTACTGCATACTTTGAGGGAAAAACCAATTAATTATGCTATACCTAAAGTAAATTTTAAATAGGTTAAAAAAAAGCTAAATAAAAAATTATGAATAATAAAATTATTCATAAAAATATGTTGTAGCTTGGCACACTGTAATGCTGCTTTCAACTAAAGGAGTGATTAATTGCAACCTATTTTCTTTCCTCTTTTTTTAAAATTTTTTCCTAATTTTGAATAACATTTTTTAGAGACCAAGTATGCCAATATTTTGCACTGGAAAATAAATTTAAAGCAAGTATTTTATCAACATATTTCACTGTATGTTCAAAATTTTTGCATTAATTAGTTCAAAGCATTTCTTCCTTTTTCATCTCTGAAATTGCAAAATGTTTTTACTGTGCTTACCTCTTTTATCTCTTGGGCGTTCAATGAACCTGGTAGATCTTGCTTATTTGCAAAAACTAATAATGTTGCACCAGCCAATCTCTAGAACACCATAAGAGAAAGATTTTAAAAAAAGTAAACCTCAAGTTTCTATGTCTGAGCTATTAATTGTTTTCTACACACATTTGCATGAGCATTCAATTTGAAACTGTTCATATCGAGCATTTTTAAATTACCAAACCATTTAAAGGTAAACTTTTTTAACAGTCTTTGCTGTTTACATTATTGACTTCAACTTCATTCTTTTTACATGCATGACTTCAAAAAATAATTTGAAGTAAATGCCTGGGGGGGGGCGGTACTTAGTATATTTTGCGGACGGGATGTGCACATCTTTCCAGGTATCATTTTCAGCAATTTATTCTAAGGCTGGGTATCTGTTCAAAGGATATAATCTAAAGCCGGTTGCCTGATTTTCGCTGCCCGCCCATTGTTTTTATGGTGTTCTGGCAACCATGGCAATTGGCACCAAAGCTTTTGTTTTCCTTTGTTCTTTTTTCCAGAAATTCTAAAGCCGGGTGTGATTTTTAGCTTTTTTTCTAAAGCTGGTTCACCAAAACAATCTTAGGAGTTCACCCCCCCCCCATTGTTTTGGTATCCAAGTACCCCCCCCTCCCGGAGTAAATGTATTTAAGTCAAGAAAATAATATACCTCTTCGACCAACAAAGATGATAATTCTTTTTTACAGTCTTCTAGTCTCCATTTATCTGCACTATCAACAACCCAAATTAAACCATCTGTGCTTTCAAAATAGTTTCTCCAATAAGATCTAAGTGACTTTTGACCTCCAACATCCCAAATATTAAGTTGAAACCTGAAAATTCAGAACATAGTACTTTGTAAATTTAGAAATAAAGAATGGCATTAGATTAGTTCAAATACGTGTTTTTAAAGCTGTGGGATGTCAAAGGTTGCTTGATATACAAGCGTAAAAACTCATTATACATAGAATTATAACATAATGATCAGGTAAAGAAAGATGGCAACCAGATGAATAAAGGAAACATTCAAATATGTCGTGGTAAGTTACAATTATTGATAAAAGGAATTTGCTTACCCTCTATGTTCTAAAGTTTTTATGTTAAAACCAAGTGTTGGACTTATTGTATCTATATCCTCCCCATTGAACTTCTTCAGAATTGTAGTTTTGCCAGCATTATCAAGCCCTCTACATATCAAATAGTTAAGAATGAAATATTTGTTATCTTGAATCCTAAATGTGCAGTAAAAAGTAGGAAGTTTCAAGTGATGGGCTTGCATTAGTTCATATGAGTGCAAATTCTCAATTTGGTTTCACCTCAAAAACTGCTCGTCGAGAGTTAACGTCCTCAGGGATAACACTTGACAAAACCGTGCACAAGAATATGACTCTTTGTATATATTGATTAAGATCGTGTATAAGTAAAATTTTATTAAAAATAAAACAACATTAGCAGATAGCTGCTCCTGTGGGTATCTTTGACCAAATTATTTTTACTGAACGCCAAACGAAGATTTTAGACGCCTGAAAGTGAAAAGAATACAGCATCAGCAGTCTAACTTCTCTTTCCTTCTCTTTCATTTTCTTTAGGATTGTTAGTAGACCCATTTTGAAAAATCTGTTTACGATTTCACACTCTTTCGAAATGTTCAGAAATCGAAATCCAAACTTAAATTTTGATAACCTCTATTTCGAAACATGACTCGTTTGGAAGCTAAGCGCAAAGGAGCATATCAAAATGGCGAAAAGGAGCAGGCTGTCTGAGGCTCATCAATTTTTTGAAGGAGAAGATGCAGAAACGCAAAATGCAGACACAGATACCACATCAGAAAGAGTAAGTTTATTTAAATATTATTATTATATGGGGATATTGATTGAAGGGTTATCATTTTGCCATCAATTCAATTGCCAACTGGTATTTTTATTTCGTAAATAAAATTAAAAAGAGAAAAAATCTTTGCTTAATCTATAAAGCATATCAAAATGTGAAATGTGAAATTCTATAATAGGTAAATAAGGTAACTCTAGTAGTGAGTGGAAGTTGTTAGAATATTGCCACACTTTCCAAGGTGCACTGCATGTAAATCCTGGTGCATTTTCATGTTTGTCTTTGTCAAAGCAAAACAGTGTCTTAACCATTATGTCCAAAGTAAATATCTATGCTGTGCTTTGCTAATAAGAATCACAACTCTGATCGCAAAGATTGTTTCTTGGCAACATATGAGCTGGTAAGTAATAGGGAAAGGAAAATCCACACATTTGAAATCATGTTCTCTTTTTATTTAGGTCATTGACCTTTTGAATCAAGCACAACTAGCTTCTACTGACAATAAAATAACATTCCTAAAGCAGGTAAGCACCTCTTTCAATATCATAATGGTTTTTTATTATTCTTATTTGTATTTGCATATGTGCTATCTAGCATCCGAAGATAGTTATTACAGTTATAAGGACACTGATAAGCTGTGCTTATTGCGCAGTGTCCTAGTCCTTTCTTCTGATGTGACCACACCTCGTGATACCTATCCCTGGAATTATGGGGAGCTGGTGACTCTCCTCTGGGTGAAAGTTTGGGTCATGCCAGGGACTCAAACAATGGTCTTTAGTCAGCACCTCTAGCCACTGAGCCATCCTTGCACCTATAAATTTCAAAAGGAGCCATTTAATTAAAGGCTTCAATAACAAAATATTTTCTCAATCCTCATGAAGAATTATTATAAAAGAAAAAATTAAAAAATATTCACATATATTTTGCATTTCCTAAAAATTTATCTACGTAAAACTATAAGGTGTTAGCAGCATCAGAAGAGTAGCAAGGGAGGCAAGGTTAGGGGAGAAAAGCATGTTGAGCAAGGGAAAATTTGTGGTCCATACCATTCTGAATGCCACAAAATGACCTTTTTCAAAGATATTTTTTCCATTTGGGGTCTCAGCCTCATCTTGCCTCCCCTCTGCTAGGATACTTAGCAACATAAGTTGTTTTATTCAGGATCATATTGTGTTGGTTCAACTAGCATGCTTTGATGGGGTGAAAACAAATCAACATAAACAAGTAAATTAGTCTAAACAAGTCAATTTATAGAGAAGCTGAATTTAATGTCAGCTATTCATCAGCCATTCTATTGATCATGCATGCAACAACACTAAAGTCTATATTTGCCAAAGTTATTTAGACACCTGATTAGGAAGAACCCATCTGATTTTGTATCAAATACATATGCAGATGTGTATAAATATAGTTATATATTTACAAAAATAATGTTCTTTAGCTATTAGATGAATTGATAGCATCTTCTTTTCGCATAGGTACAAGAGTTGATAATAAACAAGGACCCTACCTTGCTTGACAACTTTCTTGATGTGAGTAAAAAACAGCTTTTTGGTATATTGCATATCGCATTTAAACATTGGAGATAACAGAGCCTGTCAGCACACACTAAAGAAGGGTTTTAGTCAGCAGTACTTGCGAAGCTCATTTTTTGTGTTGAGAATTACAGAGTATAATTTTATGGTACTTGCATTGGAAGAGGGGATTATTCTTTGTAACTAAATGATGAAGGGAATTAAGTCTGATTTTTCTGTAATAGGTTTTTCAAGAAGTGTTTATGATAATTTTTCTAGTCAGTACAACCTTTGCAATTATAGTGTGGTTGATATGAAAGTAAACATGTACTTAACAATTTTAAAAATTTGCCTGATAATGCACTTCCAAGTGAATTAAGGATTCAGCTAAAGATAACAATTGAAGACACTATACCTTACTTGCTCAAAACATATGATTGATAAAGCAAAGTCAAACCAACATAAGGTGAAAAAAGCATAGCAAGCTAAGCATCGCAAGATAATACTTTCTTCCTGTCAGTATTTCAGATTAAAGATTGAATAAGGAAGTTGGCCATTCAAATCCACTGCTCTTTCTACAGAATACCTTCACTTTTTACACCCTGTGTGGCTCTGCAAAGTGAAGTAAAGCCCCTTTGTAACAACTCTGTTTATTAAACCTTCTTTGGAACAGAAAGTTTATATGCAATAAATCTACAATCAATTACAAAAGTAATGTGCAGATGGATAATGGTTAGCTTCGGTCCTTGCATTATATATCATTATGTTTTCTATTGAAGGAAATATTGATGTTTCATCAAGACAAATCTCAAGATGTAAGAAAATTTGTTGTTGGCTTTGTTGAAGAAGCATGGTATGTATACCTTCAATTTCTGTTTTTAGACCTTCTTCTTTTCAGTTTCTCTTACAATTTTTCATAAAAAACCCACAAGTGTCTGGAAATTATTTCAAATTTTGCCAAATTTTTAAATTTAGATTTCTGAAGTGTTCTTTTCAATCTTTAGAAAGAAAGCATCAGTTTAGTTATTTTATATTTTTCATATACCCAGTAGAATTTGAATTTTAGCAATGTTTAAATTCTTCTTTTGCTTAAAAAATCCTCCTATTTAGATTAGAGATTGTAAACTGTTTATTGGTAAGTAATTGTTGCTCAGATGCCAGAGTTTTTTAACACAATTAAATATGTATGCCTTATGTGGAACTTCATCCAAAATAACGTTAATAAAGTTAGCAAATGAATTGAGTACCAGAATGAAATAAATTAGTTTAATTGTTAAAAATGCAATATTTCGAGCATATACTCGTTATCAAGTCAAATGAGTGCATGCTCAAAACCTTGTGTTTTTAACAATGAAACTAATTTATTTCATTCAGATACACAATTTATTTGCTAAATACATTATTGCTTTTTTAACACAATTGACAATCAATATGCACATTTTGCCTCTTAACTGACCATAGTAGTAGGCGTTAGAACTTTTGTTACAATATAATAGTATTTTATCATTGTAACCTAAGTTGATTCCAAATCTTTGATTTTTTATTCTGTATATAAATATCAGTCTGTAAGCTTTTAAGAATCATTGTTATGATAGTAAATAAATTGTTGTATTTATACAGCAAAAAAGATCCAGTTCTTCTGACTCAAACCATTGCCACTGTGGCATACATGCTGGATGATGAGAACGTTAACGTTATGAAGCGTGTAATGCTAGCTTGTGTTTCTCTTTACAAAGTTGCGATTCAGGTAAACTTCGTTTATCCTGGTTTTTTACTTTTCTTGGCTCAATACAAATTACCTGCCTATATTTATACCAATAATTAATCTGGTAGAATTTTGGTAATAGTTAAACGGTTATATTCAGAATGTTGTACAGCAAACAAGTATATCGTGTGAGAAACTCTTTTCCAAAACTGTTTTATAGCTTTTTTGTAAGATTGCTAGGATTTGGTCCCTGCTTTAGTCCACTCTTTTGTAACTTTGCTTGGGCATTTACAATCCTACATAAGCTATAAGTTGCTAAAATCCAGGATGTTACCATTAGCATTTAAAGCAATCAAATGGTTTACCAACTCCAAGACGCTGGCTATTTGGGTATTATCTTTTGGGATATTACTTGTAGGTTTCTTTGTTTTTTTAATAACGTCTTTGTTATTCCTTGTTGATTACAGCTGGTTTGCAAGTTGAGAACAATTAAGGAAGAGATCCAGGTGATGTGGATGGTAAGACTTTTCTTCTTTGCTAACTAACTAATACGACTTTCCTTTTTGTACAGTTTTACTATCTTTTTAATCAAATAAAGGAAAATACAACGAGATGATAACGAGAAAGTAATTATAACTTGAGTTCCAATATGGAGCCAAGTTTGAAACATTTCGGCTTCAGGAAATAGTGGGCTTTTTTTTTATTTGCAACTGAATCTCATTTATATTATTTAAAGATACCTTTATATTAACAAAAAGGCTAAAAAGTTGCGCTAGAAAGGGGAACAAAATTTAATCTTGACGGAATCCTTATCACAGCTCCACCATTTTTCTCTTCAGGGAATGTCTGGGCTTCGCCAAGTGATTTCACGTCTCGTTAAATCTGAAAATGATGGGTTTGTATACAGCTTTATATCTCATCTTGGCCTTTATGTTTTCCCCTGCTAATCTCTTTGAAGCGTAGTTATTTTTATTGACATTAATACTAATTTTAGTTGAAGTGGGTTTTCATTGATTATTAGGAACCAGTTACAACTGCAAAACATTTTCCGATTACGAACTCTGAATGTCTCTATCGATTATGTTTGCTTTTCTAAAATCTCAAAATAATCTTTAATATTTTATTCTGCTCTTAACTTGTGATTATTTTTCTTTGAAGAGTACGGACACATGCAATAAAATTCTTGGAAATGGTTGTTTTGGTACACTCGCCGAAAATGCAGGTATTTAGTTTGTTAACATTGTTTTTAAACTGTAACATTGAAATTCTCCTTTGGTTCTGTAGGTTAGGCAGTGTTGCCCTATAGGCATTGTCTAGCCAGGCGATAGTAATAAAAAAATTTCAGAAAACTCTGAAAGATAACCTCTAGTTAACCAAATGGAAATTGAGATTAGATAGAATCACAGTGGATTTTTCAATTGTCAGTGTGTTCTTACCTATGAAAATAGAAACGTTATTCTCTTCTCACTTCTTAAGCCCCTTTGCAATAGTTTTCTATATACTGTGAACTTTTGTATCATAAAGAGTTTTTGCCAATTTCAGGACAGTGATGCCCCAAAGAAAGAAGGAGACGTCTCCCTTGATATTGTAAGTATCACAGAAAATCATACTTTTGGAAACTTTACATCTCCACTACCTAGTCCTAAATGCTTTCAAGCTCTAAGATTTGCATTGCAACTTTTCACTTTCAATCTTCATGGATACGAAGACTGTGAAAATCTTTTTTTCAATTCATTGTATTCAGCGTTTTATAGTTTTATTTACTTCATGCAACCAAAGAGTTTTTTTTTAGGTCCCACGAAACCATCCATTAGTGAAACTATCTACCATGCGAGAAGAAGGAGGAAAAGCTATCGAGGCCCTTTTATCCCTTTGTGCTTCACCAACAATTAGCAGGTAGTTATATTCTCAATAATTTCAGCTAAACCCGTACTATGAAGTCACAATTGCCTTTTGCAATCATTTTGTGCCTTTCGACTAAGTGTGATGTTTTGTTATACCAACAACTTTGTCACCTTTTTGAAATGGTCGCTAGAAATTAAAATTTATGTTTATTTGTTAAGTTTATATAACTATGGAGGATCTTTTTGAAAGGAGTTGGTTATTCTGTTATGTGTGCTATTTTAATTAGCCCAAACTCAAGTCTATATGGAACAAGCCTGTCCGTAGATCTTGAATCATTGCTCTTCGATGAGTTTTAATTCTTTCTTTTCTTGTCATTCAACAGTGTCAACTTGATGGCTGTGATCACATCATTAACTAACATCGCAAAGCAAAGACCTTCCTTTATGTCCACGGTGGTGCAAGCCTTCGAGTCGTTGCATGGTTTGTCCAACATTTTTTTGCTCTTGAATTCCCAAAGCTCGTATTAAAGTTATAAACACATTTTTTAATCTCTATTGCAGCGATGCCTTTCAAGAACTAGAATAGGCAAAGATTATATTAAATGTCATTCATTTGCATTTTGTCTAAATCTTTGGGAAGTCTACTCAAAACTCTATAAAAGAATGTGGCTGAATTGAAAATTCTTAAGATACCTGTGGAAACATGACTTTATCTTTTATTAACAGTTTTTAGGAGATTTAGCCAGTTATTCTTGTAGCTATCTAGCCATTTATCTGTCATATGTATACACTTATTAATGCCCACTCTTGCCCTCTTTACAGCAAACCTTCCTACAACTTTAGCAAAGTCTCAAGTTAGCAGTGTGCGAAAGAACTTAAAGGTATTGTCAAATGATAACGTGCCAGATTTCTTCTTAAGCTTTAATGTGTAAAACAAGACGCTTCTTTGCGGTTTCTAGTTTCAAGCCTCAAGGACAGTTGCCTAATTATTGCAGTAAGTCTGAAAATTCGGAGCATCAAAGCAGGATTCATCCTGTTTACGCATCGTTGATCACCACATAACCGCCTGGTAAACAGTAATCATCACGATTTCTACTTACATCGAAAGAGCTTTTTTGTCAATACTTTCTGATATGTGTTCAGACAGTATCATTGGTTCAGTATCATTCATAAACTTGCCCTTATTATATAGATTTTTTTTACACTTATTGTTGCGTTTTATTAAAAGCTTACCTGTTGTTATATTTTTAACAAAATCTACGAATCAGATTATGACAGGAAACTGAGAAATGCTTTGATAAACTCAATTTTTGTGCTTTTGTTCAATTTCAGATGCAGTTGTTTGCGCTGTTGAAACAGCCTGCTGCAGGTCAGTAGACTTGATAATGTTTGCTTACAATCATTGTTTTGAAACATCATGTTTTCAAGTTAATTATTTTCTCTATTTGCTCTGGATTTTCTAATTTATTATGTTTTGTCTGAACTCTTAACAACTGGACGACTGCTGGATTCGTGGAAAAGAATTAGCTACTTGCAGTTGTCAGATGTTGAGCAGACATTTTTATCCAATCATTGCCAACTCTTAGTCAATTTTTGTCATATTATTTCTTTAATGATGAACGTCTAAACTGAACAAATTATAGAACCAAGCTTGTCAACAGGCTTTTTACCCCTCTTAATCGTATGAATTTTTTTATCTATAAGCTCTTACCATATGCTCTGATCTATTAAGTGTAATTCCTGTGTTGTGTTGTAGCTGAATTCATACCACAAATTGGTACATTGCTGACTGACCTTGGAGCCACACAGGCTGAGGTACACTGTGATTTTCTTCTGTAACCTTTTCTATACCGTTCACAGCATTAAGAAAATGTACTTAGCCTCAAACACCAACTTAACAACATGAGCCATCACAACGATTTTCGATTCAACGACCCGTCTTCACTTTGTAAAAGCCTTAATGCTAAGAAACACTTATTTAACAGTAACTTCCAAAAAAGTACCTTAATCCGAAATAGAATTTTAGAGAATCCTAGTTGTTTATATTGTATGTGATTATAGCTTGGTTTTCGTAGTACTTATTTTTGGCAATTTGTGCACAAGATTCACAACCCTTGTTTAAGACTCTCATTCTTCTCATGACAATAGAAAATACTTATTGCAGCTTAGTATTATAGCTGTTTAGAAACTAAGAAATGCCCCTTTTTTTAACATCGATGCAAAGTTTTATGCCCAGTCTGTGCTTCTCATTGAATAATTTTGCAATAAATTTTTAGTTAAGAAAAAATCTTCCAAAAGTCAATCCAGATGCACTCAAAAGATCGAAGTGAGTGATTTCAACAAATTTCAGAAGAACTCTCTGGATTGTTGAATTTTATTCAACTGATTGTTTAAGGAACATCTTGATTCCTTGATTGATTGAACTAATTGTTGGAATATCTTGATTTTTGCCCATGAAAAAGAACTTCCTTGCCATTTTTCAAATAAAATATATGGGATAGTTTTATTCTTGGGATATGTTTTTATATTCTATTTTCATTTATCTATAACATCTCCAAAGTATTAAATGTTTTTATATGAAAGATAAAAAGATAGTGAAATTTAACTGCGGTCAGTTTTTAAAAAATTTAAAATACTTGCGATGTTAAACAGTGAAAAAATTTCATTGTTATATTTCTTCTTGACGATTATTTCTTCAACTAGCTATGGTCAAGTTGCAGTTTAAGAGACTTTGATAAGTTTCAGTGGTGCCAAAAAGCCCTCTTATATATATACAAGTCTATATTTGCGCATGCGTCGCATCTTGCCACTGATAGTACAGTACGGTTTGATATGTAATCATTGCCAAAGTGTGAACTCTGCCCTTTAAACCTTGTAGGAAATTGTATTCTCATAAGACTTTTTATGTTTTGTACATTGCATTATCATTTCGAAATATATCTTAGGGCAGTTGCAGCTCCCGCTGACCCGGATGGGCCGGAACCAAAACGTGTTAAAACTGTGAGTATTTTGTGTTTCAGTAAATTGCAATATCTGCTAATAAACTGCCCATTTCGATCGTTCTTGGAACGTCATTTTGCCACAGCTGCCTCGGAACACAAAACGTCTGCTGAGAAGTGTTATTTCATTGTACAGTTTGAAGAAAAGAACCATTTCTTTAATTCTCCATATTAAGGGTGTAATTCTAAACACTTTCTCGAAATCTCGCTTGAATTTTTTTCGGCATCACTAATCTTGCATTGTATTGCCAATCGTTTCTATTGGTTTTGAATTTTTACACTTGTATAAGTGACAGAAAAGGTCTAGAATACTATCTTGCCGTATTTAATGTATATACGGGAATCTCATCTCTGATCCAATGTATACAACTTATTTTATCAAATTTCCTGATTGCAGGAGCCTGCCGAAGATGGAAGCAGTGACGTCAAGAAAACAGGCCAGAGTGTTGTTGCAACCATAAATAAAGCTATTGAAGTTACCACTAAAGAACTGCTTCCCAAGCTTACTAAGGAAGCCGTGACTGATCTCGTATTAGTTAGCATGTGGTTTTTGCCAAAGACTATGCCTTCCAATTTCCAAGAGACGTTTACGCCGATTGCAGCTGCGGGAGGTGCTGCGCAGGTGAATCATTTAGCAAGATTGTTGGCAACCCAGATGACAAATGCCGGCATAGGGCCTGGGATCGACTACGTCAAAAAGGTAACCACGTTTTACATTTGCTCTTAAATGTGCAAATCACGAGTGTATTTGCTCTTCTCTGGTGTGGAAGACTTGTGATATTTTTGGCTTTTTGAAACATGGAGGAAATTTAATGCTGCCCCATCAACACCATGTTGTCATTTTTTCTCAAGAATTGATTTGGCACTCTAGATCGGAATCTTGCAACACAGTCCCTTTAGAAAGACTCTTCTACCCTCGCCAACTACGCTGCCTTTCATGCATACATTGCACTAACGAAGATTTGTGGCAAGCCAATTTTCATTCTGTGTTTTTATGATAGATAGAATATCTGTGAATATTTTCTAGATGGCTGAAGATGAGGCTAGGATGAAAAAAGAAGAAGAGGAAAAGGCGAGCAGGGAGCCAAAGAGTATCCCCGTCATTGGTAGCGCAACTGAAGCAGAAGATCCATCAAAGGTTCCATAAATATTGTCTTTAACATAAAATTTTCACAATATAACATTGACGTAAAAAATATTTCAAAAGTGGGGGGAACATATAGGCCCCTCCATGATTATGTATGTTTGGGAATGCACGTGTCCCCAGTTTCCCCTGTACCCCCCAGATCGCCTTGGTTCCTAGTCTATGCAACGAAGGGACTGCACATCAAATGACCTTGTACCTTGCTACACTTTTAGTTGCTGACTGTGTCTAAAATCTTTGTGATTTACTGATCTCTGATAGTTTACAGGTCGCATGAGCTGAGTAATTTGAGATAAACGGCTTGCAAAAGGTGCCATTTAAATAGCACAATATGTAACCCAACGTTCTCTAGACGTGCGCTTACTCTTGTCTTGTTTTCTATTAGAGCAAAACGTGAGTCTGCTGGCGCTCGATAAAACGCCTATTCTCTGATGGATCTGGTGATTTCTTAATTTTGTTTCAGGAATTGATTCTTGTCACTGCGTCATAAAGATTTGTATTGTTTCTTGACTTGTGCTTTCATGATAAAGCCTATTTATGAGAAAGAGTAAATTTCATTAGTATGCTCTGAACGTCACGTCTTTTTAACAATATAAACAGAATTAGTGGAAAAATAGCGAAACGTGCGATCGACGCTGTTCTACTGCCTGGGTTAGCCAACATTTCACAAGCACTGATAATTTTTGGAAGTAAAAGTTTTCTTCCTCCTTCCTTTCATTTCTCAAGATTCTGCTTCTGTTTCAGATGTCTACTGATTCACAGTTCAAAGATGGAAAGTCAATTTTAGGTAATTAATTAACGTATTACATTAACCGCAAAAAATTTCGTCGTGAAAAAATTTCGGACAAATATTTGGCGAAATTTTCTTCGACTAAATTTTAAATGAGATGAAAATTTGTCACGACGAAATTTTTGCTTTTAAAAAATTTTGAGAAGTCACATAGATAGACTGATAAACTATCATTTGAGGTAAAAACCAAATTTATGTATCTTTTTAATCTAATCAATTCCAATAACGTAATTTTCCTCATTTACATCGTCTTGATGATTATCTTTTTCGTCGGCATAATTGTCGGTTGTGGAACTAACTTTGTTTTCACCATAAAAATATTTTTATAATAGTTCGATAAAAATAGTTTTAACCATGTCTTTGCCGCCGATTTCAAAAGATTCCACCTCTGTCTTTCTGTAGATCAACTGTTTTATTTCTTTCATTCACTAACGGTATTTGAGTTTTTCAACACAAATTACCAGACAGCAAAATTTCCAGACCACCTTTTCCTATTAGAGACGGTATTAAACTTTCCGCTTCCTATACTTATACTTTTAATTATGCTCTGTTTATGAACTTCCATACCATATTGATAGAAAGTAGAGACTCTCTGAGTGCTAAAAGCATCTCTTTGATTTTCTTGCATAAAAACAGATCAAATATACTGCTTTAATTTTGATTTTGCTGAAATGCTGTTCTGTGTGAAAAAGCTGCAAGGAAGGTTAAGCCAATTTCCAAGAGGGTGCTCAAGACCCCATGTCCCCACGGGGCTAGTGGTTTGCCTCTTAGAATATCGATAGTATTTTTGTGTGTCTGCTTTGTTAAAACCACGACGAAATTCTGAAAAGTTGTTCGAAATTTTTTTTGACGAAGTTTATCCGCCGAAAATTTATCTGACGAAATTTTTTGTTGTTAATTGTTGAAAATCATACTTTCCCCCGGTAACCTATTGTCCAGGGGTGTAGAGCCAGATGGGCTTGGGGGGGGCTGAACACCCCTTGCTAATGTTGAAAAGCAACAATTTTTAACCACTCTGATCATTTCTGGTTCCAATACTGCAAAACAAAATCCAATAGTAAAATTGTTTTCATGTTTTGCTTCGTGTCACTTCGGTTATTCAGTCTTCTTATATTTTCTTGAATTTTTTTAGATTCGAGTCCTGATCTTGGGAAAATTGCACGACAGGTTCGGTATTTTGTAATAGCTCCTTATTCAAAATTTACTTTGTAGCACCTATGTTGAAGGGTTAGAAATATACAAATTAATTCAATAGCGCGTCTAATATAAAGATGTCACATTTTGTGCTGTTGCACTTTCATCATAACAAATTATGCAATCAGTTGTGTACATTTTGCCTTGCAACATGTGATTTTGAACCCTGAAATCATTGCGCATTTTTATATGGCATATATAATACGGTTGTACATATGGTTTTCAGCAGTAATGTTCGGATAAAATTTAAAAATTGTTGAATCTATAAAGGCAGTCTGTGGCTTGCAATTCGGAGAATCCTACCCAGATAACGGTCAGTAAGACTGCTAAAAGCCGGATTTAAAGGTTACTGCAATCCTTTTGATCTCAATAATTGGCAACCAAAGCTGTATTTTACGAGTGGTGCTATTCAACAATGCTAAATGATGCTATTAATGGCTTAGTTGCCCACAATGCTTTCGTTGATACAAGGTTTCTTTATAGGACATTTGCCTGCTCTCCTCAGCTAATGTTTAGTCTAATATTTAGTCTAATATCGTTTTATATTTTAAGTAATACACTCCACTGCTTGGATGTCGACGTAAACATTATGCAAATTTCGCCAAATTTTTATCCTTTTCCTTTTATAAATTTTAATTATCCAGAATGTTAAATTTGATATTTCAGTAGTTTTTCCAACATTTCTCTTCTGATATTTTGCTAATAGCAGCTGCTCTTACTAAAAATTTGTGGTTTCTTGGCTTGACTTCAAAATAATTATGCTTATCATCTTTAGGGCGAAACAAAAGCACAAGAAGCTCTCCACCCAGTACGTGTGCATTCAATAAATATTTTGTCTTATTCTTCAGAAGCCTATCAAGAATCGTATTGTATCAAGTAGATTTAGTATCTCATACTCTTTCTTCAATGTTATGTGCCCCTAAAAAACTCCAATCTAATCTCTTTAAGAATTTAATAAATCTGATAAGTATTTCTAATGAAAGATCTACAAGGATCAGAATTATTTTTAGACGCTTTAGCTTTCGTGATATACTTTATAAGTAGATTTTTCAAACTTTCTAACGTCACCTTGATGGAAAATTTGTGATTCCGTTAAGAAATAGTTATTTCAGTATGCATACGTGGAGAGTTTTGAGGATCAGAATTATTTTTGGGCGCTCTAGCTTTCACGATAGACTATATAAGTGATTTTTCAAACTTTCTAACGTCACCTTGATGGAAAATTTGTAATTCCGTTAAGAAATAGTTATTTCAGTATACATACGTGGAGGGTTTTGTCCTATTAATAGATTGTACCAACGTTAAAGATATCAAGAGGCGAGATCTGATGTTGAAGAACTCGAGATTTTTTTACTTTGCAGAGGCTCAGAAAGATAAAGCAGTTTAAGTTACAAGATGTTTGTCGTGCTCTTAATGTTGACGAGAGAATGAAGATGGTTAATCAAGCGTTTGACAGGATACTCAATGCTGAACGTAATTATCAAAAATATTTTTTATTGCACAATCTTGTTGAATTTATTACAGATCTATAGATAAATTGTGACGTAAAGGTCAAGGACATATCTATGAAATGGGTCAGTAAATATGATCATCATTCGGAAGTTTCATATTCTAAGAAGTTTCAGTCTAGGCTTTTTGCAATCATATGCTACTCCTATTGAACCTTAAGTCCTTAAATAGGACGACTGATGCACATAACAACTGAAGCATGATGTCAATTAATTATGACTATTGTATCTCCTAACGTTCACTTACATGTTGTTTCTACTATGCATAACGTTCCATAAAAAGGTATGCCATGTCAGACATGTCCAAAACATAAGTAGACTGGAGATACATATTAAATGCTGCAATAGTGTACAGTACTCTTCAAGACTGTATTTCATTTAGAATTTTATTCTTAAGGATATCCACCAATCCAATCAAATCGATCTGAATAGCAATATGACATATCTGGAGTGAATAAATGTGTATTTATCACTTCAGGGGCCCATGATAATATCTTTATCAATTTGGTTTGCTTGACAATTTGCCATGTAAAAAATGTTTACTCTGCGGGTGTTAGCCAACATTGAATAGTGAAGCTACACTCCAAAGGTTACTTTTCTACAAACTTTTAAGGTGACACACTAATTTCCCAAGTCAGGATTTTGCTAGCTCGCATTTTAATAACAAGCACGTCGTGATATTGCCTCTGCGAGGTGCATTTCATAGGCACCTTTATTATAACTCGATGCCCGAATACTGTAAACAATCAAATCTTAAAAATATTTGCCTTTGTACCACGTCAGACAGCAATTTATTGTAAATATCGGCCTGCATGCTTGGCGATAAAAATGATGAAAATAATAACAAAAATTGTTTTTCCATACCATATTATATTTGATGTTTTGTTTCGGATTCCGTCCTGGCATCACATTATCCTTCACCGCGTCAGGCTACCGCAATTTCTTAAAAACATATTCGTTTTTTCTCGTTTTAGAAGCTGCAGTAAAAGGGGGTGCTAAGTTGGTAGGTTGTTTAGCCATTTTCGCTGTAGAAACCTAAAGCTCTAAACATTAAAGTGTTGTGTCAATTTTAGGAATTATAACTATTATTTTAGATATAAATTTATATATTACTTTGTTGGGAAATGTTATTTATAAGCTTTTGTGCCTTTCTGTATCAAAAAGCATGCAATGCTTTGCATAATCAGGCATTTTCTCCTGAGGTCTCTTGAGATAGTAAGTGACAGATTGCTTGATGGAGCAGGCGGGTGGCATTATTTTTCAGACAATAATTGTTCAATTTTTTTATGTGGCTAGGCCACATCCTTGCTAGTTGATTAAAAACCCAATTAGAAACAAAGCTAAAATTAAAGGCAATAGCTATTTTATTACTGAAACTTAAAAAAGGGGATGTCACTAGAAACATTATTGTTATTCAAGGATTTTGTTATTCGAGTGTCTTTATAAACTAACTCAGAAATTCAAATCTTTTGATTTTCTCCAAAAACTCCTTTCTATGATTTACGTCAATCGATATTTGATGCAACTGAGCCTGTTATTTACCATTACTTTCAATGGAGTAATGTTGTCAATATTCAGTCATATCGCAGTCTTGTTTGTTTTCGTTTCTTAGGAACGCAACAAGATTATAGTTAATTTGGTTTTGCAATTCGGAGGGGACCTGGCAAAAGGTGAATAATTATTACTTAAGCACTCAAAAATAATTACCCAGGCACTTCCTTTGGTGTTTTGTACTATTCTCTATTGTTGATATATTTGGAGAAGGGATTACAACCAAACAGGATTATTATGTAGAGACGGCCTTCGCATTTTTCCTTTAATTGTCATTATTAACATACGATATTGAATTTTTGGCAGTCAATCTAGATTTGTATCTTTGTTTTTGGGCTGCTAAATATCGGATTAACTTGAGTTTTCACTTTTAATTATATCTAGCATTAGTCTAGAAATCGAGCAAATCCGATTTACTAATAAAATTATGAGAACACTTAAGTTTACATAAAGAGATAACGTCGATTAAAGAAAACAGTGACGTGGGGCGGAGGTCTCATGTAATGACACCCTGGGCCAACTTTTTAATTCCTCTCTTAGAACCAGCAAGCCGTTAAGAAAGCTCCTGTTATTTCAGGTTATTTCAGATAGAATGAGTATCTCATAAGAGTTCTGAACCTGGTCGCATGCCCTTTAGTAGCAGGAATATCAACGTTGAATTCCTAAAGGAGGGATCTTACTGCAATCTAAGCCTAGCCTGTATATAGTCATGTTTTTGAATTGGTCTAAAAAGTTTTTTTGCCATAGTCCCTTTTACTTACCCTTCGCCAGGCTGTATTCTTAGTCTCAATGTCTTAGTCTCAATGATAACTGGTTTTTGCAGTGATGAATCCAAATTGTGCAATGATGAGCTAAACATTTTGCAGTGTCAAATCAGCTGTAACACCATTATTAAGAAACTTGCATATCATGGACTATAGCTAGAAGTACAAACAATGATACATCCCATGGCCTCATTCAAGTACAGCCTCATTTCATTTTTGAATTTTCAAAAACAGTTGTGGAGTTATAAAATTTCATTAAAACAAGGCTTGCTCTTCTCCATACCCATTCTTTACTTTTTCTTTGTTTTTTCTAGCATTGCACTCCTTCATCATGAAGGACTTTAGGAGTAGATATGACCTAGCGATGACCTGGTTGTATCAACAATTTATAATCGAAGAATCGAAAGCACCAAAGAGTGCAACGAGGAGAGATTCAAAATATAGCAAAATTTTGACTGACCTACTCGTGGAATTGCAAAAATGTTTGGACCCCCGAGACAAGTACGTCTGTTTGTTTTAATGATTTTTTACTTGTTTTTCCAAGCTGCAATTTCCTGAATTGTAGAACGTTAACTATTCAAATGCAAAAACAGAAATGTTTTGGGTGAGACGGGGGATTTCAGAGAAAACTCTTTTCGAATAACCATAGAAAAGTCAGGTGAACTAGATATGATAACAAATGTAACGATTAGTATTCAAAGAATCTAGGTTTTGAGCAATCAAGCGCAAAAAAACCACAAGCATTTAAAAGATAAATGAATAATGAAGATAACCAAAGCATAAAAACATTATGATCATAATCAGACTTTTTTAATCAAATTTTATTGTAAATTTATTTTATTACTTAGTATATATTAAATATCATTCTCCTTTAGACTTTTCACAAGATTCATTCTGGAGGCACCAGCCTTATCAGACAGTGTTGTTGACTTTGTCAAACGCTACTGTGAAGATGATGTGAGTAATATCTGGCTTATGTCTAAGATTCAATTGAATATCAAAGCTGAAAAAATCCTGGCGAAATGTGATACTTTGTAAAAAGCAGTAGATTTCCGGAGTTTATATTGCTCTGTCTAGCCTAGGGATTGGTTACGATGAAGTTTGATTGTTACGTCGACGAAGTTTGTGAGAATGGCTCAAGGCAAGATTTGGTATGACGTCATTGAAGAAAGTGCACCACATGCAGACTTTTTGTTGTCGAATAGTTAGCATATATAACGTGCTTTGTTCGATTTATGGCGGTTTTGAATATCTTTCTTAATCTTTTTTTAAAATAGCACCTTTTTAAGTTTTTATTCATAGCTAATCATTATAGTAATAAATTGAAAAAAATATTAAAAAGGTTCTTTTAATTATCAGGCAATGCTGTGAATTTTTAGATCAGAAGATGGTTGTTTGAAGATGGTTGAAGATGTTGTTGTAGAGCAATGAAAATGTTTTTTGTTAGTTTGGCTTGTTGAATTTGTTAGCTTAGAAAGGATTCTGAAAGCTTACTTCCTGAAAATCAACCTGAAATTATTTTTAAAGACTCAAGATTTATTTAGTATATAATGACACTGAAATTTATGAATAAGTTTTTTTGTTTCGAGTTCATCCCAGAATGGTTTGTTTTAGATCTTTGAGCAAAGTCCCTTTTCTTTAGACACTACAACAGTTTTTTTATCATTTAATGTTATTACAGGCGAAGTATTTAGTTGGGTTTGCAACTCTGCGTGAACTGATCACAAAGTGCCCTGCTAAGAAGAGCACATGGATGCAGCTCCTGCTAGAACTAACAACACGTGGGAAGGAACAGGTTCGTTTATTTAAATTTTTGCAAACTTGACAATTTGTTTAGGAATGCTTCTCGCTCAATAGCTTTTTCTGTCCAGCCTTACTAGAGTTTTAGCACCTTGAAGCCTTTCCTTTGCCGTACTGGTTGTTATTTTGCCTTAATCACCTGATAACGTCGCTAAAATCCTCTACATTTCTCGGATTTATTTGTAGAAGTAGATTTCCGCTAGTAATTTGGTCAAATGGTTTATTAAAGAGTTGCGCATAGGTGTCTCCATTTAAAGTATTATGCGGCAAAGTCGCTTTGTTCTGTTTCCTGGCAGTTTAAATTCTTTATTATGCTCTAACTGTAAGTTTGTATGTTTATGAATCCCACTGAATTTCATTAGCCTAAAAGTTTATTTCATCGAAATTATTTTAAACTATGCTTTTTCAAAGCATTTATGTTCGTAATGTAGAAAGCAAATATAGAACTATTGGCTTGAAGCGTTCCTTCAAGTTTTTAAAAGCTCCAACTATCTTCTATCTTATACTTAGCCATCGTAGCCACCAAGGTTTCATGCTTTTGGGTATTATTTGGGTATTAAAACTATACAAATATTTTTCATGAAAGTGTATAATATTGGTATTGTGAGACTTCAGCCAAATAACACCAAAGGAAAGGCAATAAAAACTATTTATGGAAACCAATCTCGAATTTAGATGTTTCTGCAGCGATGCAAAAATACTTGTATTACCAAGGAAGTCTCAGAAAGATAGTTTTAACTTGAAAAAAATCTGTAGAAGAAGTCAACTCTGTTCTTTTTATCTACAGTGGAACCTCCATATAACGGACACCGGTGGGACCAATGTTATTGTCCGTTGTAGAGAGGTGTCCGCTGTATGGAGGTGTCATCTTTTTATAACTTTTATTTTGGGACTCAAAAATCTGTCCGTTGTTTGGAGGTGTCCGTTGATGGAGGTTCCACTGTACTTACAAACTTTCCTGAACGGTTGTGCTTTTTATTCACAACTCAATGCTAATTTTATTCATAGCTTAAAAGTTTGTAACTTTAACCAAATGTTAACTTATTGAATATTTTCTAATCTTTGTCAGGTTCGTGTCCAAGCCATACACTCTGCAAAGAAACTGCATAGCAAGCAAGGCCTAAGTGAAATGATTGAGGTAAGTTTCTAGTAACTTCTCTCTGTTTTGACAACACTTTAGCGCCATTGTTCGTTAAATGGCTTGTGTCCTCGAATCATATTAGAACAGTTTGTTGATTTTTGTTTTTGCTTAGGAAACTGTGATTTATTGCTTACTGTTTTTTCGATCAACAAGGAATGGTGATTTTCTATCTAAGTAGACCCGAATACTTTATCCGTTTTTTCATGACTATGCCCCCGTATGCTGAATTGCTTTTCGTACTTTTTGGCTGGATATTTTTTCGAAAGAGCGCTTTATCGAGGGAGATTGCTTTGAACTTTATTTTTATTAGAAATTAGGTAGAAATCCCTTTCGGAAGCAAAAGGCTTTTTGAAACCCGACGAACATATTGAGATTTAGAGCAATAAACCATGTTTTAGCATGATCTTATACTTAGTTGCATTCTCTTTTCTTTTTGGCAGAAATTTGCTTTACATAGCCTTCAGCAGTTGCTAAGAGACAACCCTCCTCCACAAGAACAATCTACTGCATCTTTCGGTAATCATTTTTTTTCAATCTTTGTTATGTTTGTTCGCTATCTAGTTTTGATATATATTTCTTCAGCTTGCGATTTTTACAATACTTTTTATGCCAAGAAATCCTTTTTGTCTATAGCAACTATCTGTTATGACGTTTAAAGTTACTTGGCAAAAATAACGAAAGTACATCCCTATCATCTTCATTTTGGTTTTCATTCTATAAGATTCGTTTTCAAGGTTGAACAGGTGTAATTCTCGGAAATTTTTCTTACGTTGCTTTACCCAGTAGCTCTTATTCTCCGAAAAACTTTCTTTGGAATCATTTTTCACCATATTCCAAATTTAATAACATATCCAAAAGAAACTCTTTCAAAAGGATTTTCACACTTGTCCAGAGGGAAGCATAACAACCTTCTAGCATTGCAGGACTTGAAAGATAACTTTTGAAATCATCTGCCACTATCTCACTGCATTCTCAGCCCATTACATCTCATCCAGTTAGACCTGCAAAAAATCTAATTTCATACTCTACTTAGATCTTGTCTTAAGGATGCATATGGTAATCACAGGGTAACAGGTTCCTACTTTAGGTTCTTATCTAAAACAAGCATTTTGGTGAGCCTAGTCGGCGATGACTGTCAATAACTGCCTTTAAAATAAAAACACTATTACTTGTCATGGTAAAAGAGATTGTTAAACACAAGATAGATGGAGTACGACAGCATGTGGGTGCTTAAGTTCTAACATTCTTCGTTGTGTGATCGGCGCTGTTTCAAACTGCCTATTGCCTGCCCATGAGCAATCATATCTTTCAGTCTCATAGAAACTGACCACAGCTTTGACTCTGTCCAAAGACTCTCTATTCTCTTATAGTTTGCCATGTAGCAACACTTTCTCAAAGGATATGGAACGGCAATGTCTAGTGAAAAAATCCGTTGTACTGATTTAAGTTTTCCCTATTGATCAACAAATGCTTTAAAACTGATGTCAATCTTTCTTTTTTAGAAGTAGCACCTGGCGAATGGACTGACGATGCAATCAAAGCATGCCTATACCTGTACCTGGCACTTTTGCCAACAAATCATAAACTTTTTCATAAGTACGTACATAATGTTTCGTTTTATTTTTGTACTCCTCCCTTGACCATTTTAATTTTCCATCTATGTATGAACTAAATAGCCGTCTGTCTCTATTTCCGATGCAAATCCGGATGACACTGTTATTGGTTCTCGCGGTTCTTTGTCTGTCTATTTGAAGTTTCCTTAATACTATGCAGATTGCTTTGGTTCTAATCTTTTTTATCCCATCAACTTCACCTAACGGCTAAATAGTCTGTGTTGCGTTACAGGATCTGAACTTCTGCTAATCTCCCCGTTTTATTCGTGATTGTGGAGCGAAACTCGCGTTGGATTTGCCCAAAAAACTATATTTTTGTATACAGGCTAAATTATTTGTCAAGATTTTTTTGCCTTGTCAATAATTGTGGAAACAACGTGTAATCATTGCCCAGTAGAAATGAAGGTGCTGTCACAAGTAACTAAGAAGGTCTTTCATAATGCAGAGCACCGTGTCTTTTCGGCCACTTTACTCGTTGTCGTTCTTGATTTATGCTCAAGGAGAACTTATTGAAGTAAATACAACTAGGGCCTTCTGCCGCGTTGCTAAAAAATGTTGTTTCTCTTTTAGTCTTGCCGCTGTTTATACTGAGGCCTCGCCTCTGATAAAGCGAACGATTTCAAGGCATCTCGAGCATCCGGTAAATTTTTCAAGGGTTGATTTAAGCACTTTAAAGTTTATACAGAACTTTTTTGTTGTATTGCCACCATCTTCATCAGTCATCATGATCAACAATCATTATAAAAATTTCTTATTATTATCAACGATCAATCTCACCTGTCAGTCATCCCCATAAAACAATTTATCATCATCAACGAGAGGTGGAAAAGTATCCGACCATTGGTCCCAGAAAAAATATTTTGGGTCCCAGAAGAAAAATAAAGCAGCAGAATTTATCCAGAAAGATATAGAAAGAAAGAATCATCAAAAACAAGAAGGATATGAGAAAAAGAAAAATATATGAATGCCGTGAATCGGTGTGAGGTGTAACGTATAATGTTTGACAAATTTCTGTGGTTAAGTATGGAATCAGTGGGAAACGCAATGAAAATTATCAATTAGGTTGCAGCATACTTAATAGTGGCAACAACTTACTGTAGAATAATCTTTGTAATAATCGAAAGAAAAGCCTATTGTCTAAAATAGTCAAATACTTAATAGGCACAACTTATAGATGGCAGATGTCTGTACTGCTAGCTTGCGGTGCAGAAAATATTTGTTATCTTCACTGCGGTTCCAACTGCGGTCCCAGCAAAAAAATTGATGTCTACTCTTGCAGTCAAGCAATGGGTCAACCAATCTATCGCCTCAATACATTGGACGCTTATATTTTTAGTCATTTATAGTTCTGCCTTTTTATTAAGTATGCTATTGTCTTCCAATAGAGCTGTAGTGACTTCATGCTGTATTAAAAATTATGTTGTAGAATCATTGTTTGTAAAATATCATTTACCTTTCAGGTGCGAGCAATCGGAATGAACTCTCCTGAATTACTTAAACTTGTCGAAAACTGTCCCCCAGGAGCAGAAACACTTGTCACAAAAATTTTGCACATCATCACAGATAAAAGTAAGATATTTCTTTGAATTAGGTATATAGAACATTTTTCCCTGCCATCATGCTAGCGAAACATTTCAAAGCATTCATTTGAAAGGCATCTGTACTTTAGCTTTGAATCAATACAAGCTTATTCAGTAGTTAAAAATCTGCATAATGAAGACTATATTGGCAAAAAATGTAAGTTTGTATGTCACAAAATTTTCTTTTCGTTATGTTGAGCAAATTCCCATTGTTGTTTTCTATAGACCCTCCAACACCAGAACTGGTTGAACGCGTTAAAGAACTTTATCAGAAGCGTGTCTCAGACGTTCGATTATTGATACCAGTCCTAAATGGACTTGACAAGCAGCAAGTTATAACTGTTTTACCAAAGCTCATTACACAGTCCCCAAACGTTGTCAAAGAAGTATTCAATCGATTGCTTGGTTCTTTTCAACGTGAGTACTGGATCATTTTGGCTTTTTTGTATTTTTGTAAATCTAGATGATATTGAAAAATAACGTTCTCGCCTTGATAGTATAGGACAAGAGAATTTGCTGCGCTGTAATAAAAACATCTCCCTCTAGGTCTGCCCCCCTCCGTTAACCGCTGGAAATTTCAGGTTTTTCTAGACGTTACAAATACTACAAGGAATAGGATGTAAAAATCTAGGAAAAGTTAATTTTTTGACTTGATATGTCAAAAATGGAAAAAGAATATTTTTTTAATATTTCTCTTCTTGACTGCATATTTACGTCATAGTCATACGTCAATAACTAGGGTTTTGGCTAACTTTTGTATTTGTGTCAAAGCGGTACATAATGTGAGTCGTGCTTCATGTTTTCCAGTAGCTTTCAACCCTGTTTATAAGAAGTTTTTATAAACAGGATTTAAAGCAACTGGATGGGAAATTCTTAACCTCAATGTTCTCATTAAAATTATTTAGGTTCAGAATCGTCCAATTTTTAAGAATATTGTAAGGATATTGCTTAGCCTCAGTTCCCATATTTGTGTCTTTTAATTTAAGAAGTTGCCGCTATTGCGATATTCATAATAGAGATTCACATGACTGACAAATCTTGTCTTTTCAAAAAGCGTGGTTTCTATTTCAGGGCAAGCGATGTGACCCTGAAACCATATAAGATCCTAAAAAAGAATTAATACTTTGAGAATATAATCAGGCCCAAAGTAAAAATTTCTTAAGAATATTGAAACTGGGCAAAATTGATAGTATTCTTTTACAAAAAAGAGCAGGTATGATGTTGGTCGATTTTTGAGCCACTCTTTACTCAAAATTCAGTTGGGCACTTGTTCAAAATTATAGTTTGTCGAACAGTACGTAATCGAACTGTGCTTTATGGCTTCTAAAGGAGATAGCGTTTTACTGCGCTTATTATTGAACGGTGGGAGTGAAAAATCACCTTTGACACGCCTAAGAACGTTTTTTGGGCTATAATCTGTTTTAAATAGGTTGTTTCTAACATAGCAAAGTAAATTTGTTGCCTAAAGGGCCCTTCACGCCGACCTGTGGCTGTATATGAGTGCGTGGCAGTGAGTTTATCCTGATTGTGAGACAGAATAAAGCATTTCCATAACGCTGTTTAAAATGAAATGCTGGCTTCATATGCAACCAAATCCAATTTGCATTTTTAAACCGTCGCTAAAAATCGGATGCCAACATTTGAGACTTTAGTTGTAGCAGCTCTTCGGATAATTTTTTTTAGCTGAATTGAAATTCAATTGTAATTCAATCACATTTCTAAATTCATGGATTCACTTTTAACCTCAAATAGAGTTATTGGTTTCAAATCAGGAAGATGGTAAACACCAAAGTAGCCAGGGACCCTTCGACACCTATTCTTGGTTTCCTTTTCTAATTCCTCGTGTGCAGGTTGGGTTTAAGATGAAATCTTGCGTTTTTGGAGTAAACAGCCGTTTTTATCTTATTGTGGAAAACGTTGTGTTTACAACGAGAGGTTAGCAGTAAGAAAAATGTAGTAAAATGCAATAAAAGAAACCCCACCGGGTGTCTACGTGTAAAAATTGTTAATTGAGACATCTCAAGAGCACCATCTGATGTAAAACTGGTTTAGTTCACGTCTATAAATAGGCAACCAATCATAACGAAACTGCTCTTAGTTATCAGAAATTTCATATGATCACTTTAGATACAGCTCAATCCAATTCAAATTGAATGGATTTTGAAATTTTTATGTAAACAACAGGACTTTTGCCAATTAATTATCTTCAACGTTTAATTATCTCCAAAGTTTGAATAAAACACAATAAACAATTTTCCTTCAAGTGAACTGCTTGTCAACTGCTGTTCGCAAAATATTAAATGATTAAGAATCTGTTACAATATGTAGAGTAATCTCCAAAGGCAGGCATAGCTATATTTACAAATTGACCAAAACCCAGGCCAAATATACAATATGAAGATAACGTACTACTATTTGACTTTCATCTCCTCTTTATGGTATACCATGAGTTGGATTTAGCAGCCAGTGGATTGGAGAGAGCCCTTCAGATCAACGAGTCAACGGACACACGAACGCGATCCATCGCTCAATATTTCCACAGTGTTGAAATGCTCGTTCGATTGGTCGAAATGAAAACCTTTAACAGTTGAATCTTTGAAGACACGTGATGGCTCCGGTTTTTAGGCCTACTTCAGAATTGTCACGCTTGACCTTTTTGGAAGTAAATGCTCCCTTGGCATTTGCTTGGTCCTGGTATCTTTTTGTGCATAGCTATGTTTTGAACTGGGATGCTCAAGTGAACAAGCCTTGGGGTTCCATCTTCCCTAAAAAGTGGTTAGTATGTCTTGATATGAAACAGATATAAAAAACAAGTATCAAGAGACTGGCCCAATAACTTCATTTAATTTTCAGCATTGAATTTCCTTTAATTGTATTTGAAATCTGACAAAACATTTGTTATTCCTATAAGTGAATAATGTCAAGCATAAATATCTGTTCCTAGTTTATAAAGATTATCAAAGTAAGCAAGCGAAATTCCTTAAAATCATATCACCCTTATTCCTTTTTTGGTTTTCTATGAGATTATAACGGGAGTATTTCTGTGGAACTTCTGAAAAATGCAGCTTCGGTTTGAATTCAAGTTAATTAATATGTAAAAGCAAAAATTCACGACAGGCCCTTCTACTTCGGTTCTGTGGATGTAATTTTAGGGACTTCAATGCTCTTTCGACGCGGCATTCACCCGTGTGTTTCCTGCCCTTGACCGCTTTTAGTAGCATTAAGGCAAAGTCGAATTCTTGGTTATTAAATCGAAACACTTGCTTGATTCGAAAATTGACGCGCTAGATCCCCGTTCTAATACACCAAAAGCCTGCTTTGAGGGCAGCTTACGTTCTTCTGCAAAACCGTTTTGTATGAATCTGGCTCCAGAGCGACAAGATGATGGCCCGGTTAAACGCTGCCCATGGTACCTCTTGCTCTGTCTGGTGCCATGTCGTTTAGTAATTTAGGATCATGCTTGATCCCGGCCAATCGTGGTTAGTAAAACCCCTTCTTATCATCCTATGGATACATTTCAAGAAAGCTGACTTCGTGTATCCATCTTGAAATAGTTCTGTAGCACGTATTATATGTGAATCAAATAATGAACATGACGGAAAGGGCGTGTTTTAAATTAAGTAAAGAAAACGAGAGCTCATTGTGGCTGGCCCATTAGCCTTTTAACTCCTAAGGTCGTTGCCGGATAGACTGAGTTTGATAATATAACGACTTGGTTTGAAAACCAACTCCTTACACTGTTCAAGTTTCGCCTTGCCATTCTGTTATCCATGAGATCTATATCAGGTCACCAAGCTTAAAGTCTCACCATATCACAATATAACGAAGTCTGTACCATGACACCAAAGAGACCGCACAGAACTGTAATTTCCCAGCAACGGCTTTCGTGTGAACGAATAGACTTTATGATTACTGTGCGTACTTACACAGCCAAGAGATATAGACATCGTCTTGGGTAATTGGCTGTTCTTTCTATAAATATTTTTGTTTTGAGGAGACGTCTATTCAGAAGGGGAGGGGGGATCTTCCGTGTTTGAAAGTTGTGTGGTTAGGGTTGTGCTGAGGAGTGAGTCCGCTTGGTAATGGAAAGAGTGGGTTGAGTTAAGTTTAAGGATTGACTGTTTTGTACTGAATGAGAATGACTTGGTACTGTTAAAAGTATTGTGTTTTGCTAGTTTGGTATTGTCAGGGTGTCCGAAGTGGGTATTGGAATGTTGATTTGGTTCTGGGATGTCCTTATCCTTGATTGAAGTACTTTTATGCAATGTATGTCAAGTAATTTTGAACTTGGACAGAGTTGTGAAGGTTTTTTTTTATTCTTTCTCTCAATTGTAATTTTCGCTTTTCTTTAGAATATTATTTGACATCACCAAGAGAATTTTTCCTGGCAAGTGGCAACAAATTTTTCCAAAATGTAGAGTTTTTTAGCACTTTGAACATATAGAATTCTGCATTTGTTTAATGTGCTTGTTAGACAATAGAAAATGAGAAATTTTCTTCTAACCGCAATGTCTTCGATTGGAGTTGATGTGGAAGTATAGTTCTGTTTCACGTGTCAGAGCCTCTACAGCTGTTCAAAAAACCCTGGCGAAGTTAATGATGGTTTTTTGACTTGTCAGCTCATGCCCTTGTAGAATTGCAGAAAATTTCCTTCCATTATTTGTGACGCATTTCTTTATTATCCTTGTCAGATAAAATGAATTGGGCTCTATCAATCTCATGTTACTGCTTCTGTTTGCAAACTCATCTTATGTTTCAGTTTTGAATTCCTGAACACCAAATAGAAATTAATCCTGTCCACACACTCTCTCTAACAGCTATTCGATTTCCAAGTGTTTTGTCCACTTAGCGAATTCTTTGTATTGAAATGCGTGACCCCCGCAGATTACGGAACCTCTGCCATTTTGTTTTATTTGACCCACCTTACCTTCTGCAAGTCTTTTCCAGTTAACGTAACTCTCCTTGTTCCTGAGCATTCGCCAAATTCAGGTTTAGGATTACCTTCCTTTTCGTAAACTTTTGAGTGGCCCCTTGGATTATCGAGGGCTTGAAACATTGTTCATGCTATCAAGGGCGTCCCTCGCAAGGATTTCTCGAAATCGATACTAAAATTATCTGTAGACTAATGAAACTGTTTGAAACATGAAACTTCTATGAGTCTCCTAACCATCAACAACAGTGCCTTGCCAGTAGACCATTCTTTGCCGTCATTCGCTGTTCTCGCTGATCAACTACTTCCGATATTCGCTGTTCTCTGAACTAGACATTGGCGTGTTATCTGCCTTTTGCTCTCGCTACACGTCATGTATATTGCCTGCTAATAGAACTTGGAACACCCTGCAATGAACGTTGTTTTTATATTTTTCATTTCTTCCAATATCTTATGTCCAACGTTGCTTTTGATAAAACCTTTTTTCAAACGGGAGAGAAGGATTACTTCGTTTGTCCCTGGAAACTGACGCAAGGGATTGTATTGTCAATTCAATTCAAATCCGTTTAGCCAATTCAAACCATTAGGTAATATTTCAAGGTTACATTTTAAGGTACTAGATAACATTTTTCTGCTACATGTGCTTTGTATTTGAAATGAGAAGAAAAGGCCCCATAGCCAGACTTTGTGGAGCACCAATCATACCGCTGCTAATGTTAAAGATATGCCTCTACTGGCCAAATATAAGACTATCTATAATATTAGAGAAATTTGATATCAAAACATTGACTCTTCAATCAGCAATTTGTATTAATTTATTCGTATTGATTTATTAATGTAATCTCCGGGAACCTATTTTCAAAGCTGATAGGTTTTGCAATATCAATGTGATTTAACGAAAGATCAAATACGTACATTTATGAAGTTTTGTGTTTTAGAAATGAAGGTTCAGAAATAGGCTTGTTAATTGCAATTCCTTGATACAAGATACAATGCCTATAGACGAAGGCAGTAGTTGTCTGCTGTGTAAACAATAATAGCCATGATCAGCTGCAAAGTGACATCACTGTGAAAGATTCCAGTTTTTCACATCTCCCCTCGTCGAGTGCTTGAGAGTCAATACCTTTTAGGGCCTGTTTATATGGAGAAAATCATCCCACCTTCCAGCCTGTGAGCTAAGAGATGAGATCCCACTTTTCTATAGAGTCCTTTGTGTTTTTTGTTTTGCGTTTATATGGAAAACAAGCCAGTCCGGTTAAGTGAGATCCCACTGCATGGGAGGTGGGATCTCACTGAGGTAGGATGAATTCTTCCATATAACACTGGAAGGTGGGATGAAGCTGGAAAGTTGGATGAAAGTTTCATATAAACGCGATCAAATTTCGTCCTACCTGGCAGTTCACAGGCAGGGAGGTGAGCTGATACTCTCCATATACTGCTAGAAGGTGGGGTAGAATCTGCATGTAAACATTCGATGACTTCGTCCCACCTGCCAGGTTATGGGTTGAGAGGTGGGATAGAGTTGCTCATATAAACAGGCCCTTAGTGAAGACCTCCCATTGAAATATTGAAAATCAAAGTATGAACTTATGTGCATTCTTTGAAATATCTCCATCTCATTGACAGTATTTTGTAGATAATTGGACTTTACATAACTGTAAACAGTTTTTGCGCATGCAAACAAACGCTACTGACGCGTAAATATATCTTGGAGGATAACTTGGTATGCTGTAAACGGCAATTAAAAAAGGAGCCGTTCTTCAATAAAATTGATGTCTCGTTATATTTTAGCCGAGTCAGCGACCGTGTCAAGCCCGCTAACGCCCTCAGAACTGTTGGTAGCACTACACGGAATTGAATGTGACATAAAAGCAGTCATGAAAGGTAAGGTCACCTTGAATTCCACAATTATTTCAACAATAAACAAAAATTTCTGAAAATGCTTTACGAGCATCTTTTACAGTTGGCAGTTGGCTGTAAGAATTAATTTGATTAGGTTGAGCTAGCAACTGTTGGAGACATGCAACATTGACATGACCAAACTTTGACTTAGAGTGAGGGGAGTCGCTAGCTGTCTATCACTTGAAGCCCGGCATGGGAATCACGAGATGTGGTCATATATGTACCAGAACGCTCCTTTTAAGCCAAGCTTTTCTGTGTCCTAAAACCTATCCTCGGATACTGGATTGTAACACAGACAAAATTAAACCATATTGCTAAGTATTTTCGTTATTTTTCTAGAAGGAACAATATATCGATCAGCTCCGGCAGTTTCTTATATGAAGGGTTTCATAAAACTACTGTTAACCGGTTTGTCATATAGTGCTCGATACCGTATAGGTGGAGCTGTACACCCTATTTGGTGTATAGAACAGGATTGTTCTAAGTTGCTACTCCCAATCAGGCTTAGTATGAAGGGGTTTTTATGACAGAATCAGGCCATGCTCCTGTGAAAAAGGAACTGTTTCAAATCATTGTAACGAAGAAATGTCACTAGACCGGAGGAAGTAATTTTGCCAGACTAGTTCTCTGAACTGAGGCGGCTCTAGCCTGTCTGGACTGATCGCTCTTTATTCAGGATGGCGTACAAGTAAACTGCTTGGCCTGCAAGGTCGTGCTCTGGCTGCTGTGGTTATTGCATGTGACACGCTAGCTTGTTAAGAATAGAAGATGAAGCTTACTCGTTTTGGCTTGCTCTAATCCTTGCTGATTCATGTGGATGCCCTTTTTCTTGATTTATTTGTCTTCGTGCTCCCTGTCTATACCGTTATTAAGCCCATCTCTGGTTTCCCTTTGCGATTAGTAATGTATCAGTTTCTAAGCTTGCGAATTCAAATTTTTGGCTTAGGTTTATTCATATGCTTTACTACCTGCTTCACTGATAGAGAGTGGAAAGAGTGATTTGGTTTTTTGGTGAAGTTGAAAGCCATTCCGAACTGTCAATAAAGTATGTTATGGGTTCAATGCTTCCCTATCTGATTTCAACCTTCTGGTTGCTCGTGACTGCAGTTAAGGAAGTGGTGAACAATTAAATAATATACTTGATAAACATCACAATAATATGCTTGGGTTAGATAGAAGTTCCCTTTGATTTGAGGCCAATTGTTTAGTATTCCCCTGTCTTATCTTAATGTCATTTCTTTCGATAACTTAAGCAAGAAACCCTTCTGCCTGAGCTGCGATGAAAGGCTGTGATATCACCTAAGGTTAACTTAGATTCGTCAGCAACGTTTGTGAAGTATGAAATAACAATCGCAGATCCATCTTTCTTCCTCGCAAACGTCACTTAATTCGCCTAGGGATGATAGCATCGCCAGTTGTAAGAAGATACAACTTATTGTGTCACCTTTAATCTTGGGAATCGTTTCAGCATTCCGGAGAGTTATGCCAGCTTAACTAGCTTTGACCTACGAGAACCCATGCCCGAATATGCATGGAATAGTAAGGCTTTATTGATTTGGTTAAATAATAATGGAAGGTTTATTAAGTCATATATAATTAACGGTGAACCGTGTTTTTTGACACATGCAACTGTTCATTGTACATGATACCATAAATCATATTTGAATGAATGCCATATTAATACAAAAGAACAAGATATCTGCATCTTGTATCTGTTTGAAAAGTATTTCTTTTATTGCCTTTGTTTTGTAAATGTAAGACCCCCATTAGCCTGTTAAGAGAAGGAAGCGGAGGGGTTAAAGAAGAGTTAACCATAGGTTATATTCTCCAATGGCCAACACACTACTAGAGTAATACGAATCTCTATTAGTATGAAGGTTAAATGAGCCTTATTCTCTGCTCATACTGCACCTCCTAATAATGGACGGACACCTTCCAGCAACGGACACCACCCAGCAACGGACATCTTTCAATAACGGACACCTGCCAAGTAACTCGACAATGTACAATAAGAAGAGTTTTCGTCTCATTTAAAAAAGAAGACTACGAGACCCATTTGAAGATTGGTTGTGACCATTTTAACGAGATTCAGTTGACCATTTGGCACTCTGCATTGCGTAAATTTGTGCCATGGCTCTTTTTTGTAACTTAAACCGCGCTGGATCCGTCCGTGTAAAAGTGTTAATAAGAAGCCGTGTAAAAGTGGTAAAAACATACACGAGATAGCGTTGGGAAGTGAAAATTCATTCATTCATCTTTCCATTTTGTCCAATGGAGTAAATGTCTCCCCAACTATTGGAAGATCGTATACGACTATATGAAGTTTCCTCTCGACTTTCGACTTCTTCTTGGACGATCATATTTCACTCTACATTAGTCAAGTTATCCATCGGATATGTTGTGAAACGATTATGTTTCGTATTTTTTGAAAATATCAAGTTATTAGAACGTTGCTTGTTTTTACGAAGAACAGTTTCGTTCGTAGATCACTGCTAGTATGCAGTGGCACTTTTAACTTTGCTTTGGTTTGTATGGACAAAGAATGTGCTGGTTTTTCACCTAAGTCTGTGACGTAGTTATTGATTGATTTGCTTTTGAGGATTATTCAAAGATTACTGGAATGTTCTCCTTCTCTTTTTGTTTCTGGATAATGTGTGAAGAAGCAATTTTGTCTATCCGATAGGTGTCAATTTTACAGGCTCGCGGTTTGGAGAGGTTAGGGGTCTGAGGTGCCTTTGATTTGTATCCGTTAGAGCTATTAGCCGCAGAAACTTCTGTCACGATGGGCCTATGTTATTTACTAATGAACCTCTATCCTGAAAACTTTCCCAGAGAACCGCAAAGAGGATTAGCGCAACACCCAGAGCCTGCCCTTTGACTATGGGGCCTTTGCCTGCACTCAAACGCGTGTGATAAACCATTGCTTCTGTTTTGGGAATCTGCCTTCAAAGCCCGAAAGTTGCATTTTCAAAATAATTTAGATAAGGAAATGGAGCCCCGTACTTTATTCTAAACCAATGCAACTAGTTTCATTTTGAACCATTCTTTTCAATTTTTCCCTACCATTTTTTCAAAACCAAAACAATCCAAAAAACGTGCGTGTAGCCAAAGGGGAATATTCAGTTTGAACGAACTCCCTCCCCTCTCTCTGTGATGCTAACAAGGAGTTTTTCATTCAATCATACAATGTAGTATAAAAGAAACTTTCCACGAGCACAAGTGCTTTTTCTGCTGAGGAAGCAAACTTCACAAAGGAATTCGTGACTAAGGGACTTTCAAGGTTCATAAGGAAGAAGCAAGAAAAATGCTTTTGACTCAGAATAGGAAATGATTCAATTGTGGGAGAGATCTACCCACTACAACTGTAACCCCGCGACAGTATTAAGAAATCACGTGTCTTTTAAAGGAAGCAGTGCTTTATTTTCTTGTCTGTTCAGGCGACATCACTCTCAACATTTGTAAGGCCAATATATCGATCTGGTGTTGGCCCTTCACTTTAGGCACTCAACGTTGCAGTAGGAAAAATATAAGTGCTTATTCTTTCTTCGTTTTCATTGAGCTGTCGTCCTCTGTCAAGATATCTTCAACCAAATATCATGGAGCATGGATGGTTTAGTGGGGGTTAAATTATGTGACATTGTTTATCCAAGTTAAAAGTTTCCGAATACACAGTCGTTTTTCTCGATGGAGCTTGCATACAAATTTATGCTTAGAATAAGATGAAATGCAATATCAAAAAACAGCTGAAATTCCCAAAGAAGGAGAAGGAAGCATTTCCCCCTTCTCTATTTCTTGGATCCCTTTTTAGCTTCTACTGACCCGGAATTTAGTTCTGACATCGGCATATATTCTTTCATATTACACATCATCTTTAGTTTGGGTATAACGATGTAATCCAACAATTTTGGCTTTTTGTTTGTAAAATCAGATTTTGTGATCGGTATGACTACAGTTGGCTTAGTAGCTTATCTATAAGGATCTAAATGTTGAAACTTTACAGCGATCTTGCTCAGTAAACCACTGCTTTCCCAAAAGTATTTTAGGTGCACAATACAGGATTGTAGCTGCATTCTGGGCAGGTTTCTGTGTGATTAGCCTCTTATTACTGTAGACTTCGCTTAGCTTCACTGTGAATGTATATGGGGTGGATTCGCGTATTTTGTATACAGTGTTATTTGCCTGTAACCAGCAGGGCGACTTTAACGGAGTGACTATAAACGAAGTCTACTGTTCATTGCACAGAGGGAGAAAGTGACAAAATCCGAGGGCTAGTTTATCACCCTATCATATTTACCGTGGATAAAAATCTTTTCAATCAGAAGTGTGCGAAATCAAATACGAGTAATAATGAAAGCGTTTTGAAGAGCTTTTCAGTCTATTCCAAATTTAGCTTCAACCGCAAGATCGAATTGCTTGCACAGTGACAGACATGTTTCATCTAGTTTAAAATCCTTTGAAATCCCCATCAAAAAGATAGTTGAATCTCACTAAACCCTGTTGGAACCTTTATTAGATGAGGTTGAAACAAGAAGCCTCGACTTGATCAGACCTGCATGACTGAACTCGTCCTTTGTCAACAGTTGGGCCCATTTTCTCAAAACTGCCAATCGCTGCAAACAATTTTCAACCACTTTGATTGAATGAATTCAAAGTTCTGTTTATCATGGTAACTGACAATAACTGACAACAACCAGTAACTTTTTATCCATACATTTCTTACCCCTGATTTTTTGCTGAAAAGTGTAGGAACCATTCATCCCCTCACCTCCTGTCCTGCCCTCTGGCGTCCCCCTTTGGTAGAAGGGTGCATGAAGAAAAGTGCAAGTTTATACTGCAATCTATAAAGAAATATGAATTATATAACCCCTCATCAATTCATTATCGATTATCATTATTTTTTACGCAATAGATCTTATTTCAAAATTTTGAACTTTTTCAGTTGTAGCCTTTATAATGGCCTGATTTTGTTTGCGCTAATGCTTATTTCCATATACTTTTCAATAGTTTTCTATTTAACAATAATAAAAAATTACTGATTTGGCCATCCAGTTTTTAGCCACACCTACCCTTCCTAATCTTTCCCCATTCTTCAAGAATTAAATTTTCTTATTCTGATGTATCCTATCCTATTCTCCTATTCTGATGCTATTTCACATTACCGTATATAAATTGGTAATATTGCTCGAGGTTAATATGACAAATAATCATTGTTCTGTGACAAAATATTTGGCAACCTTAATTCCAATGTACCAAAAGCTCAAAGCCTGTATAATTGTTTCCATATCTCAATACAGTGTATTTCCTCTACGAATTTCCTAGTCTCAAATGACTGCCAAACAACTGCTTCCCCGCTCCACGGTAGAATTGAAGCAAAGCCTCAACAATGATGTTTTTAGTTGTTATTAACTAAATTATCTAAATATAAATATTATTTAATTATAAAACTTTATGGTAAGCATCTGATCATTTAAAAAATCTTCCCAATATCTGATAAACAATTTTTTCAATTTTATTTTAAGCACCTCCTGCTATATATTGTTATAAATTTTGTGAATTATTGTTATAAATTTTGTTATCAGTCTTCCTTTAATTAACGCTTCATCTGATTCCTCAAATACTTTGAATTATGTTTTGTTTTGTGTTTTATTAGAGGTAGTATGATGTGTACTTTATTATTGATCGTTGAACACCAGTGGTGTGGTAATATACGTTTGAGGTTATGGTTACTTTTATGTTGTTGTTGTTGTTGTTGTTGTAATTGATGCCGTTGTTGCAATTGCTGTTGTTGCTGTTGTTCTTATTGTTGTTATGTTTCTATCATTTTTGTAATTCTTTGGCATTAAACACTTTTTTGATTTTTAGCAATAAATTTATGTTTCGCTGAGAAGAAGATTTACACGCAAGAGGTGCTCGCAGTCGTGTTGCAACAGCTGATGGAACAATCACCGCTGCCAACTTTGTTCATGAGAACAGTAAGCGTTTTATTAATAATTTTAGATTAGCAGGTGTGGGAAACGCTGTTTTGAAGACAGTAAAATTTTTCCTAAAATAGTTTCCTTAAATTCATGCCAGCAAAAACAGCCTTTCCAGCCACGCCGAGGGAAGGTTTAAGAATATTTTTACTGCGCATGTGCAAAAATTTATTTCGTGTCTTCAAACCTCCTGCATTGAGATTTTAAGGACTTGTTAGCATAAATCAATTTTGCTTAGTTTGCTTTTTTGGCGGAAAACTTTTAAAACAGTGTATGCGTCACCAGGATAAAAAAGATTTAATTAAAGTTGCAGGGCAAATCTCTCTTTTAGCTTGTTCTACTTGTCGAGCAAGTGGTCAAATAATTGCAAATCGCCTACTGGTAGGATCAAAAAAACTTTCGAAGGGAAGATATGAACAACTTTAGGGACCTTTGTTCCCCTCTCAAGCCCACAACTATAAAGTAACACGGTGTTAATAGTCTCCGACGCCTACGGAGCAAATAACACAAAAATTTGATGGTTTCGGATCCTCGTTTCCATGCTGTCGAAGCATTATTAATCATGCCAGTATTAAAGATAACCGCCGTTTTTCAGTCAATTCGGATATTATTTAATACCCGTTATATCCTGCCTTTGAGTCAACATTTATCATTGATATGAATATGGTGGATATTTTTTCAAAGCAAAGAATGTCCTGTGATAAAAGAACTTTGCAAGTTAGATTCCTTAATAGCACTATTTGCTATGATGTGGGTCACATTAAACATGTCTATTCTTAAGAGGTATATACAAGATCTAACCCTGATGCTCTAAGTCGCTTTATATATAACATTTGTTTAAATTCCCTCCCTATAACGTCATTTCATGATCCAATCGGCGCCTAGCCTGTATTGCATGCAAATACTTTGTCAAAGTGTTGGACAGACTTACTCGTTTCATGCACTTTTCAGGAGGGGCCAAAAATGTTCCAAAATTTTCACTTTTGTCTTTTCTTGTGTCGTTCCTTTTGTTAGAAAATAAACAGATGGCATTGCCTTCTTAACACGTTTCTCGCACTGATATCATAGGTTTTTTGCTGTTTTGCTGTCTTGCTGTCTTTTAATATTCAAAACAAAATTTATTTTGAATCTATCTCTCATACTTTGTTCTTGATAGCTTTGTTATTGATGTCGAAAGAAGATATCTTTAGCCTCTTAAGTTGTCAGCAGTCACAATCACCTTCTTATTCTTTGATGCTTGCCTTTCGATTTTGTAATAAATCTTCAATTTTATCACCCTTTGATTGTTAGTGTATTGTTCCCTTATCTCTTCTTCCAGGTCATTTTATCTCTAAATCTATGCTCCAGATTGGTTGGCTTTGTTATGAATATCCTAGCAAAATTGATCAACAAACAGGTATTTATGCCTTAACTGTTTCAGAATGACTAAACACTGATAATCACAATTGGATGCACCAAAGCCAGGCACTTGGGATGGTGTATTAAATATTGCACATCCTTACAATAAAATTCATTTTGAATTTTTAAGTTATCATGAAAGAAATTAATTTAGTTAGTTAAAAATCATTTTTGTCTCGTTTTGTCTTCAATTATTGGTGGAGAGTTTAACGGCTTGTTTTAGCCCACAATTTCTTCAGTCGGCTCTAACTTTCCTGTCCTGACAAAAGTGCCATGCAGTTATTTCTAGCTTCATATCTTGCGAAAATTGCATGTCTTGTGCAGGTTGTGTATAGTTGTATGAAACCAACCAAAAGCAGTACAGAGCGTTGAAATTAAAATACGAAAGCCAACAAAAAGCCTGATTCTTGATTATTTATTGTGTGAAGAATCTTAATTTATTTCTGAGTTGTGCTGATTGCGACAAACTGGTTTATAACACTCTTACATGATTAACAAACTCGAAAAGACTAAAAAGGCTCAAACTAATTATTTGCATTTGTTAGCTGTTTGAACAAAGAAAGACCTTTAATACAAGATATCGTATTTCCATCGCTATGCCGTGAGTTCGTTCAATGTTGACTAAGTAACTGTACTGAAATCAACTTTCGGTCGTTAAATCCTTTGCCATGAGCCATATCAATTGCCTTCATAATCAGCTGGGTGAAATACGATAGTCTTCAAGCCACAAGATGACTCCTTGTGTCAAGATTCTTCTAAGCACGCTTTATCAATTGTTTACTTACCTCCAATACCTATTTGTTTTTCTAGTCTGTTTACTACAAAGTTCTTTATTAGTGTATGTGATGTGAATACCAAATTCATTTCTTGATAACTCTGCGCCAGATTGCTTTTTTCTAAACAAACAATACCACTACCCCTTCCATTCTATGATATGTTGAAATATTATTTCTGGCTCTACTTTTAAAATGGTCAATTCATTTATTGCATCTTTTATTATGATAATTGATCGATCATTGTATTTTCAGGTGTGGAAGCAGCCAAAAGTTTGGGAGGGATTTGTCAAATGTTGCCAGGTAATGTAACTATACTAGAATGGCAACCAGTATGTCCATCTTTGGGATGCGTCTCATGAGGAATTTCCTTAGTGCTTGACCTCAGTCAGCGTTGATCACATATTCATCATTGTAGATAATATTTGGAACCACGTCCTAGGTCCAAAAACGCTTCCAGAGCTCTTTTACTGTCTTTTTTTAGCTGAAACTGGCCTTAAAAGAAGTAAAGTATGATTAAAATGGCACCAGTTTTGTTTGTTTTGATACAGATGTTAGCTTATAACAATGTTAACGAAATCTATGTTTTTTTATTGTGAACACAATACTAGACTTCATAGTTGGGATTTAATTCTAAGATAAATGTCCATGTCTTGGTACAGTTCGCCTACTGAATACGTCCTAGCTTCCATATGTTCAGGGTTCGTCTGTTGTCATTAAAGCTACTCAACTGTTTTGTCATAGGCACACTCAGGCAATAATGCTATTGTGTCCATAGGTCAAAACCCTGGTAGCAATAAACAGTTCATTTGTAGCAATAATTAGAATGTGATGGTAACGAGTAATAAAAGCAGTGTTGTTGGCCTACGTGCCCGTGGAAGGGAAATTATGTAAGGAAAACTTCGCGGATTTGTGGCACCGGAGAAAGATTCGAGTTGAAGATTATCTGGAGCCGTTTCTCTAATTTTATGATCTGTGTGTTTCCAGTGGCATAATAAGAAGAGAACCATTAGCTTTTAACAGTGAAGTATTTCTGATATCGGATTGCTGGCTTCAATTCTAATTCACTTCAATCTTACTCGTATTTCAGTTGTCTTCTTGAGTCGTTTTGTATCTTTTAGCACACAGCTGCCTAATTTTCATTATATATCACGTTCTTCCAAGATTTGCAGCTCTTTCTCAATGCTAAATATTGACACAAGGTTGTGTACACAGCAAATGGACTTTGGTTGATTCTTGCTAGATAGGTTTGTTAGCTCAGCGAAATTCATGTTATCCCACAAGCAGGTCTCAAATTTCGTTCTACAGGATCACATTTCATTTCGACCGTTGTTTGGTTGGACGAGATGTAGCAGATTGTACGCCTAGGGTCAAAATTGTGTCGCTTTTTCCTTTTGGCTCGTTTTGTTTTAGTTTGATTTTTAGTCGAATAAGATACTGGCTATGCGGAACAAGGAAAAGCATTAAGTTCAGTAGGAAACCTTTTGGTCTCTTTTGTCTCGTGATTGATGCCATACTTCCTTTTGGTTGATACTTTCTTTCTAATTATGATGATTGTGGGGGCAAGGGTATATTGGTTGGCGTCATAGACTGATGGCTGCTTGAGTCGCCGTTGTGCTTTTGTGCTGTACTTTTGAATAACCATCATCTTAGGAATCATGAAATAAAAAGCAGTTCTGTCAATGTCAGACGTCCAGATACTGTTATTTGTTTTAAATTGCAACTGCCCGAATTAAACGACACTCCAGGTGATAGCTGACAACAGATCGGATTTGAGAAATATTCTTCTCGAAAATGTAATATTTTTCTATACAAACCTAACATAGCTTTTCCCTGAAGCAAAATCTTTATTAGCTGAACATCCCGAAAGGTAAAATATCCCTACGTACTTAAGATTTACAACTGCTTTCTTAAGAGGACTATTCATTTTACGTTTATCCTATAATGCTCCCGTTTTTATCAACTTCGCAATCATCATGGAATATTATTTTATCGTCGTGGACTAGGCTTCATAGAATATACCCAGATTAACTGAAGTTGTCATGAAAATAATTATCAAAAGATCTGTTAAATACCGTCATTTATCTTATTGAATTAACAAACGAATTACAACTCTGGTTTCCCAACTTATCAATGTCGGCCGTTCCTTACTCACATTGTTTTTCAATTAACTTCTGTTTTCGAATTGATGATAAAATCTGTGGGATCTTTACAGAAACCACACAGACCTCTTTAGCACTGCAACAGATAAATTTTGGAAGACCTTTTGATTACGGAGTGGTCCCATCGCTACATTGGGAGCAACTGGGCACACGAAACTTCAAACGTCTTGACCCGATTTCGTATCCGTGTTAGTGAGTAATTGAAATGAGGCTAAGGGGATCATCTTCCGCCGCTTGGCGAAACAGAGGCCATAGCCCTAAATATGCAGGGTGATTAAGTTCAGCTACCATATTTACCTGAATCGTATATTTTCCCAACTAGCAACAGGGTTCTATTATAAAAGGAAGCGGCTTGGGGATTGGTGAATCTTAGTTGGCCGTAGTTGTAGCATCTATATTAAGTCATTGCTATATTTCAGGTTTATCAAACTTTAATTAAGTTTACTTTTATCATTTCAGGACGTATCGTCTTTTACCATATTTCGGCGTAGACACTAATTCAATATCAAATTTCTTATGTAATTTTTTTATTTTTGCGATCTAGATGACAAAACCACAGTCATTTCCAATACTTCTTCAATTACCACCGAGACAACTAGAAAGTGTATTTGAGGTATGCAGTGTGGTCTTTCATACAATTCTTATTGCGGTGACGAACAAGGGAAATTTTCTGCCGTATTAGCTATAGCTCATCCCCCTGCCTATGTCCCCCTGCCTACGTCCCCCTGCCCAAGTTTTTCTGCCCCTGCCCAAGTCTCCCTGCCCCTACCAACGTCCTCCTACCAACTTCCCGCTACCAACATCCTTTGCCAACGTCCCCAGCCCCATCTGCCAAATTCTTCAGATTTTATGTTCTACGACACCTTTAGTTTGATCTGTTGTTTTTCTTAGGCACATGCAACGACAAGGTTATTAAGTTCTAACTTTATCTGATCTTAAATGTCATTAACTCTATCTTTGTATTTGTAGTGGTTCTGAGCAAAATTTAAAAAACCAAGTTACATAATCTTTGTTATTTTTCAGATAAGTTCCGAACTAAGAGACCAGCTCGTGGCCCATGTCAAGAGCTTCACTCCTCACCAAGTAAGCAAAAGAGCTTATTCTATTGCAACTAAATTTTTACTATTTCATATTAGACTATCTCGATCGTTTTTCGCCAGTCTTCCAAGAAAGGGGTGCGGAAGAATATGGCTGTAACGAAAACCACAAAATGGAATAATGCTCTTTTATTTAATCTTAGCATCTCGAAGTTGTTTTTTACTGTTATGTTCTTAAGCACTATTCTTAAAACGAAAATAACAGGGTCACCTTACAATGGACTTCTTTATACTCCTCCAGACCTCTCCAGCATGCCATTAAAAAGACATTTCTTTTTGTAAAATAATTTTTCATTTTTTTGAATTAATTCTTCAATCCTTGCTATTTCTGACCTCGGTAACCCACAAATCTTACCAATGGAGCGTTATTTCTTAATAAATTTGGCCAATTTTCGCTCCATTTGTCAAACGCCTTTTCAATGGTTTTATAAAAAATGCTTGATCCAAGCCGACTTCCAAAGTTCTTTATACTTTACCCCCGGAAAGAATTTTGGTTTAACGTTGCCTCATCGCCTTTCATATTTGAAAATAGAACGAATTTCCTCACATTCGTCATATTTCCACATGAAAACTGTCTCTGTGTCATATCAAATGTGACTGTAAAAATCTGTTCTGACTTACCGCGTCTAGTAATGTTTCAAATGCTTTCTTCTCAAATTTTTCTTACTAAGCTACCGCACCTCTTTTTCGATCATTTCAAAATTGTTAATTATCAGTGAAACTAGATCTTTTTGGCTAATTCATGCCCCATTTTTGGCTTACATGAAGGCTTTTTATTTGCATTGTTGCTTATTGGAAACATGATCAATAGTGTGTTTGCTGCAGCGTTGTCGAAGCTGTGGTTAATTATAAAAAAAATACATTCCTAAAAATGCATCGCTTTCTCGATTAACAAGCATTCTGTCAGCGCTGTTATACGCTGAAATGTTTTTGCAATTAGGCCCTACTTATGTTTTTATCACTAGTTTTTATATCGAACTGCTTACGAAAGCAGGCGGTGAGAAGTGAATCATAGAATCTTTTCGTCCTATCTAATTCGAACTACAGCATGTCTAAAAGATCAAAATATGCATTGATGACACTGTTGGATAATGTTGTTTTTCAATAGCTTTTTTATGCTGCATTGTGCTTCGTAGTACCATTGCTGTATGTACATAACCCCATTTTCTTTTTTGCATCTAATTTTTGTTGGTTTGCAAAATTAGACCGCTGAATGCATTAACCTAGGTAATTGCTATGTTCACTTTCATTTCACAATGTATCATCTTCTTTAGCGTGCACATGTTCCAAAATCCGTACAAAGCATCATAGAACGTGAGTCAAACCGAGCAAAAAAAGAAGACGATGAGGCTGAAAAGGAGGCATCAGGAAGTCCGAACCCCGAAAAGAAACGAGAACGAGGTCACTCGGAATCGTTATCCGACGATTCAGACTCCGAGGTAGAGAAGACTAGCAAAAGAATAAAGGTAAAACTAGATACCAGCAAATGATAATTGTGATCTGTTATATACGGCTGAAGTCTATGATAACTTCTAGGCTGAGGCCTTTGCAAAAGTAACAATTATTTACCAACAATGCCCGCTTAATTTTCACATTGTACATAATACAGCTCTGTCATTAGAGAGACATTTTTATGAAGTGGAGTTATCATTCGAGACTTGGATCGATCTGTTTGATATCAAACTTGTTTAAATCTATCAAATCATTTACTTTTGCTGATGGCAAACTGTCAGTTTATAAGTCAGTTAGAACAAGCATGTTTGCCACCATGTCAGATCTTTGAAAAAGATCTAAAAGATCTACAATTGACTCTTCAAGGCTCTTGTGTTTCCAACCAGTTTGCGCTTGCCACTTCTTGTCTTGAAATGTGAAATGTGAACTCGGCGTTTTTTCTTTTATTTCGGAGTTCACCCGTCCTTCGATAAGAAACCTTGATGCCGACTTGCTTTTCGTTGCTATTCACAGAAACACCATGCGGTTATCTAGGACCAGCCGTGGTTATTTAGGAGTTTCATCCAGTCATACTTCAATTTTCCACAATACGTACAATGGTTTACGATGATTTCTGCGGTAGGAGATAGTTACATTGGTTTACGATGGTTTCAAAAGTAGGCGATAGTTACATAGGTTTACAATTGTTTTAGTGGTAGGCTATAGTTGCATAGTTTTACGATGGTAACAAAAATGGTTTTGGTAACAGGTTTAAGTACAAAGAATATTTGAAACTGTTTTCTCTGGAAACAATCTTTCTTGAATTTCTCAACTTTTGCCAAGTGTTAAAGTGTTTTCATTTTCAAACACTTTGACAGTTATCGCATCCAAAATTTCTAATTGCACCTTCTTTTCCTAAAGATTTGAGGTAGAATTATTTTTCATGAGCAGCTTTTATTGGTCTTTCCAAGATTTTACGTTTCAATCTCGTTTAGGCTACAGCACCCATTTGCTTCGCCTGAATCCTTCACTGTAACGCGTCTTTATGCAATTGAACTGCTCTTGTATATGACTTTGGCTTTTGCAGTGCACACACTGTTATAACCCTACGTTTCTACTTATTATTTTCAAGGAAGCCTTTTCTAAAGCAGCGACAGCGTAAACGAGATTGTCGAGGAAGTCCTTTGTTGTCAAAACGATTCAGGCCTTTTCGTGTGCCACTAAATACAACGTAAAACACTTGAGTATGTTAACAAAACATAGCACAATGGAGTCTGACAGACTTTCCTTCATACAAGCACAAACACCGGACATAATTGTTTAATCTCTGTTAAACTCATTTTGCAGAATATATACTGTATCAAATTTGTTTTCAGCTTACACAATTGATTTCTTCAAAAACATATTGGCGGTGTCTTTTTGCTTAACACTTTAAACCAGAAAATTATTGGCTTACGCTGGTGTTGACACAGAAATTGTTATTTGTATGCATGAAGACCTAAACATTTTTACGAGAAGCAAGGATGTTTTGCTGGTAGAGACAATCATCTTGCTAATTGCCACTTGACCTTATAGGCCAAAACTTCACAGAACTTTAATGACGTCAGACTTTTGATCTTGAGTTCGGAAATCATCTGTGATGTGATGATCTCATTTTATTTTATACGATGATATTCTCGTTGGTCGACAAGAAAATTTTCCCATTTCTGAAATATGGTATTTGCACCATTTCATAAAATGATAATTTAAACGATATGGCATTATAATGTGTCACTCTTCTGAAATATGACTTTTGGACATACAGATATACATGCAAAAACATACAAAAATTTATATAAATATTTTTTAAATACTTTGAAAACACGAGTACAAACTTTTAAATGAAGATGATTTCAATTCAGCTACAAATGAACAAAAACGCAAAATTTTCTACGCAATTCAATTTTTTGTGTAGTTGTTTCTCAAGTAGTAAAAGAAATCTTATTTGATAGAGACTAGAAGTATAATTTCCATCCTTAATTATTACAAACTTTTTCGATAGATAATTTTTTTCTATAGAGACAACCAATAAGACAAGAATTTTTTTTAGTAAACTTTGATTTGGGGATACACTTCTATTCACTTCTGTATTTAACTACACTTGATAAATAATTTTTTCCAATGTCAAAGTTAATATATTTTTTAAGAAAAAAAAGACTACACTAGAAGCTTTTTGGGATTCTGGAGCGTTTTTAAAGTAAAATTGTGATACTTTAAGAGATCATACACTGAGAATTTGCCATAATTGTCTTGAAACATTCGAAAAGAAACATTTGATAATACGTAACTGTAAGACAATATATATCAACTAGTCGATTTTGTGATATGTAGCCAGGTTTGGCTGAATATCGTGTTTACATTGATTGGAACATTTCCATTCAAGTTATATTCAGAACCGTTAACTTGACCATTTAGCGACCTATCGTCAGTAGCAGCACATCTTAATTACCGGTTTGTCTTCAAGGACACCGGCCGGAACTAGCCTAGCCGATGATAAATACCGGTCTAAATTTATGATGGCTTTATATGCAGTTTTGAAGTCATTGCATGTTTTTGACCCACTTCAGACTTGATTGAACTCGATGGAATCTTGTCTTTTTTACCCCCTGTTACGAAACATAATTTAAAAGCTTTGTTGTTAAACATTCAAACAGCGGATAAATACTAAGATTTAAACAAACGTGAGCTGTTGAATAGATGGATATAGCCTCTAATGTTTTTCTCTGTGGTTGAAAATGCCTTTCACACTGGATATTGACAAAATAGTTTCCATTAACATGGAAAACATTTTAAGATTTGTCCGTTTCATAAGCCCTCTTGAAATAGTTAAAATGCTTACTGGTCTAGGGTCAAGGCAGTTTCTATTGTGACTCCATATTTTCATACTAAAGAGTCTTTCGGAGTCTGGTTGAACACTATTTTAAAGTTAGAGAGGAAATTTGAAAGTTGTGCTGCAATGTCACTTGTTTCCACTTTGAGTTTGGTGATCGAAGATACACCCGAATTTCTGCAAATAAGCAAGGATGTATTACCGATTCTGAAAACACAGGCTTGGGTGAATCAAGCCAAAGAGACAATTGCAAAGCATCCACACAAGTCGCAGCTCGTTACAAAAAGGTTGGGGACAACGGACTTTTCAATTGCGTATGTTGTCTATGATTCTGCAAATCGAACATGCAGGTATATCAATCAAAATAACATGAAAACATGGAAATTGAAAGAGACGGAATTGCGATCTCTCGCCTTACGAAACATCGTTAGGCTTTGTGAAGGCCTGTCACTTAAACCTAATGAGATATTCCGCGAAAGCCAAACCGGTGTCTATAGTTTTGACAAACTCGGAAATTTCTCCGCATCACTTCTTTTGCTGCAACATACTAACCCAAAGGAGAACAGCGGAGAGAAAAGCAGAGTTTACCAGATCCCAAGCAGTAACTTGCTCCTCGCTGCCAGCAGCACCGATGCCATGGCAACGTGTGTCATGGGCGATTTATCTCTGCGCTTCGCCCGTTCCAAACCGTTAACTGGCCTACAGCCGATCGCATACAGAAACGGCTGGATCCCTTATGAACACAACAAGGTAGATCATCAGTTTCCAGTGCCTTTGAACAAAGATGAGGTAAAAATTTACAGAAAAGCAATATTCAAATAATGAAATCGAGAAATTCATAAATCGGATTGCCTCTTCATCGGAACTTTAGATGCGGAACGTTATCTACGACATCAGCAATATAATTTATAGCATCCATAGAATCAACTAGATAAATCAAACCGTCACACAAAGAAGGGGGAAGAGGCATGGAAAAGAAATCAAACTGTAGCATAATTTTCGAATAACTGAACTGCTAGTGGCTGCTGTGAGCAATCTGCAGGTTGATGTTCTCTTCATCTTACGCATTTAATACATAAAGCCAAAAATAAACCAAATCATTTAAAAAGGAATTGCATGCTGGAGAATAACTCCAATCTCCGTGTTGACAAATAAGCTAAAAATCGTATACTGTTGTTATTGGTGTAGCCACTGATGTGCAGTGGTTGATGAAACTATTATTGTTGTATATGTAGCTATTGTTCAGTGCTTCCTTTCATCCGTCGCCTGACTTCGTGTTGACCAAAAATGGAACAATATTATTCACTTTTTTAAGGTAAAATAATTGAATTGAAATTTCAACAGAGTTTCCCCATCTTTGCCTAGATCAACACTGTAGGCAGCGTGCAGCGCGGGCGCCGTGAACGAAGCGCTGCCAGGTCATTTGCCTTCTCACTCAATTACCGTATTTGACTGCCATTTTAAAACGTTGGTTTTATGAGATATGGGCAAAATATTTCACAGCAAAGCAATTAGAGATAAGGTTATGTGATTGTGAACCGGTTAATCAGTATGACAAAATGTTGCAACTTCAGGAAAAAATTACAGAACTAGCCTTACCGTAACCATGAGTTCTGACGCAGGTTGGAATGTTGGGGGGGGGCAAGGGAAAATTTAAGGGAAAATTTAACAATGATAACAAAAGAATTTGAAAAAAATATCTACTGTTTTGCAAAAGAATGTGGGATCATAGCCCCTGGTTCCCCTTCGTCGGAGGTCCTGGTAACAGTCTAGATAAGCACACACCCCCTGGGGGCTGTAAAACCACGAGTCCCTAAAATTATGATACCTGGGGGTTCTCGCAAACACTTCTTTATTAAAGAATATATATAACAAAATGCAACTTTCGCAGTAAAAGGTATAGTCCCCGAACCTCTGTAGCACCATACCCCTGTAGACTCCTATTCACTGTACTGTTACAGAACTAAAGACGAGGCCCCTGCAAGGGAAGCAGCAGAAGATTTTTGCGACCACACCCTTTAGGTATGCTTAGAATATATACCAGTATATTTCTTGCGGTCATTTTCTTGCAAGCAATTAAAACGTTTTCCTGTTTTTCAGACATACGTAGGTAGCCTACACTGCCATATTTACTTTAATACATTGCCATAAAAGCAGTGAATGATATGCTATGTTACATATCCCCTTACATCGGATTGTACAGTATAGGAAGTTCAGAATGCGCAAAAAATTATGTTTGCAACGTACAATGCAAGCCATATCAGTTATTGAAGCTTTAGTTTATGGAAGAAACGGTTCATCCAAATGCATAAAAGGCCTATGTTTTGCTTGTCCCGCTCGTGTTTAAATCCT